TCCAGGTGGCATAATGCTGGCATTATAACACCATTTCGCATGCAAAATTGGCATTACAAGCATAATTGCCGGTCGACAACGGTGTAATGCATGAAGCTGGCTAGGTCCAGTTCCAAAATCGTGCATCTGAACCCGTCCGGCTTCATCCCGAGACTTGACGTTGCAAATCAACCTTCGCAGTGTATTGTTTCAGACAACATGCGCTGCAGCCAAATATGCAGGATGCATGATTGATCACGTGCTGCCTACATGCTGCCAAGACGGCCTTCTTTAAATCGACTTTTCCATCTTTCAAACTGGCATTATGGAGTAGTGTAAGCAGCTAAACAAACAAACAAACATAAGTGGCATCATATCCTCATAATTATGAGCATTGCCTTTAGCATTATCGCAGCAAATAACTAGCATTACCCGGCCATGCCTATGAGTGCGATATTCAAGCTCCTTTCGATTTTTGCAAATTTTCTGGTTCAGTTTCATCCGACTGTTCTGACTCTGACACATTTTAAACCATTTCATTTGACTTGTTGCCATCAGAACTACCTCCGCCATCATCCATACCTGACCCCTCCCGCTAAATCAGGGACACTACTTTGTAGAACGAAAGTGGAAGGAAGATCGACTATGGTGATTAGGCATTGGCGGATAGGGTCCAGTGGATAATGCTCCGAAAATGTTCGTATAATGCTTATCATAATGCTCCAAAAACTACCTTGTAATGCTGATTATAATGCTTCAACAAGGCTATCATGCTCTTGGTTTGGAACAAAAATGGAAGAAAGGCTGCACATTGTCAAACTTCCAGGAAAGGATGCATTTAGTCGATCTGCCTCCGAAGCTGCTACAATGTCTCTCACAAGCTCCACCACTTCTTAGCACTATAAGACATGATCGAGTCTCCATTGGCTGCTCTCCATTGCAACTTTGATGCAGGGCTGTGGCTGAATAGTGGGTGTATCGAATCTTTTCCCTTGCTTATCCATCAGTGTAGTGAGAGGTGAAACCATTGCTGGTGATCATTTGGATGCTGGAAGCATAATCATGGGAAGTGGTATTCCTGCATGCAGACAAGTTGCCACTGCTTCCACTCTGTGAAAAATGCCAGTCTTCATCTGAAACAGCTCACGCGAGGCCAGTCAAGAGACGATCTCAGATCGAGATCCCTCCCATTTGCGGAAATCCTGAAAACACATGGTCAGAAGCTATTTTGCCGCTCTACATCCTCTGCTTGCGCTGTCTTCTTTTCCTGAGGTTGCGTGGAGACAAATGGCTGGCCGCAATACTCTTCTTTCCTGATAGCACTTGACTGCAGGCCTTGCATTACAATCGTCCACGACGAACTGTACGTGCTTCACCAGGAAAGTAAGACACGCGCTCCTGAGCACTCAAAACGACTTGGTACTGCGTCCATGAGAAATTCTAGTTCTTTTCGAGCCTGCTGAGCTGGACTCGGCAAAGGTAGTTATTCGGAACAAGCTCTTTCTGTTTATAGCCGCTCCTTCATCCAGATCCAAATTTATCAATAGATGAGTGTTTTCTTCAGTATCGCTAGAGATGCTATGGCCAGAGCCTATGGCATAACCTAGGCTCAGGAAAACTCCTCTTCGTCTCTTTGATATTCACTTCGCGGACGTCTAGTCTCCTCCATGGCTCTCCTCGTAAATCATCTTTAGACTTACCGGATTTTGTGTAACAGCCTCAGCTCAGTTGCAACGTTGGGCATGCTGCATCACCTGTACATTCACCTGACTACATTGCTACTAAAGACTTTATGTAGCAATCAGTGAATGGCATTACAATCATGTACAATGTATGTAGTCAGGTAAATGTAGCATTACTAATACTACTGCCATTAGTGCTAGCCTAAAGCCAGTGAAGGTGTTACGTGTCTACAAATCACAAAGTCATGTGCCGGTACAATACAATGTCATGGCGTTGCACCTCATGACTTTAGCCGATTGTTGTCAAAAACCTTATATTTCCCGATATTATCCACTATGAAACTCATTATGCCTCTCAAACCTCACATAATGCTCGTCTTGTTCCTTTCTAATGCTCCACAATGCTCTGATGCTCGGATAGTCTCATAATGCCGAATATAATGCCGGCATTATCCGCTGGACCCTATTGGCGGACAATGCTCGAAAAGGTGGCAGATTCTGCTCGAAAAGCAGTGAAATTGGCAGAACCTCAAATTCTGCTCCATTTCTTTATCCACATACCAAACATGCATGAAACTTACCAGAAAAAGTACCGAGTTCTGCCAATTTTTCTGCCGGCATTATCAGCAAAGGCCTAATGGTGACTAATATCACTTTTTCTCAAAATAACCATACATGTATCTGCGGCGAAGCTTACAGTTTTGGACTACAGACACAGTAGGAGTGAAACCTAGAACTTAAAGGTAGTGCAATAGTACCAACTACAGCGGCAGCTGACTAGAACGCGAACCACGTGGCTTGCAACAAAGTATTTTGACCGACGCAACAACACACGTGACAGCAGGGGCGTCGGAAGGTATTTTAGTGTGGTACGGTCAGCCATCTGAAGTACAAGCTACTCGTGGGGGAGGGGTGGCTGAGCCGAACATTTTTGGAAATTTAGAGTCCAAATCAGTGTATTTTTATTGATTAACGAGGTTTTCGGGTCAAAAAGTGGTACGGTCAATACCGTAGTCACTGTACCGTGTCCGACGCCCCTGGACAGTCATCATTGTTGCGAGATTGTCGCCTATTGGATAAGCATCATCCATGCCATGTTGAACTACGGGTACATTTTTTTTGTATTTATATCATTATCTCATGGCACATCATGATGACGGCCAATAAAACTGAGACAAGGGTGAAAGCCAACCACAGCAGTAAAACAGATAAAAGAATACAAATAAGAGGCAAAGAAGGCAAAGGAGGAGACAAACCAGCAGGATATACATGAAACCTATAATTGAGCAGAGATTTTAGCAACAAAATTATCCATCGACGTGCTGGTCTTGGCCTGCGTTGGTAATGTTGCCCAAAACACATAGCCAGCAAAGATCGGGGATCTAGTGAATAGGGTGGAGGCAGCGCGTGGGAGACTGAGTGAGTTCCGGGTATTCCGTGTTTCGGAGAACCAATTATAAGCCTGCATATGCAAGGGTATTTTATTTAGTAATATTTTATGTATGAGAACACAGAGGTGGTACTTATGTCGAGTGGAAAGGGGACTGATCTTGGCAATTTCGTAAAGACTAGCGGAGGGAAAGCGACGACCTTTGCTAAATAAGATTTTAAGGAGCATGCGGTTATGGGTTTCTAGCTTGTTCAATACAGTAGTAGTTATGCCAGACCAAGCAGTATCACAGTAGTCAAGTAAGGGCAATATATAGCAACGATAAAACAAGCGTTTGCAAGAAAGAGGAAGATGTCTACAGTGGGCTTGAAGAGCCCCAAGGATGGAGCTTGTGCGCTTGCAGACATACTGCACATGGGGTGACCACGACAATTTAGAGTCAATAATAACGCCAAGATGCTTATGCTCTTCAACAATACGAATAGCAACACTTGAAGAAGGAAAACAAAGTGGCAGGGAAGGGGGAGAAGGGGAAATGTACATAGCTGCCGTTTTATCAACGTTTGGCTGCAACTTCCAATCATGCATCCAGGTTATAACTTTCCCAATGCTATCTTGCATGGCTTCGTGCAGGCGTATAGGGCAAGCATTGGAGCAAAGCAGAGCTGTGGCGTCAGCGAAAAGGCTGACACCAGGGGCAACATCGGGGAGGTCATTAATATACAGGAGAAATAGCAGTGGCCCAAGGATTGAACCCTGGGGGACTCCAGAAGTAACGGGTAAAGGCTCCGATAACACAGTTGAGATGCGTACAAGCTGATGCCGGTTAGAGAGATACGATGAGAGCCAGCCGATAGCCTTGCCATCAATGCGATATACTGTTCGCAGCTTAGCTAAGAGACCCCTGTGCCAAACAGTGTCGAAGGCCTTTGCGAGATCGAAGAAAACTAAACCAACATGGTTATGGGCGTTCCGGGCGGTGTGGATGTCTTGCACGAGGCGGGTAACCTGGTACCTGGTGGAGTCACCCCGACAAAAGCCCGACTGTGCTGGCGAAAGTGAAATGCGAACATGATCATAAATGATGCACATAATTATTTATGTAGAGTGTAGGAGTCCTGGATATAGCTAGCTAGCTGGGAATAGATGTAATGGGGACCATGATTCATATGGCGCTAAGACACCACGCCTCAGCGACTGCGGACTACGCCGCGTGTGACCAGTTTTCGCTCGTCTGCTAGTCCAGTAGCTAGTTGGCATCAAAAGCAGCCATAATGCCAGTTTCCTGCGAATATGTCACTTTAATTTAATGCTCGGCAGTGCTAGTTTACTAGTACATTTAGTAGTTTTAGTAAAACAGGCTATTAAAAGGTCTGCGTCTGTAGCGAGCGTTCTAGCGAGTAACGGGACCGGTATACGACCCGTATCATCACGGTTTGTTAACAAACATGTTCTCATATTTTCTGCTTTTCTTGTCATTCTTGCTTCTTGTGTTTGTTGTTTTCCTCTAGTTTTCTTTTGTTCGTGGAGAGCCGGAACGCAGAACCTTTTTTTTATATTATTTCACGCAGAAGGCGGAGAGCCCGAAGGTGCCGGACCAAAAAAAAGCAAAATACGAGTCGTAGATCTACATCTGTACTGCACGTCTCCAGCTCCGCGTGCACTCGTATCGATATGCCATCATCATCAAGAGTACATAACCCCCGGCGGTTATGTACTCTTGTTATCATGCAACTGCATGCTACCAAGAGTCCATAACCCCCCGGGTTATGGACTCTTGATGCTACAGTATATGCTGTTGGTTGACGATACGCCGTGTGTACTCGTACATCGTACATCGTACGCCCCCATGGACTTGCGTGGCTTGGGTTGTTTCGTCTTGCCCCTGAACTGCTACATGGTACAATCATGTACTGGCACTACTGCACTCGGCAGCACTGCCGTCCCTGTCCGGCTTGAGGAATCTACCTTCTTCTTTGTCGACACCGAATCAATCAGTGTCAGTGTGCATGCGGCGGAGGAAGGGCAATGAATTTAGTTTGCTCTCTGCTGATTGCAGTTCTTCTTTACTCATCATGTCGTGCCACCTTTCTGGCGAAAAGCGCAGTTCAAACTTGCGTACGGGGCGATGCATCCGCCAACAATCTGAAATGCCAGCAGAAGCTGGTGTTGACATTGGCACTGCGAGGAGGACAGGTTAGTTTTACTGTTAGGCCTCTGACCACTCCATGTCCGGAATAGGGATCACACTGATTGGTATAGTTCATGCCGTCTGTTGAGTCCTCCCGAACACCGACCGTGTGCAAGGGTACCGGTTGCAGCAGCCAGGGAAGGGCACTTCTACGCCGGCTCAGGTGGAAACTTAGTTTTGAAAATTTGAAGCTCTCAATCTTACAATTATGTACCGTTGCATACCGTCTTGGGGTTAGGGGTTCTGAGTAGCTTCATAGGCCAATGATCCTATCGGTGGAAATGGTTCGGACCAGCTCAGGGAGTGAACTACTGCTTTTATTGTCCTGGTGCGGTCACTCAATGATTGCACCCGTGTAGTACCCCTGGTGTCCTGACCCGGTCAGGGGTCAAAGTTGCAATCATTGATTGATTGGTTTTAGTAATACAAAGAAAAGGGAAGTAAAGTCTGAAATCAAGATGTCACTACTTGTCTTGTAGTCTTCGGAATACTGAGAGGAATGGTCTTGGTCCGAAGAAACCGAGAAGCTGCTTACGTCCTATATTCCCTATCGAATTCGCTCACTTCCCGGCCCAAAACTGAGTCAGTACGGCCTATACGTAAGTACTACACGTACAATGCAGATAGGACTATGTTTGGAAAATGTCACTGAAAGCCGGGCGCTACTTCATGCCTATAGAAGCGTGGATGAACGTGAAACTCCCAGAACCGTGCAGTCTCAGTCTGGACGCAGGGTCAAAAGGTCTTGGTCCAAGGAGGCTGATACAGGCAACATCACTCAGCCTCCATTCACAATCGAAAAACGGTTCTGGTCCTGTGCGTGGCTCCGTACACTGTGTCAGTGCAGTGCATGGTGAGGGCAACACCTGTAGTACCTGTGACTCGAGTGCAGTCGCACAACATCACATACTTTATTATTTTCGAGCTGGGAATGTGAACATAGTAAAAAACAAAAACAAAAAAAAACAAAACAAAAACATACTAGTACTTGGTTGAAGACGGTCCAGATTAGCTGAGAACCCCCTGAATGGATTCTTGGTGCCCGAAGACTTCCCCAGTGCACTGCACACCCACACCCACACCTGTCCTGTTGAGCCGGCCACTGTCACAAGCTCAAGGGTCATGTGGGCCCCAGAGGGGCAACGGAGAGAGGATAGGATAATGTCGTCCCACAGCGTCCGGGACATGCCCCCCCCCCCACACACATCTTTTAGTCTGAAGAGTCCATCTGTGAGCCTGTTGAGGCGCCAAGCCCAGCGCATGCAAAGTTGCACATAACCAGGAACATGCCGCATCGCGTGCCGATGTCCACAGGCATTGTTTTTTACCGTATCACGAAGTCGATAGCCTTCTGACTCTGAGGCACAGTGTGTCAGCATATCGTATGATTCATGCCTGCTCAAAGTAAATTCTCTCTTTCTTTCTTCTTTCTTATACATGTATGTCTACTACTTTTCTTTTCTTGATTTGGCCGTGGTTGGCTATCACCCCTCTCTCATTCAATATTGGCATTGCTTGCCACGAGATGATGATGCAATAATAATAATAATTATTATTATTATTATTATAATGTGTGGCACGTGTTGTGAGCTGCCTTTGGAGTGAAAAACTTGTCAGCGCCTTCTAGGTTCGGCCTGGTCCCATAGCTCAGTGGTTAGAGCAATGCTCATGACAAGCAGGGTCCCAGGTTCGAGTCCTGGTGGGTCTGGCGATTTTTTCTCTTTTCAGGCAGTTCACTTCCCCAACTGATCCTGTGTATTTGAAGTTCTCCCAATCCGTTCAAAATTTAATCACTTTTCTTTCACTTCTGGTAGGGTCCAGAAACTGACCGTGGTTGGTCCCCTGGGGGAGGGAGAAAGATCCAAGTGCCATCAGTATGTGTGGCACGTGTTGTGAGCTGCCTTTGGAGTGAAAAACTTGTCAGCGCCTTCTAGGTTCGGCCTGGTCCCATAGCTCAGTGGTTAGAGCAATGCTCATGACAAACAGGGTCCCAGGTTCGAGTCCTGGTGAGTCTGGCGATTTTTTCTCTTTTCAGGCAGTTCACTTCCCCAACTGATCCTGTGTATTTGAAGTTCTCCCAATCCGTTCAAAATTTAATCACTTTTCTTTCGCTTCTGGTAGGGTCCAGAAACTGACCGTGGTTGGTCCCCTGGGGGAGGGAGAAAGATCCAAGTGCCATCAGTATGTGTGGCACGTGTTGTGAGCTGCCTTTGGAGTGAAAAACTTGTCAGCGCCTTCTAGGTTCGGCCTGGTCCCATAGCTCAGTGGTTAGAGCAATGCTCATGACAAACAGGGTCCCAGGTTCGAGTCCTGGTGGGTCTGGCGATTTTTCTCTTTTCAGGCAGTTCACTTCCCCAACTGATTCTTTGTATTTGAAGTTCTCCCAATCCGTTCAAAATAATAATAATAATAAACTCGGATGTTGAGCCATAAATAAATGTAGAAAAGAAAAGGACATATGGATACGAGTTAAGAGTAACTCTCCATCCCTGTAACTGGATACTGAAAGTGCAATAACTAGGCACAAAACTGACAGAGTACTGAGACATTCGACGTCCTGACACCTAGCTTCAACACATCTCCGTAGCGCTAACCGACAGCCTCTCTCTCTCATTCTTTGTTCCGTTGGGACTGTAGCTTGGCTCGTTTTTGTTGCGCTTGCCTTCCCCTCTTTGGTCTTTTCATAACCTTGAACCTTCCAAGTTGGAAGGCTGTCGGTTAGCGCTACGGAGATGTGTTGAAGCTAGGTGTCAGGACGTTGAATGTCTCAGTACTCTGTCAGTTTTGTGCCTAGTTGTTGCACTTTCTGACTGTATAATTATAGTATCATGTTACAGTGATGGAGAGTTACTCTTAACTCGTATCCATATGTCCTTTTCTTTTCTACAATAATAATAAAACCGAAATTTTGTTGTGGGAGTATATCATGCAGTACCCAGTATAGATACTAGGAATGTGTATACAATAGTATTGTTCCCGGCATGGCCATATGGCACCTTTCTATTCCACTCTGGTAGCTTAGCATGCAATACTGGACTCTACTTAAAAAGAGAAAACCGACCGACTGGAGAACTATGTACGTTGTAGGTCCTGGCCAGGCCCCTCTCCGGAAACTTTGCAGAATCATGAGCCAGAATAGAATCTGGGATCCGTGGTGTCACTGCAAAATCTCACGAGAGTGGCAGCCAAGACGGTTGTCAGCGTAGAACTTACATGTACCAGCCAGGGTGTGACACAACTATACACTGTACAGTTTTGTTGTTGTTGTTGTTGTTGTTGTTGTTGTTGTTGTTGTTGTTGTTGTTGTTGTTGTTGTTGTTGTTGCTATCGGGTGATTCGAACCTTGTATCGACTGGCCATCGAGTACAATATCATGCTCTTGATTGTTCGTTCCCCCATTTGATGCATCTCGAGACGGTACTTCCCATATATGGCACATCACTAGGCCGTACTTTACCACTATAATAGTACCCTGTGCCTGTGACTTATGTGCCATTTGCGCCAGAGCATTGAGCTGTCCAAGAACGCAAACACAGCTGCCGGAGCACGGGGGCAAGGCACTGAGTTAGAAGTGTAGGATGCCGTGTAACGGTTTTGCTGGATGCTGCGTGAATGCCGTCATGTCATCCTCCATGGCCAGAGCACTATCCAGTCACGGGTACATTGCGAGTACTCCTGCTGCTGTTAAAGGTTATGCTCAGTGAAATGCCGCCTTGTGCGTTCTCCTTGGATGTGTGCGTATACCTGTGCTTGTGTCGCCCACTACTCAACAGGCAGGTGAACAGACGTATCGCACAACCGTGTCGAGTGCCAGGCTTGAGGACACCGGCGTGGATGCAAGCATACTCCAGTCCGTGGACGTCCAGGTGCAGAAGACGCGAGTCAACATCTACTACCCGCTACGCTACGTCTCGGTGAGTTATCTGCTGACCCGCTGCATGTACTACACTAGTCTACAGTGCTAGCAGTGCCACCTGCAGCGGCAGAAGCAATGAATGACGAACCATTTCAACAGTCATGTCTATACTGCAGTCATGCTGGCATTCTTTTATTTTAAACATTTTTTACATGGATACCAGGGAGTTGTGTAACACACGGGGAGACGGCTCGGGCAACTGTTACGCTAAGTCATGTGGCTTTCGATCCCAGGCTGCCCAATACAGTCGCCCGGCGTGGGGTACGGCCGATTTATACACACTTGCACATGGCATCGCTCAGGGTCAGCAGGTCAAGGCCGTGATTGCGAGTTGCATAGACCACGGATCACGTAGTGCTTTCTAATCCGGGGTCGACATTTATTTTAAATCGTTATAGCTGGTAAAATACGGTAAAAGTACAGTTGAACATCGATTATCCGGCCTTCTCTGGGCAGACAACTTTCAGGCGGTGTTCAGATAAGGCAAATGTTCTGGATAAGAAAAAACTGTCACTCACACACTTTCAGTGGTTATTACTAGCCGCACGACCTTTTTACTTTTTACTTTTCAAAATTTTCGTATTTTTTGAATGGCTCACTACGTGCACAGTGCGTACTCTACGGCACGTGCGCCCAAAAAAACTGTTACGGATAATCGAATGGTCGGATAGTCGATGTGCGGATAATCGATGTTCAACTGTAGTTTCTCTTGGCATTCCACTTTTCTTGCACCGTTGAGCCAGTAGCGTTGCATGGTTTATTAGTGACTGTCTTGCATGACTATGGCTTTGCACACCCTGCATATATAGAGTGTCTTGCAATGCATGACCATGGCTTCACATACCCTGCATGATATAGAGTGGTATAGAGTGTCTTGCATGACTATGGCTTTACCCACCCCGGCGTATGTGTATGCAGAGTGTCAACAATCACCCCAAGGAGGAGGTCAAGGCAAAGATACATGTGAAGGGTGGATTCCTGGGCCTGGGCAGCTGGGTGGATCGCTGCAAGGATGCGCCAGGGACCGATGACACCACGTGTGGCTACGCCTTCAACGGCACCAGTGGCGAGCGCATACGAGACAGCCAGGCGAGTACCTCTGCAATGCCAGCATGATGCATGCACTTGACCTTCTTGAACCTCTGCAATGTCGGCATGCGCTTGACTCTGAGGCCTCGTTTACACGACAACGATTGAAAAACGTTTTTGTCAAAAACGTTTTCAAAAGAATACGCTTCCACAGATGTTGATAAGAGCGTTTACACGACAACGCTGAAAAACGTTTCAAACGAAAAACGGCTTCAAAGTGTTTTTCAATCGTTTTCGTTCCGTTTCGTTCTCGTGTAAACGGCAAAAACGTTTTACTAGTACGAGCCTTGTACTCAAAACATGCCGCAGCCAGCCTGCGCCAGGCCAACTTATTGCACATCACCATTGCGTGCCGAAAAACATGTTGCAGTATACGCGATTATCGTTTTCGTGTAAACAGCAAAAACGTTTCGAAAACGATTGAAAAACGTTTTTCAATCGTTGTCGTGTAAATGAGGCCTGAGTTGAGCTTCATGTATCTCTGCAATGCCGGAATGCTTGACAGGCGCGTACGCAGGGTCACCTCTAGGGGGTTTCCAAGCGAATCGCAAACACTGACTCGTTTTAACCCTTTCTAAAGAGCCCTACAAAATTTTCAAAATTATGCATTTTTTCGTGTTCTTTTTGGATCATAACTTCAGTTCTATTCATTATCTTAGGCTTCCTGGAAGTGGAAAGGTAGACCTACCAGGGAGAAAATGAGTTTGACCATGATAGCCAGGACTCAGTACAGCCATCTACATATCCAGTGCTATGTGCGATAGCGGTAGAGTGCAGCGACGGTGCGAAAAAATGCCCCAAACTGCACTGGGCTTCGGCGCGAAGGCCCAAACGCGTCCTGCTCCAGCGATTTCGTTTTCTTGATCGCAGAGTTTCGATTCTTTTGCTGTGTACTCTTGAAAATATCACACGTGAAGCCCCTGCAAATTTGAGCAAGTCAGCGTGACGAAAAGTCTCAAATTCTCGATACTCGAGAGTCGCACTGCGCGCTTTTGAAATTGCAAGATCGCGGCTCAACTTACGAACGATTTATCTCAAGAGACATTGCTCTCAGCGCGTCGTAAATAGGTTCAACCGATAGCTGAGAGTTTTCTATTCGATCTGGATATTTGGATCGTTGGATTTGAGCGAGATTTGACTGAGTTACGATCTGTTGAAGTTTTGCATTCTTGCCAGATCGATCGTGAGCCCTACCAAAATATGCCCAAAACCGTTGCTCGTTTGGAACATTTGGGGGGTTCCGGGCAACGGGAACCCCCCCCCCCCCCTCCCCCCCTGCGTACGCGCCTGCTTGACTTTCATGAACCTCTGCAATGCATGCGCTTGAGCTTCATGAATCTCTGCAATGCCGGCATGCTTGACCTTCACGAACCTCTGCAATGCCTGCCTGCATGCGCTTGAGCTTCATGAACACTTTTTCCGATTTGTCCCCTTGGACTCCTTCTATCTACGCACACAGTTCTTTAAGGGTCGTCCATAATAATTATTATCGAACTTTTTTCACAAAACGAAATAATTTCGTTATGGGGTGGGAGGGGGTTGACCAATTTCGTTTCAGAAAACATTGATACATATGCATGCCCATAGGAGCAGTTACACACTTGCAACTTTTGTTGTATTATGCATGCATATGTCAAATTTTTTACGTTCTGAGGGGGAGGGAGGGGTTGGGTCTAAACTAAAATAATTCGTTTGGTGAAAAACGTTCGATAATTACGGACGGCCCCTTAACGCCTGTCATGGCAGAGATTTTCACACAAGAGCGCGGGAACATCCCGAGGACAAGTTCAGCTCCAACCATGTTGCAATGGAATATTTAAAAGCTCGGATGGCCGAAATCACAGTCTGACGTGCGGTTCATCCTCCAAATGTCAGCAAAGATGAGAACGTTGGGCCTGAAATTGCAGGTTGGGGTTGCAGCTTAGACCCCGGTACTTCGGCACGAGCTACCTTTTAATTGAAAATGCATGTGGTGCAGACCAAGCTGAATAACTGTTAGTGGCAGTTAGGCATCGGCAGCTAATGTTAGCATTATAAGTAGCTCAATATGCTTGTTTTAGTAAACTAGTAAACTAGCACTGCCGAGCACTAAAGCGGCATATCTGCAGCAAACTGGCATATTGGCATATTGGCATATTGGCATATTGGCATATTGGCATATTGGCATATTGGCTACTTTTGCTGTCAACTACTTTAAAATAGTCAAACAAAAAACTGGTCACACTCGCAGTCTGCAGTCGGCTGTGACTGAGGTGTGGTGTCTCCTGCGTCATCTGAATGCCCCCACCTATTCCCAGCTACTGTAGCTGTATCCAGAACTACAGTGCGCTCTACGTGTACCTGTAGGTCAACGTGGCATGTTTATCCATTTACAAGGAGAACATCTCGCAACAATGAATGATGTGTTGTTGCGCCGGTCTGAAAGCTACATTTTGGAAGCCAGGTGGTTCGGGCAGCCAGTCCCCACCGCAGTAGTTACTGCACTACCTTCTAGGTTTCACTCCTAGTAAAGCTGTACTTCATTTCGAAAGAAAGTCACCTTAGTCACCTTAGTCACCTTAGTCCATTAGTCACCTTAGTCACCTTAGTCCATTAGTCACCTTAGTCACCTTAGTCCATTAGTCACCTTAGTCACCTTAGTCCATTAGTCACCTTAGTCACCTTAGTCCATTAGTCACCTTAGTCGGTCTTCCTTCCACTTTTGTTCCAGTGTCCATGATTTAGCGGGAGCGGCCAGGTATGGATGATGGCGGAGGTAGTTCTAATGGTGAAAACTTAACAAGTCATGTGAAATGGTTAAAAATGTGTCAGAGTCAGACCAATTGGATGACACTGAACCAGAAAATTTGCCAAAATCGAAAGGAGCTTGAATATCGGATTCAAGATCATGTGAACTGACCTCAAAGCCGCAGCAAACCAGGGCAAGAATGAGTCAAGGACAGTCTCCGAAGGTTGTGCAGATCAGCCCTGCCGCTAGAGTTACGGAGTTCCCTTGATAGTTTCTGACCATCTCTACTGGAAAGTTGTTTTGTGAAGTGTGTCACCTTGTAGTGATGCCAAAAAACGCATAACGACACATTGCGTCGGAGCGATATCGCCGCAGCAACTAGCAGAAGGAGAAAGCTAAGATACATCAATGAACTCGATCCGTCTCATGGAAGCCGTACCAGGATAGGGATAGTGAGCAGATAGACGACACAAGCCTCACCTTGTAGCCGCTTACAAGGGCGCTGCAGCTGCCGCTGCTTCCAATAATGTTGATCATCTGGCATGGTGGAAAGATCAAGATTACCTCGCTAATTGGCAGAAGGTTGTGAAGGTATGCTCACCATCCCACCCTCATCTACAGCTCCTGAAAGAGTATTCTTCTCCTCCTCGAGGGAGCAAAGTCATACCCAGGCCCGCCGGAAGGCGGGCGAAGTTGGTCCTGTATGGGGGGGGGGGGATCTCCCCCGGACATTTTTGAAAAATCCGGTCACAAATAGCAGAATTTGGCCCTTTCACAAGTTTTCAGAGCCAACTACAGGGAATAATTTTGCATGGATATCAATGTACAATGTATGGCCCACTATGGGTGCATATGCATACATGTACATATACATGTATTTTTAGTTTGACAGCATATTACAAGGTGGTGGAACACCATGTTCGGAAACTGTGCGCCGTACTACAACCATCCACCTTGTAATATGCTGTCAAACTAAAAAGCGTGTTTCTACAAGACAAGGTTTATCTAATACCATGTGTATGTATGTATGTATGTATGCATGATCGATATTACATGTACATGTACCCAGAATATGTTCTCCCCGGTTTTAGACGAATCTTAGTGGGTGACCTGAGCCAGACGGTTGCAAACCAACAACCTTCCAACTTGGAAGGCTCAGGTTCGGAAAGGTCCAAGAGGGGAAGGAAAGCGCAAGTTGGAGCTAGGTGTCAGGTCGCCGAATGTCTCAGTACTCCTTGTCAGTTTTGTGCCATTTTGTCGCACTCGCTGACTGTACAAGATCTGGTTACGTTGGTGGACAGTTAGTCATTACTCGTTACATTTTGTCCTCCTTTTTTCACAATAATAATAATTAACGCAATAAATAGAGTAAGCTGCGCACTCACGAAAATTTGTCCTTATACAGTAGTAAAATAGCTGTAGCATCGCGATCATCGCCTCTGGCAATGGTCATCTAACGTGTCTAAGGTGTGTACTGCCGAGGTACGGCAATAACTAATCCTGCTCGCGCTTTTCATGCTATTCTTTCTATCCCCGCGCACAGGGATACTGCTGCGCATGCAAAAGTAACGGCCAGCGTCCGTACATGCGCGGCGCTGACGCGTCGGTGCGTTGCTGGGGCCGGGGGGAGAGCGGCCGGCTGACCCCGAATCTGAAAAGAAAAAGGGCTTCAGCCCACTGCCTGCGCTTTTCCAAACTCTGGTGAGCCTGACATCACTGGCCGTACATGGTGCAGCGTGGCACGCACACACACACACACACGTGTCTTCATGCCTGCGCTTGCATACTTGCTATTGGCTATTGCTCTTCTTAGACATCTGTATTCTCCCGATAGCGAGTGACCAACAAGAGAGCTGTTGCTGTTCCGGTTGCTGTTGTTCTTGTACTTGTTCTTGTTCGTTTTTTTTCTTCAATGCAGATGCAGTGTTTGTGGCGGTGGCTGTGATGTTTCCCTATGTGTTCAGGTACCATGCATATGAGCTTCTACCAGCAATCATGAACTTCACCATTGCACTGAAAGTCACCTACAGGTCACCAAACAGTATGAAAACACAGCTGATCACCATCTCGCCAAGTCGACCCATCGGCGCTACCAGCGATCGCAAGGTTTGTGCAATAGCTAGGTCATGCATCTGATACTGGTGGTGGTGGTGGTGGTGGTGGTGGTGATGATGATGGTCGGATGATGGTCGGATGCCTCACATGCGCTCTGTGCAGAGAACCTGCAGTCTTTCGTCATTCTGAATTGAGAAGGAACGAACTGGGCATGTGTACTCAGTATCCATGGTCTTCAGAGCAATGCCGGATATAGAGTTCATGTGTTGCAGTCATAGACTCCGACAAGCAGCTAGACTGTGTGTGTGTGTGTGTGTGACTTCATGGCAGCAGCAGATCTCGTCCATGTGCGGCTACAGACAGTACTGTGGGATGCCAAAGAACGCGGGGCGGGGCGGGAGGGGGGGGGGGGTCAGTCTCCTAGGCTATAGGCCATTCCTATTTTCAATGCACTACAGCCTACTAGTATCCCCTGTCCGATCACCATGTGCATACCGGTATGCCATGGTTGTGCTTGATGAAATCCTCCTAGCCTGTTCGTTCTCCGTCGTCCGACAGTACCGTAGTACGTACATGAAGTCTTGAGGTATGCAGAACTCTGCAACTTGCCCACCTACCTAACTCAGGTCCTGTAGTGTTTTGTATTCTGCAATAGAATGATCAGCTGATCACAGATGTTTTCACTGGTACTACTGCACTGCACTAGGTTGTTGCGGAGTTCCTCGGAGACCTCGCACCTGCTGAATACTTCATCAACCTGCAGAACAAGTACTTGCTGGTACCGAACATCCGTGACAAGCTGAACGACAAGCAGGCGTTTGACCTTGGCTTGGAGCCACTGGAAGTTCTCCAAGTGAATCATGGCATGCCGTACTGGATGCTGGTGGACCGAGATCGGGTGGACTTCAGCGGCCGCTCGTGCAACAAGATTGGCGTCTCCTACACCGGCTTCAAGTTTGAGCAGCGCAGGTGCTACAGTCGGCCATACAGGTACAAACAGGTACATGTATGCTGTGAGAGTAATCTTAGTTAGACGTTGCTCATTTCCATGCTATATGGTGTATGTGCTACCCTGCCCCCCCCCCCACCCTGCCCCCACCCCCCCCCCCTTCCCCCGAGGAGAGTCATAGTGTGCACCTTTAGCAAGTGTTTGCTGTCGTCACAGTAGAGCAATACACAGTGGAGCAATACACAGTAGAGCAATACACAGTAGAGCAATACACAGTAGAGCAATACACAGTAGGGCAATACACAGTGGAGCAATACACAGTGGAGCAATACACAGTAGAGCAATACACGTTTGCGGCATGCAGTACATTTGCGTTGTCAAGAAATGTACTGCCGATTCACGAAGCATTCGTGATTTCATGTCCTCACCTGGAACATAATGAAAGACTGAGCTTGAGCACAAAATCTCAATTTCTCAATTGTGATGCTTGTAGCGTTTTGCATCTAAACTCTAGAATAATGATATTTTCCACACTGGTGCAGAGCTAGAGAGGGGTTTGCAGCAATTTAAATTCCCCATGAAAGTAGTGTATGGTCGTGGAAACAGCTGAAATGTATGATCTCTCGGGGGGGGGGGGGGGGGGCGTTAGCCACTTTACACTTACTTGAAGTGTTTGAAGTATTCCTACATAAAAGGACCTGTCAGTAACTGACTAAGAAAGAAAGGACCTGTCAGTAACTGACTAAGAAAGAAAGGACCTGTCAGTAACTGACTAAGAAAGAAAGGACCTGTCAATAACTGACTAAGAAAGAAAGGACCTGTCAATAACTGACTAAGAAAGAAAGGACCTGTCAATAACTGACTAAGAAAGAAAGGACCTGTCAGTAACTGACTAAGAAAGAAAGGACCTGTCAATAACTGACTAAGAAAGAAAGGACCTGTCAGTAACTGACTAAGAAAGAAAGGACCTGTCAATAACTGACTAAGAAAGAAAGGACCTGTCAGTAACTGACTAAGAAAGAAAGGACCTGTCAGTAACTGACTAAGAAAGAAAGGACCTGTCAATAACTGACTAAGAAAGAAAGGACCTGTCAGTAACTGACTAAGAAAGAAAGGACCTGTCAGTAACTGACTAAGAAAGAAAGGACCTGTCAATAACTGACTAAGAAAGAAAGGACCTGTCAGTAACTGACTAAGAAAGAAAGGACCTGTCAGTAACTGACTAAGAAAGAAAGGACCTGTCAGTAACTGACTAAGAAAGAAAGGACCTGTCAGTAACTGACTAAGAAAGAAAGGACCTGTCAGTAACTGACTAAGAAAGAAAGGACCTGTCAATAACTGACTAAGAAAGAAAGGACCTGTCAATAACTGACTAAGAAAGAAAGGACCTGTCAATAACTGACTAAGAAAGAAAGGACCTGTCAGTAACTGACTAAGAAAGAAAGGACCTGTCAATAACTGACTAAGAAAGAAAGGACCTGTCAGTAACTGACTAAGAAAGAAAGGACCTGTCAATAACTGACTAAGAAAGAAAGGACCTGTCAGTAACTGACTAAGAAAGAAAGGACCTGTCAGTAACTGACTAAGAAAGAAAGGACCTGTCAGTAACTGACTAAGAAAGAAAGGACCTGTCAGTAACTGACTAAGAAAGAAAGGACCTGTCAGTAACTGACTAAGAAAGAAAGGACCTGTCAATAACTGACTAAGAAAGAAAGGACCTGTCAGTAACTGACTAAGAAAGAAAGGACCTGTCAGTAACTGACTAAGAAAGAAAGGACCTGTCAGTAACTGACTAAGAAAGAAAGGACCTGTCAGTAACTGACTAAGAAAGAAAGGACCTGTCAGTAACTGACTAAGAAAGAAAGGACCTGTCAGTAACTGACTAAGAAAGAAAGGACCTGTCAGTAACTGACTAAGAAAGAAAGGACCTGTCAGTAACTGACTAAGAAAGAAAGGACCTGTCAGTAACTGACTAAGAAAGAAAGGACCTGTCAGTAACTGACTAAGAAAGAAAGGACCTGTCAGTAACTGACTAAGCCCGTATACCCCGTATAGCAAACCCCAAGTTGCCAGCTAGCTAAGCGCGGTGTACTGGTAATCTGGTACATCGGTACTGCTTTTGACGGATTCGACGACTGCCGCTCTTCTGAGCTGGACTGCTCTGTCCTGATCGAGATGCGTATGTAACACTGAGTGTGTGACCCCGTGTGTTTGCTGGCTGCGTGTTACCTGCAGCTGCCTGCACGACCAGCCGCAGGCCTTGTGGAAGCGCGATGTGGTGAGTCGTGTCTCTCATGCAATCAATATACGCTGTTAACTTAACACGGTCACATACCGTGCTGATGTGCCCACTTTGTCGCGGGAAAACATGATAACAGCTGTGCTGTTGTTGCGGGCGCGACACTTGCACAGTGCGAGCCGGGGCCACATAATAAGTACCTGTGCATGCCCAGCTCTCTCTCTCTCTCTCTCTCTCTCTCTCTCTCTCTCTTTCTCCGTCTCTCTCCCTCCCTCTCTTTCTCTTCTCTTCTCTGCTCTCTCCATCTCTATCTCTCACTGTCCCTGTCACCCTCTATGCAGGATCTAGACAGGCAGCATGGTGGCCGAGTCAGGGGCGACTTCCTGGTCAAGAACTTTGGCACCATTCAAGAGGACAAGTTTGGTGCTCTGGAAAACAACACAAACATCACCTACCTGTCCTTCCTGCCCCGGGACCGACGTGAAAGCATAGTGACTATGCAGATTGATGCCGACGATCTCATCATTATCTCCAACAGGTAGGTAGGTGCATGTAGCGGTTACATTGTAGCTACTCTCTATACACTGCGTATACTGTATTGCATAGTTGACTGCATTCTATAGTCTCCTGCTCATGCTAGCTCAGTCTGGCATCCTTGGTAACAACAGGCCCTGATCCCACTAAACCCTAATCCAAAGTGACTGTATGCTGTGCTGCTGGTGCTCAGCACTGCTGCTGCTGCTGTCGTGCTGATAATGATGATTGTGCTTATGTGAAGTCTGATTGCCTTGATCTGGAAATTTACAAAGCACTGCTGAGCAATGCCCGTTTGAAATGAATTGCTGAACGCTGTGCACAGTTTCTGTCACGGATGCATGTACTGCTTCACTGAGTTGTCCAGAGTACTGAAGTAGCCCTGCTGCTTCTGTTCCTGCTGCTGCTGCTGGTGCTGCTTCTGTTCCTGCTGCTGGTGATGGTGTTGGTGTTGGTGCTTCTGTTCCTGCTGCTGCTGCTGCTGCTGCTGCTGCTGCTGCAACCTGCATGTCACCTGACTGCCTATTCAGGAGTCCTGGACTGCTGGTCAGCGTGACGACACACAACTTTAAAAGTCGAACTCGCGACGGAATGATGATGGTGCAGATCCAAAACACCGGTTATGTCGCTGCAGAATATACGGTCAGTTCCGTAGCCAGTGGCACACCCCCAGCCAGTCATAAGTAGAGCGCAGATTGAGCATTTCACTCCTGCTACTGCAGTAGTTGAACACTCTCCTTTGCTGTTTGCAGTACGCAGAGCTCACTGACTTGGCAGTTTGAGCACTCTAGCAAGGTGCATTATGGGCCTGGCTTTGGAATTTCATTTTTCATTGCTATCAGGTTCGGCCTCATTTTTCTCTGTGCTGCGCAGATGGGTCCACAAAGGACGAAACAGCTCCGGCTGTCTGCAGATTGGGCACATGTAGAGTTACATAGGTCTTCAAAGTACTACACCCTCATACACCCTCATACACCCTCATACACCCTCATACACCTTCATACACCCTCATACACCCTCATACACCCTCATACACCCTCATACACCGGCTATGTTGAGTGGCAAAATGTGGACAACATGCTGGCGTATACAATACACATGTAACCTACATCATGGCATTGGAGTTGGGTGGTAGGTCCACAACAAAGTGCAGGTTTTTACCACTGTGGAGTAAACATTGTGTGGTCGTGCTGGTGCTGGTGCTGATGGCGTGTCTTGAACTTCTACAGTGTTTGCGTGCGGAGTTGACGTCTCATTGTGTGTGCTCATGTCCACCCAGTACATGTGCACCCAGTACATGTGCACCCAGTACATGTGCACCCAGTACATGGGAGTACATGTGAGTACATGTCCAGTGGATCAGGCACTGTCAGTTTCCTGTCAGAACTTTCCGGTAGAATAGCCAGCCGAGCAGCAAACATACACGGGCGCACGTAGCTTAGAAACACGGCCATACATGAACTGAGCTGTGCACACCGGCACACTGATCTGCAGGACGGGCGGCGGAAGAAGTTTTTGATTGGTCCGGCCACACCATCGTCCTTCATGCGTTGTGTAAGATATGCTCGGTACACATGACCTCTTCGGCAGTAAAAACACGCTGGTGGCCAAACAGTTGGTCTGGCCATGGCCTGGCCAATCGGACTAGTTCCCCCATTCCTGAACCTTTGCACACATGCTCTGATCTGTGCATACATTGACGATCTGTGCACACCATACATTGATCTAAGCCGCATACATTGATATTGGTGATCTGTGCACACATGCACTGATCTGTGCGTACAATGATGATCTGTACGTACAATGATGATCTGTATGTACAATGATGATCTGTACGTACAATGATGATCTGTGCTTACTTGTACAATGATGATCTGCGCTTGCATTGATAATCTCAGTGCACTGTCATTCTCCTTGTCCCCAGGTAAGCGTAACAAACTGCAGCGATGGCATTGCAGGTATTGCTGCCCAGGTGGCCACGGTACAGCCCGGGCAGAGCCGCATGCTCACCTTCCAGCTGCACCAGAGCATACAAGATGAACGTGTCAACTACTGCCTTGGTGAGTAAGTGCAATGTCAACTACTGCCTTGGTGAGTAGCTGGAATGCATCATGTCCGCACTGATGTGCATCATGCAGGGCCGCCGGAACCGCTCAGGCTGGTCCGGCCATGGTCGGACCACTTTCCCAGCTGCATGGTCCATGTGATTCACGCAAAACCGGTGTAAAAACTTATTCAGAGGTACATGACTGTATACTGTGGACATTGTCATGTGCTTCCAAGTACATTGTAGCTCAGAACTCCGTGACGAAGATTGAAGATTGTTCTGCAGCACGACCTCCTGAGCTTACCTGCGCCTTCCACCAAAGTAGCACCAGTCACTCCTATCAAAAATGCAGCATGCACTAGTCAACATTGGAAACGAGCGAAAACATCGCACAACACAGAAGGAGACTCGATCCAAAGAGATAAGATCGAGGAAGCCGAAACATAGAATCGTTCGTTCGATAATGAGGCAGTCGATGGGAGAGGTCGGCACGAGATCATAGTTACTAAATAGGTTAAAAAAACGTTCTTTTTTTACCTATTCCTTACAGTGCACTAGTGCACGCTACTAGTGCTCAACCTCTTGAATGCTCTTGAAGTTTAGCGTTAATTAAAAGTAAAAAAGAGGACCATAAGTTTACAATTTATCCGTTTTGTCCAACACTAACGGTTTTAAGCAGAATACTGTTGAGTCAAAAATGTGCAACAATTAGCACAAATCTCATCAGCCAGTTTTTGTGCTAATTGTTGCACATGTTTGACTCAACAGTATTCTGCTTATAACTGTTAGTGTTGGACAAAACGGATAGCTTGTAACCTTATGGTCCTCTTTTTTTTTGATTTTAATCCTTGGCTCTCCATCCGAGTTAATTAAAAGGAGCAACTTATATTCGGGAAAATAGGCAATGTGTCTAGCCACCGCCAGGGCCCATGGCTACTATTGGTGTCGGGGTCCCAACGCATCCCAACACTCAACAGTATACTATCAGTTATAGTTACATTACATTATATTACTGAAACGGAAAGCCATCTTTGTCTCCAACAAAAGCAACAACTCGCGGAGCAACCAAAGAACAACTAAACTGAAAAGAAGAACCACATGGTTCAAAACCAATACACAAACCCGGCCCGTATCGCGTATGCCAGCGACACGTGCATGAAAGCAAGTACAGAATGCAGAAAAGTAGCTTGCATGAAAAGTGCGTAGTGTTCACACCTGTATGCTCACCCGCACTACAACTCGCGTACTATACAAGGGACTAGTACTGCGCAGTAGGCACGCATTCAAATAAGCTGTAGACATGCACTGCATAAATCTCCAAGTCCTCGTACAAACTGTGGAGTGCTGCAAAGGTACAAATAAATAAATATCAAACAAATATCAATGTGCAGGTCAGCGACAGCTACAGCACAATTGTTTGCTTGTATGTGCTGGAGCATGAACTTCAGGTGAAAAGTTCATGGCTGCTACAATGTACATGTACATTCATTCTGTATTAGGGGTGAAAGTTGGCATTGAGATCCCAAGTTCGAGTACTCTGATCTTCTCCGATCGAATATTCGAGTATTCGAGTATTCTTGATACCATAAAAATCGCACGCCAAGGGCCTTAAAATCACATGTTACGACCCTGATTGAATCAATTGGCAGTCCTTTTCTCGAGTGTATTGTTTGGTGGGTCATTTGGGCTCTCTCTCTACTCGTGTACAAATGTTCACCACACACTCTGCACATCAATGTCTGCTGACTGCTGTTCTGAAACTGCAGACTCCTGTGGTAAATGCACGTACCATGTATGAGCGAGTACTCTGATATATTCCGAGTACGATTATATTTGAAAAATCCAAACGAGTATTCGAATATTCGGTATAATTGTTTCACCGAATCTGTATACATGTGTGTGTGTGTGTGTGTGTGTGTGTGTGTGTGTGTGTGTGTGTGTGTGTGTGTGTGTGTGTGTGTGTATGTGTGTGTGCGTGTGCACCATGTCTGTACGTATTCAGTCAAATTGTTTGATCAGGCACAAGCTGAAATCGACTCGAAGGCTGCCTTCTTCACCACTCTTTCGGATTGTGAGTGTCTTGGTCGGTCGGCCACCTGTGGTAAATGTGAGGTAGGTAAGCTGGCTTCAAGCCTAAGTATCAGACCTTCGCCATTACAGTACAGCACTGGTATCACATCAAACAAATCATGTGCATGTAGACTAACGGCTAGATGACAAAACCGCACAATCAAATCATTGACCTTGGGATCATTGTTTGCTTGGCCTGGGGCTGCCAATGTAAATGTACACAACATGTGTTTAATAATAATAGTCTTCCATCAGCAGTTGTTCTTGATCTTGATCTTGTTCCTGTTTCAAATATATTTTTTTAATTTTATTCCAGTGGTGGCATGTGGCCAATTTGTTGTTGTTGTTGTTGTTGTTGTTGTTGTTGTTGTTGTTGTTGTTGTTGTTGTTGTTGTTGTTGTTGTTGTTGTTGTTGTTGTTGTTGTTGTTGTTGTTGTTGTTGTTGTGGCTGGTTCAGTGTGATGGTACGAATGGAGAGAAGTACACATTGGACGTGATCGACGTTGCCACAAACCGCAGCGTGAAAGCGGCAGTGGGCATCTGCGGCTTGTCGGACGACTGGCTGCCGGACTTCTCCAACTTCACGCGCATCATGGAACAGCCGCCGCCGACCCTGTCCAGCCAGTTTCTAGCATATCTGCAGCGGTGGTATGTCCTGCTGGCAATCGGCGTGCTCGCACTCATCCTGGCCGGGGCACTGAAAATGTGCTGCGAGGGCTACTGCTTCAAGCGCGACCTGGATTCGCTGATTGTCAACAGGCTCTTCTTCGATGGTCCGCCAAGCCGGCATCGGCCACGCGAGCAGGTCTACTGGTAAGTAACCGTTAAAATAGTTTCTGTGTACCTCTCTCTCCCCTTACATAATCTGCAGACAACATGCTGTTTCGGCCTTTGTGGCCTCATCAGCTCAGAACAGAGAAAATGAGGCCGAACTTATCTGTACCTGCACATGCTCCCCAGTTTGTGCAAAGTAGATACCGGTACATGTACAGTACATGTACAGCACATGGTCATCGTGACATGTACCACCGTAGGCAAAATCTCACGGCTTTCTCTCTTTATCACTCGCCTGATTGCTGTCATTGGTGAGGCATGCTCTGGAAGTCCAGTTTCCCGCCTCACCAGCCATCTTTACCTCCTTCACGGCAAAGATTTAGTCCATCATCGCTATAGATATCTTCTCAGCTGAAGAATCTTTGTGTGTGTGTGTGTGTGTGTGTGTGTGTGTGTGTGTGTGTGTGTGTGTGTGTGTGTGTGTGTGTGTGTGTGTGTGTGTGTGTGTGTATTTCATATCGCAGTCCACATCACGACCGGCCAAAGGATATCCGTCAGATGATAGGCTTCATGTTCTTCGTCTACCTACCCGTGGCAGTGGTCATGTCCGCCATGCTCATGCTGGTGCGTGCCGTCCTGGCTCTGTATCGCCTGTACATGCAGCGTGATATGCTACAAGGCCTGGCACTGCTCTCCACGCACCTCAAGCCTCATCCACAGCATGGCGAGCCGCCTCGCTCCCACCCCACCGTGCCTGCAATGGCCCAGGATGATGATGGCGATGATGACGATGCTACTACTGCTGGCGAAGAAATACAGGGAGGGGAGGGAAGAAGACACTCGGGTGCCACACTCCTTCGCATGACGACACAGAGTGATTCGGATGGCCGGTTGGCCACGTCCGACGGGCCAGAAAACGAGATCTCTTTGAGAAACAGACGGCACCAGCGCTCTGGCCATGCTAGGTCAGAGCAGCCGTTGACGCAATCGAGCGCGCCAATACCCAATGCTGCCGAGTTTGTCCATCTCGACAATAGCAACATGCAGCATGAAAGCCAAACGCAGCCCAACTCAGACTTGGACTCAGACTCCGGCCACGGCGCTCGACAGCCGTTGTTGACACATTCCCAAACAGTGTCATCGGCAGACTCTAGCAAGCAGACATGACCATGGGAGATGAGCCACTTTTACAATATTCACATACTAGTACCCAGAAAATAATAATGAAAGACTATGATACTGGGGTCAGGACAAATGAGACAACTCCTGAACAGGGGCTGCATCGAGCAGGAGTTACAGGTCAGAAGATGCCGCAATAGCTTAGTACAAGTCATAGCTTAGTACAAGCACAGCTAGCTATGCTTGGTAGTGTGAGTGGGCCGGTGTTTCTAGACAGCCACGGTAATCAAGCCGCCATGTGGAAGTGTGAATGCTTGAGGCAAGATGAGAAATCAACACTCGCCGGTCTTTAGTGGATCACTTCTACCTTGTGACACATGTACTTGTACTTCAAAAGGAAGAAAGAAGGACTGTGCTGGTACCGGTAGTTGAAGCCACGCCGCGTCCTTCAAGAACTGATGGCTTGGCAGGTTTCTGCTCTGTAAAGCCAATTAAACATCTCATGCAGCAAACATCAGAAACACTTAGGACACTGGAAAAACCGGAGTTGAGTCCCTTCTGCTGCTGCTGCTGCTGCTGCTGCTGCTTTCATTGGTTTTCTCAGTCATCGTTTGCTTGCGAAGTCACACATTGTACTGGATGTAGTACAGTAATCCTGCAGGCATGTTACCTACAGGTTCACTGTACGTACACACAGTCTACACTGTACAAACATACAGGAGGCCATGAGATGTCAATACACTTCAGATTTCACAACCGTATGTATACTTCGAAGTATACATACTCGCTCGCTTTGCCAGTATGTGCTCATTCTATTTTCTTTGAATCGTTCCTTGCAGTGTTTCCGCACCGATGGGTGTACTTGTAGTAGGCACATGCACGCACGTACGCGCACACATATACGCACACACGCACACACACACTTTCTCTCTCTCTCTCTCTCTCTCTCTCTCTCTCTTTCTCTCTGTTGATTATTTCTGTGTCTCCGTCTCATCCATTCGTACTTCGGTGTATGCCATTGAGGGTCAAATCACGAGAGAGACATGACAAGCCCTACGTTATTGCCCAGTAAGTCAAAGGAGCTTTCCAACCCAGTTCATTTAACACCTGCAACAGCCAATTGATTTTTCTTTTCACCACGAGTTGTGGACGTAAAATGAATAATGAAGTTTCCGGTAAAGTCCGCGGCTTCCACACATGCATACGTGCTCATGACTGTACATAATATTACTTATATTAGTATAGTGTACATGTAGCTGTGCAGGCAACATCATGAACACACCCTTCGCTTGCTGATAACCTCTACCATAGAAAAACCCAAGATTGTTAGTAATGGAGGGTTGGTGGGGGTGCCAGTTAGAGGCATTGGAGTTTGCATGTTCTCACAGCAGTGGTCATGTATATGAACAACAGAAAAAATAGTTCATGCTGACCGTTTAACTTATGCATGTCATCTTGACAGACGAATGTCAACAGTCACCGGAATGTTTTTTTTTTAACGGATAAAACATAATTATAACGTGTGTAAGGGGTAGCATTGGTTATGACAACGACACAATGACAATCATGGCAATGCTATAAAGCCGAGCTGCAAGCCATATACGTACATGTAGGAGTAAGAAATACAATAATACCATAAAGACACTGGAGTATAGGGCTGAGTAAAGTTGAATGCTGATCTGATCTGATCACATAGGTGACACAGAGAGGTATATGGCAGTTATTTATGAGGCACATGGACGGGTAAAAGACATAACACATGGACATGGTGCTGTACAGGATTACAATCAGCAGCAGCAGCAGCAGCAACATCAGCAGAGGCAGCAGCAGCAACATCAGCAGCAGCAGCAACAACATCAGCAGCAGCAGCAGCAACAACATCAGCAGCAGCAGCAGCAGCAGCAACATCAGCAGGGGCAGCAACAACATCAGCAGGGGCAGCAGCAGCAGCAACATCAGCAGGGGCAGCAGCAGCAACATCAGTAGCAGCAGCAACAACATCAGCAGGGGCAGCAGCAGCAACATCAGCAGGGGCAGCAGCAGCAGCAACATCAGCAGCAGCAGCAACAACATCAGCAGGGGCAGCAGCAGCAGCAACATCACCAGCAGCAGCAACATCAGCAGCAGCAGCAGCAGCAGCGGTGGGTGGACAGAGCAAAGCGGCTAAGATCGGCAGCAGCGTCGCCCCGTCATGGTAGCAAGTGACAAGTTAGCTTGTCCTGGCCGTGGTGCCGGCCGGCAAGATTTACAGAATGGCACTCACGAGAAGTATAAGCGGGTTGCCTCTGCAGTGAGAGTTTCGTCTGGGCAGTACGGACACTTTAACCTGTCCACACACAGAAAAGAAGACAACAAAAAAAGGATTAGGGAGACAAGTGAAGCAGCTACACCACTCCGCCTGCTACACACCATCATTGCAGTTGCAATGGTTGCACATGGTGAAGCCGCAGCCAGAGGGCACTGTGATTATGAGTACAGCCTAACAGTAGAAGGACACCATCTACTCTACCTTACAATCTACTCTACCTTACAATGTGCGCATACTGTTACACGGTCTTCATTTTCATTTTCCATTTTGCAAGACATTGGGAAAGTATGGGATTCGATTTTTTCTATCTGGTCTGCAAAAGGTCTTGGATTTCTGCGGAATGTTGCATTCGTGCAGCCTGCCGATGCGTAACCCTCAGCCAACCCTCAGTACCACCAGCAGCCCTCAGTACCCTCAGCCAACCCTCAGTACCACCAGCAACCCTCAGTACCACCAGCAACCCTCAGTACCACCACCAGCAACCCTCAGTACCACCAGCAACCCTCAGTACCACCTGCAACCCTCAGTACCACCAGCAACCCTCAGGACCACCAGCAACCCTCAGTACCACCACCAACCGGTGAACCCTCAGTACCACCACCAACCCTCAGTACCACCAGCAACACACAGCAGCACACAGCACACTTACCGCATGCCGGCACGTAACTTGTCCTCGGCCTCCTTGGATATGACATGTCCGCAGCGGAGACGCATTGGCTCCGTGTTCTCGCGCCGTAAGATAGGGCAGGCAAAGAGGCTATGGAAAAGGCACCTGTCACCCAGGTCAACTTCAACCTGCCACAAGGACACACCCATACACACACCCATGCACACACAAACACACGCACGCACACACGCGTGCACACACATACGCACGTACGCACACACACACACACACACACACACACACACACACACACGCATGCATGTATGCACACACGCACACAATAACACCAACAAGAATGATGCGGAATGGGTTAACGTTATAAATACACATGTAAAAATGTTACAGTGTGCGAGACTTAGACCGAGTTTCCTGCATTCGCAGGAACACCACCACCCTCAAGGATCACGGTGCAGATGCAGCTCAGCGGTGGGAGGTGAGTAGATTGGGCCCACCGCAAAGTGACCAAAGACTGAAAATCCCATTCGCTGCATCCATGTTACCCTAAAGCAAGGCCACGCATTGCCCCCCCCCCCCCCCCCCCCTGCTGCACCCCGAGGCAAAGCGTCCTGTTCCAGTTTGCATTTTGTACTGCAGCGAATATTCAGGGTGTACGGCAAGGGGCAGGGATTCCTGGCCTGTTTTTCACAACTAGACATGCAGTTTATACTTAGGCAAATGTGTGGTGCAGGTACATGTACTGACGTGTCTAAAGTGGCAAAGGAGAGCAGCAGTGTACACTGCAGAATGCTGCAACGGGACTTTCCACCTCGCTACAAATACAGGGGGGAAAAGTAGAGCAAAGCATTCAGCATTCATGCAACGTGTTGGCTAAGATCCATGGAACAGTTAAAACTGCACACAGGAGTTGACTCCGGAGTGAACGCTACAAGAGTGCATGTAGTTTGCTGCAGTATCGCACTATATCGGCAAACCGATGTCGGGACATACCATCAGCTCGTTGCGATCCAGTTCGTCGTCCGCCTCGACTCTCAGCACTTTGGTCTTCTCCATTTTTTGGTGCATGTCGACAATGTGTGGGAATGATTTTGTGCCAGCGTATATACTGCATGGTTAAAACGATCACAGACACGCAACCGTACATTTCTTAGAGCATGACAGCAATGAGGCAAGATACCGTAAGCTATAATTGGTAAAAAAAAACTGCATGTACGCCTATTGATGGCACACTCCAGCTCTTGATTCGGCAGCCCAGTGGGTATTGCGTTGAGAGAATACTATCCGCAGCGTAAATAGAAGAGGTGTGTTATGCACATTGCACTTTGCACATTGCACACACACACACACACACACACACACACACACACACACACTCACACACACACACACACACTCACACACACACACACACACTCACACACACACACACACACACACACACACACACACACACACACTCACACACTCACACACACACACACACACACACACACACACACACACACACACACACACACACTCACACACACACTCACACACACACACTCACACACACACACACACACACACACACACACACACACACACACACACACACACACACACACACACACACACACACAAGCACATGCACATGCACATGCACAGACATTGGGCAAGACAACACACACACACAGACAGCCTTATATCACGCACTCTTAAGTTGCCCATGCTCAGAACTGCCTTTGCCGATTACACCCTCTAGCTCGCTGTGTGGATAACTCCGCCTGTTTTAAGAAACTGTTACGCCAATGTCTTGCTTTTTTACGCTAGTACTTATGACTTTCAGCTATGCAAAATTTATGCAAAAGTTGGGCACCCATCTTCTGTTGCCTCAACCATTCGTTCTATCGTGGACATGATCACCTATCCAATAGTCTATTATATTAATTATTCTTATCTTTTTACATCTTTCCCTCGAGTGGATCGATTGTTATTAGGCAATTGTCTGTTATAGCCACCACTATAAATAAAATACAATCCAATCCACACGTGCATGCACACGCACGCACACACACACACACGCGCACACGCACACACACACACACACACACACACACACACACACATGTACACACACACACACACATGTACACACACACGCGCAAATGCAAGCCACCATCCCATTCCCACCTGAAAGCAAAGACAAGTGAGAAGACACTGGAGGCTGCCGTTGCTATGTACAGATAAGAGGATACAGACAGGTTAGGCTGACACGGGCCACGAGTTGCTTACCAGGTAGACAGCGGACTATCCACGCTCTTGCCAAACAGTTGTGTAGCCACACGCAGGAATGAGTTACGCACATCATCCCAAACGGCGGGGCTCACAAAGTCTTTGTACGGAGAATTAGCAAGGCGTTGGCGATACACAAAACTACCGGCAAGACGGCGTATACCTGCACACACACACACACACACAGATACAGACACACACACACACACAGACACACCCACACATACACCCCCACACACATACATACACCCCCCCCCCCACACACACACATACGCATACGCACACACGCACGCACACACACACACACACACACACACTGACAGAGGTGATGTGATTACACAGTTGAGATGCTTTGGCAAAGTCACGGCACAGCGGCGACTGCTAGTGATGCACCACTAGCGACTCACTCTGTATACATGTACATAGCACACATAAGCGGTTCCGCAGTATACTTAGCACACATAACCGGTTCCGCAGTATTACCGGTACTTAGCACACATAACCGGTTCCGCAGTATACTTAGCACACATAAGCGGTTCCGTAATTCTGCGGACTCATCATTCAAACATACGAGTCGGATGCAGGTTTTTGAGCTCCGATGAAATGCTTCTTGTAGACCTTTTGTCATCACACACCGAATGCTGCACGCCACTATTCAAGGCATTAAAATTAAAAGTAGTTCCACATTTGTAATTTTAATGCCTTGAATAGTGGTGTGCAGCATTCCCTGGTTCACATACACCTAACGTTACTTCAAACAAAAGAAATTGAAGTACACACATGCACTGGCGGTGCACGTGCACCTACACACATGCAATGGTATGGCCTGGACTGAAGGTATGGCCGGGACTGAACTGAACTCACCTGGCTGCACTGATGACGTGTTCAGGGCCCGCTCGAACGACTGGAAGTAGTCGATGGCAACTTGCAAGTCTCCCGGCACCAGCGAGATGAAGTGCAGCGACATCAGCTTGAACTTGATCGTGTTGATCTGCTCCTTGTGTTCTCGCGGCATTTGCTGTGCGGTGGAGTTCTCAAAATCCCTAATAAGCCTGGGTCACAGCATTATAGAAGTCATACACAAAATAGGCATCAGGGTCTCCGACAGAAGAAGATACCGGTAAACAGGCTTGGTGTAGAAGGACAGATAAAGTGGCTGCTGCTGCTCCTGATTTTTTAAAGCAATATGCAGCAAGCATCTGTGCCGTTGAGCAGTGGCGTCCTCATGCTGCACAGAGGGAATGTGCCGGAAGAGCTTGCCCCCCCCCCCCCACACACACACAAAGCACATACATGTACAGTCAACTTGGCTAATAACGACTGCGGATATAACGACAATTCGCGAATAACGACTGCGGATATAACGACAATTCGCGAATAACGACTGCGGATATAACGACAATTCGCGAATAACGAGAGCAAAGTCCCATCTATAACTGTACTACCTATAATGAGACTTCGGGTATAAGGACACTTCGCGAATAAGGACACTTTTCTGATGCCCGGTCGAGTGTCGTTATACGCAAAGTTGACTGTGATACAATCATAATTATGTTTCCAAATCAAGGCCAAACCGCAGATAAAGAACTACACCGCAGATTAAGAACTACTCGCATCCATTACACTTCGGAGCTCCGGCTTCGAATGTGACAGTGTGTTTGGCCTAATTCGCTCCTAAAACCATAGCAATTCAAAGAAAATTTTCAAACTCCGCCACCATATTACTCCCGAACTCCAGACCTTCTTTGGCCTTTTTCTTTGCTCCACATGGTGGACGTTTCTTCTTCGATTTATTTTTGAGTCATTGCAGTTTGTAGTCCGATTTGTGGCGTGCCCCTTTCCGGTGACATGGATGGGGTTATGGATGATGGTACCCTGGAAAGTTCCAGTGGTGACCAGGTTCCGAGCGGCTCTGGTGCCAGTTCAGCGAGATCTGGGTCACTCAGGGCGTCTGCTCCTGAAAATTTGGCTTCTGAGGATCAGCGAGATCTTCTTGCCGCCGGGCCTCCGGCTCAGGCATTGGAGCCTTCTGTCAGTTCGGAAGATCAGCGAGATCTTACCCTGACTATGACTAAGCCTCAGGCTTTTGATCCACGTGCCGAGGTGGACACATCCGGCAAGTACCTTATACGAGCTCCGTCTGTCATCACAGACTACATAGAAACTCATTTCCGTCGTGCCCTGACGGACGAAGAGCGAAAGTCTATGCTCACGTTGCATCCGCGTCCTGCCACGGAAGCGTTGATTGCCCCCAAGATCGATGAGTCGGTAAAGAGCTGGATAGGGCACCAGCTGCCTAAAGTTGCTGATGGGAGACTTTCTTTGGTGCAGCAAGCATTGCATGTGTCGGTGGGCCCACTGACGTGCACCTGGGCTTCACTACTGGACACTGACCATGACACTGTCGAGGTGGCAGACGTAATGACCATTGTACAGCGTACACTCGTTCTGATGGGCAATGTCAATGCCTTACTCACCCAGGCACGGCAGCAGACGGTCTTGGAGGCTGGTGGCAAAGAGGTAGCCACATTAATGAAGGGTGAGATGCCTGAGAAAGGCAAATGCTTGTTTGGAGACAAGTTCACGGCGACTTTGACCGAAAAGGTCAAGGCGTCAACAGCTTTGCGGGATGCGGTTCGCCTAACTAAGCCCGCTAGTGCAGCCCCGGCAAGAGCCAGGCCGCCTTTTCGTTCCGGGGGTTTGGCGCCCAACGGGGCCGGGCCCCATTCTCACTTCAGTCGCGCTATCGCGACAGCAACCGGTCCGGGCCACCCCACAGTTCCGGCAGGGGTTATCCAGATCACGGCCGCCGATTCCGGCCTTACCCACCACGGTCCCAGCCACAGCAGCAGCAGCAGCATTCCGGCCCGCCTCCGCAGCGGAGATCAAACCCGTCGGCTTAGCAGCCCGGGGTTGTCCTGCAGATCAGCGAGAAGTTCCTGCGATAGTGCAGAATGCGCGGCTGAATCTGCACAGCCTACCGGATTCCTCTCCGGCAGGCCGAATTTGTCATGCATTGCACAATTGGAAATTAATCACACAGGACCCGTGGGTCCTAGCAGCAGTGGAAGGCTATCGCCTATCAATGAGCAGCCAGCCACACCAGGATCGGTTGCCACAGCCATACCATCTGGCACCAGCAGAGCAAACAGGATTAGACGAGCAATTCCAGAAGATGCTGTCTCTAAGAGCCATACAGAGAGCACCGCAAGAGCCAGGGATGGAGTATCTGAGCCAGCACTTTGTCATCCCAAAGTCCGACGGTCGTTGGCGGGCTGTATTCAATCTGAAAGCCCTCAACCAGCATGTGTGGACAGAGCATTTCAAGATGGAGTCACTCCATCATGCCGTCGATCTTCTCCAGCAAGGTTACTTCATGTGCAAGCTGGACCTCAAGGATGCGTTCCATTCTGTCCGCATCCACCCGTACAGCCGAAGATGGCTCCGTTTTCGCTGGCGGGAAGAGACATGGCAATACCGATGCTTGCCGTTCGGGCTCTCGGATGCCCCCCCCCCCCCCCGCACTTTCACCAAGATCCTGGCACCGGTGGCAGCATTTCTCAGATCTCTGGGAATCCTCCTAGTGGTGTATCTGGACGACTGGTTGTTCATAGCTGCCACAGCAGAGGCAGCCAAGCAATCGGTGAACGCAGCAGCATTTCTGTTGGAGCACCTGGGCTTCATCATCTCCAGGGACAAATCGATCCTGACGCCAGTGCAATCTCTGGAGTTCCTCGGCATAACAGTCAACTCGCTGTCCATGGAGTTTCATCTTCCAGATTGGAAGTACGAGGGCATACGCAAGGACTGTCGCCAAATGCTGAACAAAGGCACTGCCAGCCTCTCGGCACTACGGCATTTGCTAGGGAAGATGCAAGACGCGACAAAGGCGGTACCACTAGCGCAAGCGAGGTCCCGGATGTTGCAGTTTGTTCAGAACCAGATAACGGACGAACAGGAGATCATTGCCTTACTGGACGATGCCCAAGATGACCTCTCATGGTGGATTCACCTGACTCCAGCACAACGGTGCAGGCCAGTTCAGATCGCACCGCCCTCCCTGACTCTGACCACCGACGCATCCAACCATGGTTGGGGTGCGACGTGCAACGGCCAAGTCACAGGCGGCCCTTGGACAATCCACGACGATCGGCACATCAACTGGAAAGAGTTGAAAGCGGTCTTTCTGGGGCTGAAGACGCTGTGTCCCGACCTGACAGATCTAACGCTTCGTCTGGAGATCGACAACACCACGGCCGTAGCGTATATCAATCGGCAAGGGGGCACACACTCGTTCCCGGTGTGCCAGTTGGCGAGGGAGATCTGGGATTGGGCGTATGCTCGTCGGCTGTTCCTGGTTGCAGTGCATGTGCCGGGTGCCAGCAACACGACCGCAGATTACCTCTCCCGTCATCTACTGGTGGACAGCAGCGATTGGAAGCTGGACAGCGACCTGTTTCACTTGATTGTGACGCACGAGGGTCCACTTCTCTGCGATTTGTTCGCATCGAGACACAACAGCCAACTTCCCCAGTATGTCAGCTGGTATCCGGACCCGGACGCAGTAGCAGTGGATGCGCTTTCGCTGCCCAGCCACATGTGGGAGGACGGCTATCTCTTTCCCCCGATAGCATTAGTCAGCCGTTGTCTCCAGTTCATCCAGTACCACCAAATTGCCAATGCCGTACTAGTAGCACCAGCATGGAAGGGTCAGGCGTATTATCCCCAGCTGTTGTCCATGTTACGGAGCCACCCGTGGCGGCTGCCGGAGATACAGGATCCCGTGTTGGGTCCATTCGGCGAATCACATCCGATGGAGGCCAACCGGCTGCAACTAGCCGTCTGGCCATTATCCGGGAGGCCTTTCAGCACACGCTTCCCGTCTATGGGTTTCATCGTGGCGCTCATCAACCCAGTCCAGCTACGAGTCGGCCTGGAACATCTGGATTCGCTGGTGTCAGCGGGAATCGCTTGATCCCTTGGAAGCTGATGAAGTGCGGGTAGCCAACTTTCTAGCTTCCCAATTCGAGAGCGGCAAGCAGTATGGAACACTGAATGTCTATCGTTCAGCACTTTCGTCCGCGTTACCGGTGCGTGCAGATGAGTTGCCCATTGGCCAGTCCCCTACAGTTCGGCGCGTCATGGCCGGTGTCTATAACGAGCGCCCTCCGCAACCGCGCTACAGTGAGACCTGGTGTGTTGCATCTGTCCTGCAATACCTTGCCAGTCTTGATAATCAATCTGTCTCACTTGGCCAGCTGTCTGAGAAGCTGGTGATGCTCATCGCCCTGACCAGAGTCCCAAGAGTCTCAACGTTGCATGCACTCTCCATACAGAGTATGCATAGGAAGCCGGATGGCGTGCAGTTCATCTTGACACGCCCCACTAAGATCCAAAGGGTAGGCTCCGCACCAAAAGAGTTTGTGCTGCCTCGGTTTGCACAGGCGTCTACACTCTGCCCAGTGGTCTGTCTGGATGAGTATTTGTCCCGCACTATTTCTTTGCGGTCTGCTGCTGACATTGGGCTCTTTGTATCAACTCGCCCTCCTCATCAGGTTGTCAGCTCTGCTACGCTTGCTCGCTGGCTAAAGACCGTGCTCAAGGCAGCGGGCATCTCGAGCACATTTACAGCGCATTCAACTCGTGGTGCTTCCACAACGGCGGCTACTGTGGCAGGTGTCACGATGGCTGAGGTACTCGCCGAAGCTGATTGGAGTGGTCAGCATACTTTCATTGAGCACTATTATCGTCCCAGTTCACAGCTGTTCACGGATGCTGTCCTCTCGTCTGGCAATGAGATAACCTCTCATCATGACTCTCGTCAATCATGACTCTGTTCACTCTAGCTCTCTCTCTCTCTCTGGCTCACTTTCGTGCAATATTTGCTCTGCGGACAACTTTGGCTCAGTTGTCGCGCTTTCCTCTGCTTTGGTCTTTATGCAAGTTTGGACCATTCCTGGTATGACCCGTTCTGTTTCCATTAGGGTCCTGTGTAGTTACTAGTATATAAATATAGCACTGTCTGGTAGACTTGTTCTCTGTTGTACCTAATGGCCAACGCAGGTTGAGTTCCATCAGGCTTGTGCTCTGGGTATATCACTTTGAACATCACACTGTCACATTCGAAGCCGGAGCTCCGAAGTGTAATTGAAGATTCCGCAAGGACTGCTTGCAGTCTGATGTGGAATCTGAGTTACACGAGGAGTGGAGGCAGAGAATGTGACAGTGTGTTCCCTCCCAGTTGTCAGTGATGTCTGTGAATAGACTTATTCCCTCCCACACTGTCACATACATGTAAGTCAAGAGCTCCGAAAAAGGCCAAAGAAGGTCTGAAGTTCGGGAGTAATAATGGTGGCGGAGTTTGAAAAATTTCTTTGAATTGCTATGGTTTTAGGAGCGAATTAGGCCAAACACACTGTCACATTCTCTGCCTCCACTCCTCATGTAACTCAGATTCCACATCAGACTGCAAGCAGTCCTTGCGGAATCTTCAATTATTAACAACCTACTCAAGAGCTGGTAGAACATCATGGTCTCTCAGAGCGCCCATTATCTCGTTGATTTGGACATATTCCTTGCTGACTCCACCTTCCTGCATGTCCGCTTCCTGTATGCAAAATTCGCATTATACATATGAAGAACTCCAAATTTGAGAAAATGAGATTTTCAGCTCAGTGTAATCAAAAGGTCGAGAGGCATCACCAGGCAAAATTTCACATTCAAAATCTGACTAGAACCATTTCAAAACTGGAACCCAAATATGGATTTAATAATCGCACATAAAATGAATCCTTTTTGGCCATTATCCGAAAAGTGATGAAATGGATTCAGCGGGTTTTGCATCTCAGGTCTTCACATGTACACACACACACACACACACACACACACACACACACACACACCACACACACCACACACACACACACACACACACACACACACACACACACACACATACACACACATGCAAGAATGCACGTACAAAATATGTGTATTCCCGCATGTACGCACACACACACATGGACGTACTTGCACACACTTACACATAGACGTGCATGGACGCACTCACACACGCACATACACACACGGCAAGTAAGTGCGCTAGCAAATCGGGAAGAGAGAGAGAGAGAGAGAGAGAGAGAGAGAGAGAGAGAGAGAGAGAGAGAGAGGAGGGAGGGAGGGAGGGAGGGAGGGAGGGAGGGAGGGAGGGAGGGAGGGAGGGAGAGAGAGAGAGAGAGAGAGAGAGAGAGAGAGAGAGAGAGAGAGAGAGAGAGAGAGAGAGAGAGAGAGAGAGAGAGAGAGAGAGAGAGAGAGAGAGAGAGAGAGAGAGAGAGAGAGAGAAGGACAATACCACACTCAATAAATACATGACAAATAAATAGACAATCCGTCTAAGTTGCAAGACTGCAGAGACTGCTGGCCTTACTTCGCAGAATTGGCGGTTGATGTCCACGCGACTCTGTCGAATCAGATGTTCGCAGATACAGCGGTCCAGTAGCTTCCGTTTGTCCTTCTCGATCGGACGTGGCACGCACGCAAGAGTGAAGTCTGAAAAGAAATGCTATCAACAAGCAGATAGCATTGCACACAGAGCATCCGTACCACTATCAGACCTACTCCATCCGTACCACTATCAGACCTACTCCATCCGTACCACTATCAGACCTACTCCATCCGTACCACTATCAGACCTACTCCATCCGTACCACTATCCGACGTACTCCATCCGTACCACTATCAGACCTACTCCATCCGTACCACTATCAGACCTACTCCATCCGTACCACTATCAGACGTACTCCATCCGTACCACTATCAGACGTACTCCATCCGTACCACTATCAGACCTACTCCAGAGCTAGCTTGCACAGTGTAGTACACATGCAACGTGGCTACATGACTACAGCGCGTAGCAGAGCAGAGCCCTGCAGTGGCCAGTATGACCCTGTGAGGGGTGATGACCATGATAATGCACTGACTATTCTGACTGGTGATGATTAGGGCTGAGTCGGGTAGCATTTTCTTCGGGTATGGGGTTCGGGTAGTTTTCCACGGGTTGCACGGGTACCCGATCGGGTAATGTTTCCATGCTAACACCACAATGCACCCCTTCCCTTACACACTGGGTAGACATGCGGAGTTTTACATGAATTTGTACACGTGCACTGTACATGATGTCATCTGCGACTTCGGGTTTTCGGGTACTATTCGGTACCCGTCTACCCGTACACACCACTAGTGATAATGGTGATACAGTGACCAGTATGACTGATGACGACTATGCTACAATGACCAGTATGACTCATGATAACCATGCTGCAATGAGTCATTGACGAGTAGGACTGATGATGACGACGCTTAAGCGGGATTCACAGAAGCTTTTTTGCGATGCGACGCGATCTGCGACGGACGCGTGCGATGCGAACTCGCGAAATACCATTCACAGAAGAAGTCAGTGATGCGACAACATCTTGCTGATTTGGCTACGTCACCATGATATTTGCGCGGTTTGATACAACTTGTACAAATTTATAGGCAACTCTTGAACCTTTGTACAACTTTGCTGTAGAAAAGGTCAAAATCGTACGCCAAATCGCTTGTCGCATCGCATCGCATCGCAAAAGTTGAGCCAAGCTCACCTTCTGCGATGGCCTGCGATGGCCCAGTTGCGGCAGTTGCGTGGGGTGCGACGTGGCTGCGATTTGGGGTTTTCCCGGTTTCGCGGCTGTCGCATCGCGTGTCGCATCGCAAAAAAGCTTCTGTGAATCCCGCTTTATTCAGTTAGAGTGGATCAGTGGTAAGTACAAAGCCACTTGAGGAAGAGGAGCAACTGAATACATGCAATCCTGGCTGTATACAAAGGTAGGCAGTACTGCTGCAGCAATGGCGCTCCATGAACACAGCATGCAGTCAGCAATGGTGCTAGGTGAACAGTTGAACACAAAGTGCAAGTCTGTTCACAACTGGTGGCAACAGAGGGAAGCAAGTTTCTTGATTTAGTGTGGGCTGATGATCGCCTTCCAGTGTATGCTACAGTGTAGTCCTAGCTCTCTGCACCTCGCCAGCACTTCCACATGCACCCACCTGTCAGGTGTGCAGCATGCCTGCTCAGTTTCAATTGCCCCACACTCTAAAGTCTAAAGTTCTCTCTAAACACATGTTACAGTCAAGCTTCATAGTACGTTGTCTTCAGAGTAGAGTATTTCATACTGCACATGTACATGTATATCTTCCCGAATGGCTAAACCTACCCTAAACCTACCCTAAACCTACCCTAAACCTACCCTAAACCTACCCTAAACCTACCCTAAACCTACCCTAAAAGCAACCCTAAAAGCAACCCTAAAAGCAAGCAAGCACAACCCCGTGGGGGACTATTCTAACAGCCCAATTCTGTCACAAAAGTAAAGAACAGAGCACAGCAAGGGGAGAAAAAACCCCAGAGAGGACAGATTACATAGAACTGCTGTGGGTACCTTGTCCACGGCCTTTCCGGTCTTGGAGATTTCGCCGTGGTATTTCTTGTGACTCTGCGCACAGCCTTCGCTGGCTTTGCGTGCATTTTGTTGTAGTGACGCCATGTCCTCGGCACTGACATCCTGCGCTGTGCGGCGGAGAGCGCGTTGACACGATCGAATGATGGACAGAGAACACAGCAAGCAGCATGACCCATTGCACACGCACAGCAGGTAGAGTACAATAGAGCCTCAGCAGACATGACTCAAGCACCAACATGTCCTCACTCGGGATACATTTGCAATGCAGTCCCATAAGTTTCAACTAAGTATTGTAACCGTAAACGCATACTTCTGCCAAGATACATGCAGTATTACAGGAAAAGACGTGCCCTCCACCTGGAATGTTTTTCTGAATTCGGGAGGTCAACAGCTTGACTGTTTGGCCTTTAAGCTAACCCTTTTACAGCTACAGGGGTGTGCCAGCCACTGGACAAAATGCTACAAATCTGGCAAATGGCCAGCTCCGCATCTTTATGGTCCTGGCAATTGGGCTTTTGAACTTTTGGGAAATGGAGGCCAAGACAACTACCATCACATTGACTAACTTGATACAGCACCCAAAAGAAGAACCAAAGCGGCATATGACTCGCAAGTTCGCCCAAATTGCATAACTACGGCCGAGTCGACAATTTCAGCTGAAACATGGCGCGAAAAGAAGACGAAAAAGACGGATCATGTAGCAGAGAAAGTTAGGTAAGAGATCAAATCAAGCATGTTCTTTGGCAACCATGATGGCTTTAAACGCAACCCTCAGGGCTGCGTCCTCATGCCAGATTCAGTTGCCGTGACCTTCTGAACGTACTTGATTACATTTCGTGCGCCCTGAAATGTAACTGTACCTGTAACTATCATACCTAAGTGTGCATGTGTGTCGACCTTCATGCAATAACTTGTTCTCTTGTCATGATGCATGTAACACTGTTGCTCCAGCTAGTTCCGCTAGTGTTGTCCGCGCTAGCGCGTTGTTCTCCTAGCGCCTGATCATGTATCGATGCAGCGCAGTGCATGCAGAGATCAGGTGATTGTTGTGTGACGTGCGTGTGGAGCTGGTGCGTGACACGTGCTGGTCATTTTGATACTCCGCCATTTTTTCCTTGCCTTCGTTTGGGAACTGGTCTTCGTTCTTCTTTGTACTCGACTTAAGTTTTAGTTTTGTTGCTCTCCCAAAATACAATGTGAACCATTACTCTCTGGCTGTTGCGTGTGTCTGTTGGAGGGAGTGACTAGTTTACAACGTGGTGCTGAAACCCGGGATTGAACTAGGGCCGTCGTGAGTTGCGACTGCGGAGTTCAGGATGTTGAGTCTGAAAGTCGACGGTTTTGTCAAGCCCTTTCGGGGCAAGAACAATGAGAGCTGGCAACAGTTCTGGGCAAAGTTTCTCGTTCTTGCGGAAATTCAGGGCTGGGATGACGAAGCCAAGCACATGAAGCATTTTCCTCTGTTTCTTGCGGATGACGCGTTCCTGGTATTTCAGAGAATGGCGGATGCGGACTGAAAGAAGCAGGACGAGGTGGTCAAATTGATGCTATCGTCCTTCAGTATGACGAAGTCGGCTGCGTACGAGGCGTTTGTGGTCCGGAAGATGAAGCGTGATGAGCCCACCGATGCATTTGTTGCGGGTCTCAAGCGCCTCGCGGAGTTATCTGGTCACAAGGTGACAGACGACAAAGACCCTGTGGTAGTTCAGCAGTTTTTGAAAGGCCTCCCTGCCGACTACAACCGGCAAGTGCGGCTCAGTCTCGTGGGAAAAGACATGTCGATAAGCGACTGTGTGTCTATTGTTCGAGCTCTGAGAATTCCAGATGCCAGGGGAGGTGACGATGTGTCAGCTGCCGCCTCGTCGGGTGGTGCAGCGGCCAGGAGTGGTCCTACCAGTACCAAGTCACACTCACAAGCTGGATCTAGCGCGAAGCCCTCGGGCCTCTGTTTCAAGTGTGGCGAGCCTGGGCACATCCGCAGGAATTGTCCGAGCAGAAGAGCAGGCGGAGGTGGAAGGAGCCAGCCGATTACCTGTTTGTTCTGCGACAGTGCAGGCCATGTAAAGGCTGAATGCCCTGAGAGGAGAGAATGGCTGGCAAGGAAGGACAGGACTGCAGCTGCCGTGGGAAGTGCTCACCCACAGCCAGCTCGGGCGGAGAACGACTCATGCCTAGTCTCCCTGGCCTCTCCTGGAAAGCTGCCTCGTATATACGTGGATGTGTCTGTTGGAGCGGCGAAATCGAGTGTTCGTGCGCGGGCGGTCATAGACACCGGTTCAATTCGTCCGCTTATCTCGCGGTCCTTCGCCACTCAGCATGGCATCAGCCTTTCACCCACGGCTGCTCCACCCATACTTGCCTTGGATGGTAGTCCCCTAAAGCTAGTGGGGTCAGCTGCCGTTCGGTTGGCCTGTTCTGACGGTGCAGTCTCTCTGCCCAGCCTGGAAGTGCGTATGTGGTCGCCAATCTGAGCATGGTTAACGCTGATGTGCTCGTCGGCAATGGTGTGGTCACTGGCAGTGGCGGGCTTTGACTGAAGTACTCCCGTGATGGTGCCTTGATCGGCGTGGAATTTGGCTACCAACGAGTCGATCCAGAGGACAGCATGAGAGCCTGTGGTGCGTCTTCGAGCGGCGATCGCCACCCATTTCCCAATGTACTTGTGCAGCGTGATGGTGATGATCACTGCGTCGCTGCGTAGTTTGCATTGACGCGTCCAACATCGGTCTTGGCGTCATCCTGGAGACCGATGGCTCTGTCGTGGAGGATCGTTCTTGGCTGAGACCCCACAGTGACGCGCATCACATCAACATCATGGAGCAAGACCCTCCAAGAGTCACCGAACTGGCGTGCTGACCTCGATGTGCTGCTGTTTTATTACCGCAATCGTCCGCACAGCTCGACCCACTTGTCACCCATGGTGGCAATGAGCGGATGGCAACCTCGACATATCATCGTTGATGACGTCAAGGAAGCGTGCGACATGACCCAGTGGGCCTCAGAGTTGTCGTCACGTGTAGCTAGTGTGCGGAATATCATCGAGACGGAGCTCTCAGCCCGGGATTTCATTGACTCACCGAACGAGCCCTGCGTGTACTCTGTGGGTGATCCTGTCCTGTTACTGCGGCCTGGACGAAGGCAGAAGCGACTATCCACGTATGAGCCTGGATGGAGTGTTGCGGGTATCGTCTCGCCATCGACTGTGGTCATGGGCAGACAAGATGAGCGCCAGCACCCAAAGACCGTGAACGTCGATCTGCTGAAGCCTGATTCGCCTGACAACCCTGTGATGAGCACGACGGCCGCTGAGAGTCAAGCAGATTACAGCGCGGCAGCCGATGCTAACGAAGAACCAGACCTACTCGGCATGGAATTGATGCCAGGCTAAGCAGACTTTCCGGATGGTAATCGCTACGGCTTGCGAGATCGAAACGCGACCCAGCCCCCGGCCCGTTACAGTTAAAACGGCCAAGAGTTTTATTGCATTCTTGTCGCCAGGTGATGGGGTGAAATGTAACTGTACCTGTAACTATCATACCTAACTGTGCATGTGTGTGGACCTTCATGCAATATCTTGTTCTCTTGTCATGATGCATGTAACACTGTTGCTCCAGCTAGTTCCGCTAGTGTTGTCCGCGCTAGCGCTTTGTTCTCCTAGCGCCTGATCATGTATCGATGCAGCGCAGTGCATGCAGTGATCAGGTGATTGTTGTGTCGTGCGTGTGGAGCTGTTGCATAACACGTGCTGGTCATTTTGATACTCCGCCATGTTTTTCCTTGCCTTCGTTTGGGAACTGGTCTTCTTTCTTCTTTGTACTCGACTTAAGTTTTAGTTTTGTTGCTCTCCCAAAATACAATGTGAACCATTACTCTCTGGCTGTTGTGTGTGTCTGTTGGAGGGAGTGATTAGTTTACAGCCCACAATGGTTTCCTCGATTTCAACAGAAATCTGTGATATCCGCGACATAAATTTTGAAGAATCGGCCAGGAAAGCTGCAAAGCCTACCATATTTCACACGCAAGATTGAGAACTGAAAAGCTTGTTGCCATAGGGAATTCCCCTACAGAATCAATTAGCGCCAAGAGTACACAACCAAGAGTGGGTTTTTTTCTTCTCAAGCTGGGATTGGTTTACATACTGCGAAACAATTTCATTGCGCCGTTCTTTGGCAGAAGTATGATCAAGTGCGTATGCTTCCAGGCGCGTGTCTTGTTGATACGGTGTCAGTTCATCGGGTTCAAGACACATGGATCTATCGTCAGTTGTTCTCCTTTGACAATCGAAATTCGTTGTACTTTTACTGACCTCCAGTTACGCATGATTTCATCAGTGAGCCGCATGGCCGCGAAAGACTGATGGCATTAAAAATCCCGCAGTAGGCTGGGGCAGCGTTGAGTTGCACCCTCTTGCCAGTCTTGGCTATGTACTCTTGTTAGCACACCATCAGAAATACTGCCCCTCGGCATCCTCCATGGATCCACCGCTTTCCCATGACATGGACTGTGTAACCCATACAAGATCTGGTTGTGTGTGCATTTTTGTTTGTTTGTGTGCGCGTGTGTTTTTTATTTTATTTTTTTACAAAGACCACATTTTAAAAATGCCAAACATGAAGCACGCAGTCACGCACAACATGAATCATGGCAGTGGTGGTGAAGTTTAGGGAGCTCCGCCGACCTGGGGTCTCGACTTCATGGCCACCTAGACGCACCAGGTTATGTGTGGTGTGGTGTGTGTGCATGCGTGTGCATGGTGGATGTATTCTCACCTTTTTTGTACAACTAAATTACTGTCTCCTTGTTCTCTCTATTCTCCTCACTCATACTCTATTTAGAACTTTATTGGGCAATGAACCTACGTGCACAGTCAAAAAGAAGTAGTATAAACAATGTTACCTTCCTCAAATTTCTCCAAAAGCTTGGTGGTGCTCTCCAGCACAGCGTCAATCTGCTTCAAAGAAGAACCTTTCCACTCTGCAAGCTTTTTCTCAGCTTTCAGCAGCTCTTTTATAACAGCCGCACAATTTTCAGCCATGGTGAAAGTATCGCTCTCGAAGAGCTGTAGTTGTTCAAGTGGGCGATTATACAATATCGTGAAGTTCTGCTTTGTTTTCTTCACGGTCCAAGAATCACGGAGCAATAACAAAAAAATCAGTTCGAACTAAATCATAAATGTCATGTAGACTAAAAATTCATTGGCGCTGTTCACTGCACAGACTGCTGGATGCTGATATCATAATCAGCCTACGCGACTCAGTCCTACATGATCATACATGGCCAGCAAGGCTCCCCAAGTAAAGCCAAGGCAAGACTCGCCAAGAGTGTAGCTACCGTGGTATGGTGTAGACTCTACAAAGACTACAAAAGTACATGAAGAGTAGAACGTCAATAGCAGAGAGTCGTAAAATATTTTACGACCCTGGTCAAATATTCTGTAGAAATGGCATACCGGTTTTATGGATTTACAACATACATGTACTCATACTACTGTATTCGTCAAATACAGCATTTAAAATACAGGTATTTGACGACTCCCGATCCCTGATATCTGGATATTCACCATACTTCCTGTCCTGATCTATGTAGATCTACACTAGTACTGTGTCACTAGTATTATAATATCACCGGATTAGGGATCGGAGCCGGGGGGGTCACTTGGCACGAACATTGTGCGGGTGATCCTTCGGAGCCCGGGGGGGGGGGGGGGGGGTCACTTGGCATGTTTGATTGATTGATTGATTTTTATTTAAGGATTGTCCAAAGGCCGCAGAGGCCTATCGAGGGGATGTACATTGTGCGGGTGATCCTTATACCGGGATTTAATTTCCGGCCCAAGGGGGGGATCCCCCGTCGGTTTCCGAGGAAGCCGTAACTTTTTTCGCTCCAAACTATTTTTCCGGGGTCCATCTACTCACAAGAAGTCGTTTTGCACACCTTTTTGCCCATCCCTGTACAACTGAGTCCAGCTATGTCCGCGCAGAGGTAGGTGGATCCCTAACCCGGGTTCTACTCTACAGTCTACCACAATGTAGAATAGAAAAATATTTAGGTGAGGGCCCGGGGCGCCCGAGGTCGATACCATCATACCTGGAGGCGCACCCAGTTAACCCCAGGAGTTGAAGGCAAAAAAAAGTATGATGACTGTAAAGTGACTGTATCAACAGCAACGGCACAACTACAGCTTCCCCTCTTCTCCTCCCCTCCCCTACCCCCCCCCCCCCGTGGATTTTAGGAATAGGAAAGCTACCACACTACCATGTTGCGAGGCATGCTCCGAACAAAGACACTCCACTAAAACCCACAACGGTGGTACCAAGAGTACATAACCCCGGGGGGTTATGTACTCTTGGTGGTACGAGTAGTAGGACATGCCACTGCAGACAGATTTGTTGATGCTGTTTCAGAAGAATAGACAGGTAATGACTCTATTTTATTATAATGTAAGTGTAGATATTACTAGTGAGTAGAAAAGCCAGCGAGAATAGAGAACCAATATAGAGAGAAAGGTAACGCAACATCAAAAACACAAAATACAGGTGCTGGCAAGTTGCAGTCATAGCCAAAACACACGGACGGCGACTAAAAAAACGGACGATTCGGCATCAACTACCTCAACACAGTCATAAAAAAATGACTTATGTTTAATAGTGTCAATGACACAAGCACGATCCAGGAAAAAGGACACAAAAAAGCCGGAACGAAGCCGGAACGGCAACAGCAGCAACAAAAAATCATTTCACGACGAGACATGAGCAGGACCAAAAGCAGGGCAAGGGAAAACGGGTAAAACTGCAATACATGTATCACCTGCAGGGGGATGCACTGTCCCCACAAGTCCATAGTAAGAGCTAGGGTTCAGTCGATGATAACAGCTAATATAGTACTTTTAAAAAGGAGATAAAAGACGAATAAAAAAAGAGAACAAGCGTATAGCACAATGGCCAATACTCGAGATTGGGCACATGTCCAATGGTGCAAGGGAATAAGATCGGGAATGTGAACGAAGGAGCACCACACATCAAACACAACAAAATACATGACAAGATCACCAGCGTCCGCGAATCGGACAAGAAATAGACAGGAGAAAAAGCCCAGCATCAAACAGGCAACAAGACATGGCAAAACGTCCTCTGGCCTGACATAAATAGTACCCTCCAAGAGGGTTAGTGCTGAAATGAAACAGAACCGGCAGATTTGGGGCCAGTTCCATGACCAGAATACGCCTGACGCACAAGAGATAAAACACGCTTAAAAAAATAGCCAGTGAGCTTGGCACGCTTTCTATGAAGATGCAGTGTGCATGAAAATAGACACAAGACAGGAGGTAGGTAAAGCGAATAATAAAAAAATATAGACAAGATATACAGGCAACGTACAAACGAGACAGCATTCAAAAAAATGCCCCACAGTTGGTGGGGAGCAGGCAGACATACCTGGCCAATAGCACAGCATTATACACATAACGTCAGCTGATCATCATACATCTGTCTCCACTGATGGCTCTGGCTCGGAGTCAGAGGAAAATCCCTCAATGTGTTCTAAAAGGCTCTCCTCGAGTCTGACATCAAGAAGGGACAGCAAGAGATCGGCGCCGAACCCAGCCCGATCCTCACTGGTTCCAGCTTGCAAGTCACTATCAGACGAGTTCAGCAGCGATTCATCATCCAGGAGCCTGTCACGCGTGAACAAGAACCAGAGGCAAGGGAGAAAAAAAAAGACCAGACGAGTCACACAGACTTCGGAGACCATCAAACTAAACCGCCAAAACACAGACTGACAAGAACAAAATAGAAAGATAAGTGTAGGCGACGCTCGGCTGACTCCGTCATAGTAGTGAATGCTGTCTGATAAGCGCTTAGTGTGTGAACCTTTTGAAAGTTGCAGCAGAACACCTTTCATTTCCACTGTCACAGCCTGTGTGTCGACAAAGGTTTATATTTTATATTTTTGTATAACCCTTTGGTGCCTGACTGGGCATGCGCTGCGTGCTATGTGCACGGATCACATCGATCCAAACTTGAAATTTTCAAATGCAACCCCACAGCTTTCTTTAGGCTGTACTCACACTACTTGAAAAGTTGACGCAAATGTCGCGTTCAAAACTAGACAAAAAGTACTTGAAAAGCCTTTCCAAGCACACTGCACTCCAGTGACGACTTAAAACATTTTTGTCAGCAAATTACCATGGAGAAACATGATTGTCATGTGGTGTAGTTTTGCAAATCCCGAGGCACGTTCCTTCAATTTTTCTGCGCTCGATCAACTTATTTGCAATTTTCAGTTCATGAGAAAATAGAAACAGTTATATCTTGCTTGGATCATGGAGTTCGTTCGCCATACCTCGCGAAGAAGTAGCACATCGTCGACGTCGACGGATGAAGAAGTTTGTTTGTATTTATTCCATTTCCAGATCCGAAACGACTGCGCACTCTCCAGGTTTCGTGGATGAAAACCTCCTTGCCTATTTCAGTGAAATGTCGTCTTCTGCTACTGTGGCAACTTCGCTGGCCTCCATTGTACTTTTGTTGGTGACAGTTGGGCCGACAGCTCTGGACAGCACATCCTCAGAATGAGTACGGTCAGACGACTGGGTTTCGGGAAGATGAGGTGCTGGGAACTTGGGAAGACGTCAAGCCAACATCACCAGGGTGGTGGAAGAATGCATGGATCAGCAACTTTCGCATGGAACAGTGCACGCTTCTGTTTCTCGTGCAACGATATGGTAATCTTCTTGAGCGGCAACGCACTCATTTGAGACGGACTATTCCAGGGTGCAAGCGTCTCGCCATTGCCCTATATTTCCTGGCTCAAGGCGAAACGTATGCGGAAGTCGCTGCACTGTTTCAGGTCGGCCAGAGTACTGTGACATCCATTGCCCACCAAGTCGTCACTACCCTAGTTGGACCACTGAGTGCTCACACAATTTTGTTTCCAACAGGCCGTCAGTTGAATCGGACGATGAGACGGTTTGAGGAGCTATGTGGATTGCCAATGTGTTGCGGGGCAGTAGATGGCACATTCCAACAAATTGTGAAGCCAGACGAGTATGGTGATGCATACTGGTGCTATAAGGGTTACTCTGCTATTCTGCTCCTGGCGCGTGTCGACAGCAAGGGTCTATTTACCTTTGTAGACATTGGAGCGGCAGGGAGTATCGGTGATGCAGCTATTTACAACCAAAGTCAGCTCAAGCACAATATTGCCTGCAGCAAGTGGTTGAACGCGCCCACGTGGAATTGTGGTAATGCTGTCGTGCGCCCCTTCCTCGTTGGTGATAGTGCTTTTGCGCTGGAACCAACTATACTCAAGATTTGGAAGGACACTGGTAACCTCTCCCAGCAGCAGACCGCATTCAATGCAGCTCAAATCCGCACTCGCCTCGTTGTAGAGTGTGCGTTTGGTCGCCTGAAGAAAATATTCAGCATTGTTGCTCACTCCAACCTGAAAGACCCCCACTTTGCCAGCCAAGTCGGCTTATTGTGCTGCGCTCTCCACAACGTCATTGAGCGTAAACGGTTTGGGCACCTCCCTCGCTACAGAAATTTCAAAGTTCCTAAACCTGTAGCCGTGAATTCCTCGAGCGCTGAGGTTATTCGCAATGGTCTTGGTCAATATCTCCGCGAGCCGCTTTAGACTGCCATGCTTCTTTCCGTTGTGTTGTTGCACATAGCTTGCAGGTATTATAATTTTATTTTTATTTGCATAGAGAGAGAGAGAGAGAGAGAGAGAGAGAGAGAGAGAGAGAGAGAGAGAGAGAGAGAGAGAGAGAGAGAGAGAGAGCGAGAGGGAGAGAGCGAGAGAGAGAGAGAGAGAATGTCGCAGAACAAGGGAGACAAAGGAAGGCGTACAACCTTACCCTGGCAAGATGAATTCACCAGTCGGCGCTGGGGTGTTCATCAGGCACTCCCAGCTATTGGAAGGGAACTGGACTGAAGATCCCCGATGCTGCTGTTGCTGCACCAACAGCTGCTGTTGTTGCTGTTGGTGCTGTTGCTGCTGCTGCCCACTACCACCAGCAGCACCAGCAGTACTTGAAGATGCAGCAGCGGCAGCGGCACGAAGTCCAGAACCGGCAAAGCGTGGATTCGACAGATACCTGTACAGCGGACCACTGGGGTCAGCATGGCGTGCTTCTGCCGCCAGGCGCTCGCGTAATCGGTCCGAATGAGCGCCCTGCAAGACTGAAACGTTGCAGCGCAGAAAGAAGACAAATGGGGAAACATCAAAAGAATGGTCGGAATCAAGAATGCACCACTGCACAGGCGAGGAAATGATGGATCACCTACATGCGCACCACAAAAAGACTATGCATATTGGCTCAGCATAATTATGATATGCCCGTGATGAAACAAATCATGCAGAAAGTTGAAACATCGGGCATGTTGTCTACCCAGCGGATGGGAAGTCTAGCATGGCCGGCGGTCACTCTGAATAGACTCCACAAGCCACAGGCACAATACCTCGGCGAGCATCTACATGATCTACAAAGTGGGGCAAAGCTCGCTGTATGGCTCGCAGGTAGAGCACTCTGACTTTGACGCTTCAAACGAAATTGTTTTATTTTTGAAAGAAGGCCTGTTGTTTCCAAGACCTCATTGTGACCGGGTCTGACAGTCACTCTGAGCTGTGCTGATGAGCCCTAGCAAAGTTGAAACTTGAAACGCATCTGTTCGAAAATAGCGTACTACAAAGTTACGTAGAACACACGACTACGACCACCACCATTGCAGCAGCAGCAGCAGCACTATGTAGCAGCAGCAGCAGCAGCAGCAGCAGCAGCACTATGTAGCAGCAGCACTATGTAGCAGCAGCACTATGTAGCAGCAGCAGCAGCAGCAGCACTATGTAGCAGCAGCAGCACTATGTAGTAGCAGCAGCACTATGTAGCAGCAGCAGCACTATGTAGTAGCAGCAGCACTATGTAGCAGCAGCACTATGTAGCAGCAGCACTATGTAGCAGCAGCACTATGTAGCAGCAGCACTATGTAGCAGCAGCACTATGTAGCAGCAGCACTATGCAGCAGCAGCACTATGTAGCAGCAGCACTATGTAGCAGCAGCACTATGCAGCAGCAGCACTATGTAGCAGCAGCACTATGCAGCAGCAGCACTATGCAGCAGCAGCACTATGTAGCAGCAGGACTATGTAGCAGCAGCACTATGTAGTAGCAGCAGCACTATGCAGCAGCAGCACTATGCAGCAGCAGCACTATGTAGCAGCGGCACTATGTAGCAGCAGCACTATGCAGCAGCAGCACTATGTAGCAGCAGCACTATGCAGCAGCAGCACTATGCAGCAGCAGCACTATGCAGCAGCAGCACTATGTAGCAGCAGCACTATGTAGCAGCGGCACTATGTAGCAGCAGCAGCAGCACTATGTAGCAGCACAAGTGAAATCATCACCAGCAGCAGCCGCCATCGCTAGAGGAACTCAGTGTGTGCAAACCCGTGCTATGTGCGATATCAAAAAAGCATCACCACCAACTGCAGCATCAACAACAGCATCAACTGCAGCAGCAGCAACAACAGCAGCAGCAGCAGCAGCAACAACACCCTTGTTACTTACTGGAATCATGTAATGACAAGTAGTCGCCATAATCCAGGTCCAGATCAGGCCGACCAGATGCCCAGGAGCTCGGCGTTGATGTTGCAGCAGCCGAGGAGGAGTGCGCTGAAGAGCTCGGCCTCGAGGCGCTCGGCATCCACGCCGCTCGCAGTGAGTCCGAGCCGTTCCTGGACTCACTCGGCGTGCTACCGTTGTTGCTAGAGGATGCACAGGACGTGCGCCGCCGTGGTCCACCAGCAGAGGAGTTGCCACCGCTGCCACCAGTACCACTACCAGCTTGATAGTCCTGCGAAGGAGATAAATGTCTGCGAATGTTGGCAATTCGCTCCTCCTGATAGACTCTGGTCAAGGCTTAAACAATAGTGAGGCTGGTCTTGGGCCAGTTGGTAATACACATCGCGCACACAGAACAAACACACGGTCAATGTGGAGCGTCAGCAATGTCAGCTGACTTCAAGACGTCCAGTGGTGTGTGAAGTCAAGCCAGTGAAAAGCCAGCTGAGTCAGTCAGCTGCTGTAAGTTCAGTAGTACATATCTGTGTTCCCAGTGGTTGATGTTCATGATGAATGCGATTCGTCGTCTATTGCCAATAATCTCATTTCTAATCCTGAGTGTTGTGCTATTGCTGGCTTGTCTACTGCAAGTCCCGCATCAAATTTTCGGCCTGTACTGCTGCCGCCTGTATACACTGTCACACTGAACCTTGGAAAACAAGATTTCGGCCGCAACAAATTTTCGGCAATAGCCAAAAATAAATATGCGCCGAATTTTGTTGACTTAGGGGCCATCCGTAATTATCGATCTTTTTCACGAAACGAAAAAGTTTCGTTTATGGGTGGGTGGGTAGCGACTGGTTTCGTTTTGAAAAAACATCGAAAGCGGAAAAATCAACGCTCACTGCCTGCATTGATGCATGCATACATTGTGTACAGTCCGTATCGCCTATAAGGTTGGCGGCTATAGTAATATACCGGATATAGTGATCAATTTCTGAAATTCATTTTCATTTGCCATAACTAAGTATACACAGTTATCGCGTATAGTAATAATCGTCTGTAGTAATATATCGCCTATAGTGATCAAATTCTTATTTCAAAAGACCTGTATTACATTATGTTTGCATCGGTTATAGTGATTGATGTAAAATCAAGCGATGTTAGAGGAGAACAGGGTGTTACTTCTTCGTGAAGAACTTGTCCAGTGAGTGTTGTTTGGTGAGTTTTGCTTGCACAAGTTGCCAAAATATGCCTCCATCGTGAGGAAATGCTGATTTTCTGTGTCAGGAGCTACAGCCAGCTACATGACATTGTACATGTATGTAGTGCGTATGTGCACGGCGCGCTGAGTCGTTTGACACCCCACTCGCATACATTGCATGCAGTATCGGTCATAGTAATATATCGCTTATAGTGATAAAATGCTCAAAATCAAACACCAACGCTATAGCCTCAGTATACTATAGGCGATACTGACATCGAAGTAGATCGACAGTTGACTCTACGTCGCGCGGCCAAGCAAGTAGGGAGGTTCTGCTATACGTGAAAAGTAGAGAAATCACGTAGAGAGCAGGTGTCTGGGTTAGAGTCTACGGCTTCGCGTGTTTTGGCTCCAGATTTCTACGCGGAGATGGGGTTCTCTACGTTGTGGCACACGCGGAGAAAATGCGTACGGATTTGCTGGGTATCGATCAACTGCATGCAGAAAACTGCCAAATATGGAAGGGGAAATTCCCAGTACACATTCCACGTGACTTCTCTAGGTGAAACGTAGAGCAGAATAGCATTTCTTTACGTTACGGGAACGCGAAGAAAGTTCGCGTGATTCTTTGCGTCGCGTTCCCAAAACGTAGAGCAGAACCTCCCTAGTGCTGCATGGATGCACTGATACCACTCTGTACTCAGTGCAGTGAGTTCCTTTCGTCCTCGGATGACTTCTCCGACGAGGACTTAGCAGTCATCATGGTCATTCACTCTGGGACCGACGACAGATAGATAAATACTTCGTTCCAGCCGCCGATGCAAGAGAATTTCAAATTACGGAGCGGGGCGCAAGCCAAGTAAATTCTCACGCAAATATGGGGAGCGCCAGCCGTCGAAGACGATGTCGTCGTAATGTACCTGAAAGAATCTGATCGTGCTTATGGTGGGGAAGCCATGGAGAGTGATCCCCGTGTCGACAGTCTTCCAGAGACGGAAATTTAGGCCATCGACTTTCTACGTACCCGATTGACGGCAGCGCAGCGCGGCGTGCGTGCGACCTTACGGAGCTTTCCGACAGCGATTCTGGGGCGATGCTGCTCTCATCTGCGATCGAGGCACGACCACTGAAGTCTGTGATAGCTATGGCGTTTGTTTCCGCTCCGAAGTCGACTTGTTTTGGCAGTATCATGTCAATGTCGGAACTCTGACGATTTGCAAGTGTACAATTCCCGTGTTTAGACGTAGAGGTGCCAGCGTATGTGTGTGGTAGGTGAAAGTAAATGTTGTCATGGTCAAGAAGTAGTACCAGACTTCAAAGAAAACATAACTTGCTTGCACAATCACACAAAATGTGGCCTCGCTGTGTTGCAACAGCCAATCAAGATCATTTTCTGCACGAAGTCTCAAGTCAATAGACAATAAATATTTTCGTTTCAGGGGGGTGGGTGGGTGGGGGTGGGTCATAACTAAACTTTTTCGTTTCGTGAAAAAGATCGATAATTACGGATGGCCCCTTACAGTATACTGTCCCCGGCCCGGGGGGAAATCGCGGTTCCAAGGATGCAATTTTTCCGCTCTTTTGAGGATTTCTTCTGAATCCGAAATTTCCGTGATTTTTGAAGTTGTTGCATGAAAACATCGAAAGACTGTGTTCAGGAGGACACTGCTAGTTATTGTTGTGCATTGTCATCCAGTATGTATTCTAATAATAGCACAGCCACAGTATTCCAGGTAGCTTCTAAATGTAGGTGTTTGGACAAGGACGGAGAGTTGGTTAGTAGTTTCCTGCCATATTGAATACTTCTGCAATATTGGCCGTTTTTACCTTTGTGCATTGACGTGCCTCAGACGGCGACCACCCGGTGATTGTCTGAGCGGTTATCTGCGGTTATTCTTTGTTAACCGTGCAGCGGAATTGTTCACTGTATTGTTTATTCCAATTGTTTCCTTTCGTCTGTGTTTGGCTCCTGATGTGCTGGCTGTGTGCTTTCAACCTACCATAAGAATCGCTGCGCTCCCATTATTCCATCAGATGATGATGCGATGAAGCATTCTTGCAGTTGTTGCTAGAGTCGGTGTTACGTTTATTTCTTGTACTTTGTGTGAAAAGATCGAAGAACAACACCTATCGAAAGGCGTGTGTTGTATGAGTGTCTACAGGGACATTATTAGCAGTTCGAAACTGAATAGAAGGGGCGTTCTCCATCACTCCGAGGCCTTGTTGTTGTGGATTGCAGATAGCGGATTCGGCGGATCTCGTGACCCTCCATAACAGACTGTGCTTGGATCACATGATCGAGGTCTGGTCACTCCGGGGTCTGTACATATGGTAGCAGATCTCTCTATTGGGTTGGTTTACGCGTGCGGGATTTATAGCCAGTCAAGCGCACTACAGCAATTACTGCTGATGTAACGCACCGCTACGTCAACGAACGCGTCAGGCGAAATAGCACGTCATAGTACATTTGAGATCAGCGGGAAGAAGATGACGACGTCCACTAATTTAGTATCTGTACACACGAATCTGCTGTGTGTGTGTGACTCTGTATTATCATCTTCTGTGGTTCCATGCCTAGCATGTACGTCTGAACCATCCTGCAAAGTTTGAATGACGTAGGTTGAGCGATCGCTCCGCGAAACATACTTTTTGAAATTCCTTCATAGTATATCTTCCACCATTGAAATTTCGAATTTCTCCAAAAAAAGTGCTGAGAGGGGTGGCTTGCAACCTCGATATGGCCTGTTCCAGGCATGCTTTGGAGCCATCTTCTGTTGAAGTAGTGGCGGGGATCTGCCCTGCAACTGCTACAACAAAAAATGATTCGATCTGAGAAAGGGTGAGACCGCGAATCTCGGTTGAATATTGAGTATTTCAAGCCTTTTCACGACGAAGATGGAGTTCTTTTTGGAGATGGACGTCGCGGCAAAGGACATGGTGTCCGACTTCTGGCGTCTGGTGAAGCCAGGGATCATTTGTCCAGTCAGGTCGGCAGCCTAACCGTCGGTAAGCTTGTGCTTGGATCCCGTTCTGCTTGATGTGGTAGATCACAAACAATTTGATATCGCACAAATTGATCTCAACATCGTGCGTACAGTATTTTATATTCAGAAAATCCCAAAGTGTCTCTGTGTGGCCGTCCTATGCCACGAGAAACTCCAATCAGGCTCCTATGTCCTCTGCCTTCATGATTTAATGTCCACTTCGTTTGAACAACGAACACAACAATTGAGGGCGGCTTTGCAATGAAAAATACAGCTATACTGGAGCTGAAAAAAAAAAGAAAAAAACGTGCTCAGGATGAGACTCGAGTACACGCATACTCTCCCAGCAGGTGAAACGCAATTTTTTGTGAAAAAATGCGTGTCGCCGACTGACCAGTAATTTCGCCTGACGGTTATTTGCTTGAATACCAATTCAAAGAACAAGCGACTAATCTACTAACCCCTGCAATCCTTGTTCTGCAAGATGTAATGTCTCTCCATGCACCAGCCTCTAGACACTGATAATGCAGTACTACCCTGTATCATTATCTGCATCTGAGCACGTCCATGCACCGGCATTCTGAATACCCGTGGCGCACAGTTAGATTGAACAAAATTACTGTAAGTCTGTTGCGGGACTCTGCGCCTTCAAAGCCATGCCCTTATACATGTATTCGAAACACCACTGCTTTTCTGGCTATTTTGGATGTGACACGGCCTAACCACAACCCCATGGCATAAAAATCAATCCACACACAAAAATTCAATCTACATCCATTTTCTAGAAGTTTTACCTTTTTCTGGTGGGCTGAAAACAAGGCCAGCAAAGTACTTGTTGCTTAGTTCTTACAAAAACATATTTCAAGGGTTATCTCATTTATCAAGCTGTGATACATCCCTGCATTTCTCTAGACACGTGGGCTCCACTGAAGTTATTAACTATACCCATACATCCTCAAAACACGCTGTAAGTCGCTAGGCTACACCAATCCCTGCATTTGACAACCAAGAGAGTCCGTACACATGCAGACGAACACGTGTGGTTAAGGATACCGTGCTGTTAGACCTGCCGGGTGCAGAAGCTTGATCGCCCAGGTGAGAGCCCAGGTGATTAGCAAGCGCGTGGATCATGGTATTCGTCCCATACCCCGGCGTGGTGGCACACACAGGGCAGATCTGCAGTGGAAAGAACAAAAAAACACAGATTTCAGAGGCGCTACATACATGACATGCCCGTTACGCGAACCCGTCGAATTTATTTTATTTTTATTTTTACATACATGAACATGACGAAAAAAAAAGATGATGAAGAGCGATTGACACGGCCTCACACCAGCACTAATATCAGTACAAGGCTAAACGGTACAGTGCTGCTCAATGAAATCCAGTCGAGTCACACAAGTACGCGCTAGGCATTGCACCGGCGGCCTAGACCTGCCAACATTGGGCTGCGAAATGGCGCAAGGCGAAAACTCGACTCACGCGGCCGGATTTCATCGAGCAGCAACGTAACCACACTGCCACAGCCTGCAGTTTGACCCGGAGAGGCTAGAAGACACACCATGCAGCCGCAACAAATAAAACAGAGTAAATCAATTCCTCCACGAAGCATACAGTACGCAGACGGGTGTGATCCAATCGAATCAATAAAGTGTGCCCCAGTTTAGATATATTCGGTACCTACCACGTCTCTATGAGAGCGACCATGCTCAGTGATCACGTGTTCACGCAAGCGACTGACGGTGAAGCCCATCGAGGCACAAATGGGACATGTGAAAGTGTGCGACTTCTGATAGGAGAGATTCTCACCAGCAAAATGAATATCTAATGTAAATAGAGAGAGGCAGAGAGAGAGAGAGAAGAGAGAGAGAGAGAGAGAGAGAGAGAGAGAGAAAAGAGAGAGAGAGAGAGAGAGAGAGAGAGAGAGAGAGAGAGAGAGAGAGAGAGAGAGGAGAGAGAGTTATGGCGGCTCTAGAGAGTGCTCGATGCACCTAGGTGTAGAGGAAAAAAGCTATTCGGCAATCTACTTTAGTATTTGAGCACATTGCTCCTGCCAGTGTATGTGAGTGCAGGTTTCTCCAAGACTCTTCGGTTTGTGATGGAGAAGGATAGTATGAAAAGCGTCATATCCGCTACGAGGATGGTGAAAAACTCACGGGAAGTGCGGCATATGTGTCATTATACTGCATAAAATGCCACAGAACAATCTGCTTTGAAATGCGCGCTTTAGCGCGCGCCGAAAATGAAAATTAGGCGTGCGAAAACCGCCAAATGGGTGGTTCACAACTTGTACCATGAAGTCGCAGAAAGGAGCGGCAGAACGGTGTGTTTTTGTTGTTTACACGGCAATCGTGCCTGAAATACACTATATTGACGGACATGAAAGTGACAGGATGAAGAAAGTAGTACCACGAGAAAGCCGATAAAAAGCTCCACACCATGGGCATTTCCACAAAGAATGAAAAGTGAAAATCAAAATAGATATGCCAGGATGAAGTTGTGAAGAGAGAACAGAAACGGGTCCATTGCACAATCTTGTGGATTTTCACCATGCCACACAGCGTGTTCTCCAAGGTCGTCACCTCCTACAGAGACCAAATTTGAATCCTTTTAACCCTTTACTGTCCGATTAAAATGTATACAAGCCCACGCAACCACAAAATCTGAAACTAAAATTAGACGTAACTTTGGTTTGAATTTGACGATTTCCACGATCTTGGGCATCCTGGAAAGGTCTTGACGAGACGAACGCAATGAGCCCACACTCGGCGCCACAGGATGCACTGGTCCAGCGCTGCAAGCCAGGGAACGCGCAAAAGCGCTGAGCTCATGCTCGAGATCGATCTCAATCCACTATGTCACCCCTGTTGCTCGTATCGAGCTCAAATATTTTCGTAGAGACTCCCGGGAACCTGCTTTTGAATTTGAATCGGTGTAGCCTTGCCAACAGGTGACGTAAACAGGGAAAATCCCAGCCGTTGACATGCGCGTCGCGCTCTCAACGCACATTTCCCGGGACCAGAATTACGAGTGCGATAACTCAGCAACCGCTCTTCGTATCGCTTCGGGAATTGTTCGAGGCGACAGCTGAGACTTTTCTCTTCGACCTACATATTTCAATCTCTCCAAAAGACCTAGATTTGAGCAAGTTACGATAATTTCAAAATGCCTACCATCGATCCTTGTATGTACGGACAGTAAAGGGTTAATGTGGTTTATATATATATATATATATATATATATATGCTATCAGCTTCAGCCTCATTTTCTCTGTGCTGCGCTGACGAGTCCACAAAGGACGAAACAGTTCTGTCCGCAGATTGAGTATATATATATATGGCTACAAGCGAAGGTCCCTGGTTCGAGTCCTGGTGGTGACAGTCAATTTTTTCTTCAGACTTTTCCCGTTTGTCTCTTTCCCTCAAACCAGTTAATATTTTATGACTTGGGGCTCCCCACGTGCTAGTTTGTACGTGAAGTGTGTGGATTACAGTGAGGGCTGCGTCCCACCCGCCTGTGTGGATTCATAGGAAGTGTGAGTTACGAAGTCTGAAGAAAATGTTGAACGGCCTCTGCTGGGATGACGACTACACCATAGCTCAGTGGTTAGAGCATCGCTGGCTACAAGCGAAGGTCCCTGGTTCGAGTCCTGGTGGTGACAGTCAATTTTTTCTTCAGACTTTTCCCGTTTGTCTCTTTCCCTCAAACCAGTTAATATTTTATGACTTGGGGCTCCCCGCGTGCTAGTTTGTACGTGAAGTGTGTGGGTTACAGTGAGGGCTGCGTCCCACCCGCCGGTGTGGATTCATAGGAAGTGTGAGTTACGAAGTCTGAAGAAAATGTTGAACGGCCTCTGCTGGGATGACGACTACACCATAGCTCAGTGGTTAGAGCATCGCTGGCTACAAGCGAAGGTCCCTGGTTCGAGTCCTGGTGGTGACAGTCAATTTTTTCTTCAGACTTTTCCCGTTTGTCTCTTTCCCTCAAACCAGTTAATATTTTATGACTTGGGGCTCCCCGCGTGCTAGTTTGTACGTGAAGTGTGTGGGTTACAGTGAGGGCTGCGTCCCACCCGCCGGTGTGGATTCATAGGAAGTGTGAGTTACGAAGTCTGAAGAAAATGTTGAACGGCCTCTGCTGGGATGACGACTACACCATAGCTCAGTGGTTAGAGCATCGCTGGCTACAAGCGAAGGTCCCTGGTTCGAGTCCTGGTGGTGACAGTCAATTTTTTCTTCAGACTTTCCCGTTTGTCTCTTTCCCTCAAACCAGTTAATATTTTATGACTTGGGGCTCCCCGCGTGCTAGTTTGTACGTGAAGTGTGTGGGTTACAGTGAGGGCTGCGTCCCACCCGCCTGTGTGGATTCATAGGAAGTGTGAGTTACGAAGTCTGAAGAAAATGTTGAACGGCCTCTGCTGGGATGACGACTACACCATAGCTCAGTGGTTAGAGCATCGCTGGCTACAAGCGAAGGTCCCTGGTTCGAGTCCTGGTGGTGACAGTCAATTTTTTCTTCAGACTTTTCCCGTTTGTCTCTTTCCCTCAAACCAGTTAATATATATATATATATATACACAATCTGCGGACAGAACTGTTTCGTCCTTTGTGGACTCATCAGCGCAGCACAGAGGAAATGAGGCCGAACCTGATAGCAATGGAAATAAAAATTTCCAATCAGGCCCGAACGTACCTTGCCAGAGTGCTCAAACTAACAAGTCAGTGAGCTCTGCATAAAGCAAACAGCAAAGGCACTACCCCACGCAAGAGTGCTCAACTGCTACAAGAGCAGGAGCGAAATACTCAATCTGCGTATATATATACCCAATGCTGTAGACAGCAAGCTGTTTCGGCCATAAAGGCCTCATCAGTACAGCTACGAGCTAAATAGGCCGAGCTACCAGCCATGGTGCAAAGGAGGCACCACAGACATTAAGGTAGCTCGTCGCTCTAGCGCCAGAGTGCTCAAACTACAAAATGTAGCGGGCATTGCGCGATGCAGCAGCACTAGAGCAGCCTACTGAGAGTGCTCAACAAGGCGAAAGCCGAGGAGCGTGATATATATATATATATATTAACTGGTTTGAGGGAAAGAGACAAACGGGAAAAGTCTGAAGAAATAATTGACTGTCACCATATATACTGCATACACACAGTGTGAGCTGACAATAATGTGTCTGACTGCTTTCAACTAAGTGATCTTCCAAAATGGGTACCTACTACCTAGCCAATGTCGATCTACAAAACGAGGTTTCCTTGTATGAACTGCGTGACGCTGCGCAGGTGAACTACTTGATTGAACAGCATGACTGTTACCGTGATGGACGGAATCCGATGGAAGCTGCCACATTCCTGTGTCGCTTGTCACAGGGGAAGTTTCTGGGGGCAATGTGCCCCAAGATCGATGTATGTGGGCAGGACTGCAGCGACTTCGAGGAACTGTCCAGCGCCGATAGCGGTCTGCTGATCCACATCATCAACGGCAAAACGGAAATGTTTTCTTATTTCGACCGCGACCTACGAAACGGGAACTGTCAACGTTGATAACGTCTTATGGTAACAAGATGTCAGTCTCCAAGTATGTACGCCTTGTATCAACAATCAGTTCATTAGACACGACTCCGGGAAGATATTTACAAGCCCTGCTGTCAGGCTCCGCGTGCAAGCCAAACACCGTATTACCTTCAACGTTAAAGTCGAGTTCGACGAGGCGACAGATTCTGCGAACAGTGTCACCTGTACTAAAAGTCCCAGGAAGAGGCCCAGAGCGGCGAATGATACGGAGTCCGACTGAATGGTGAAAGTTGAAACGGTATGCTTCTCTCTCTCTCTCTCTCTCTCTCTCTCTCTCTCTCTCTCTCTCTCTCTCTCTCTCTCTCTCTCTCTCTCTCTCTCTCTCTCCCTCCTTCCCTCCCCCCCCCCCTCTCTCTCTCTCTCATTTATCTAACAGTATCAGATACAAATTAATATACTAGTACAGATGTCATATCCTGGGAATGCTTTGAGCGCGTGGGCAGCATAAAAAGAAACTCAGGAAAACAAATTTGAAATGTTTACGATGAAGGAGTGAGAAATGGCTGACGAGGAGAGAATTTTCTCGGATACCCAGCGATGGGGAGCATTTGAAGCACCCTGGCGTTGGATATGTGATCTCAGTAGTGTCCAGTTTGAGCTCATTGTACGCAGCTCGTGGAGAGCTTTCCAGAATGCCCAAGAGTGTGAAAATTGGTTGAAGGTAAAGGGCTAAAGAGCCGCGTAAAAAATCAAGTCTTGTTTCGCGCTTTTTGGTGTAAACGTACTCGTGCACGCCACGATTATCGTGAAAGTGGGCCCCCAGCTCGCTTGCACTTTTCAGCCACTTTTCTCGTTCACAGGTAAAATACCATAGCAACTTTCGGGTGCACGTGGATTTGCCTGTCGTGTGAATACCCCATTACTACTTGCACAGCTACAGCATTTTAGTATTTTTACTGTTGCTATGTGCGGGCACGTACCCGGGGGGTTACACGGTTCGGACAAACCCCCCTTTCTGTCAGCCGACTGAACGATTTTTTGGTTTTTCGTTGCCCTGCGCTGCGCGCGGGCGTCGCGCCGTGCTGTCAACTAGTCGTCAAGTCCCAGATTCCAGTGGCGTAGCCAGGGGGGGGGGGGGGGGGGGGTGCTTTGGGTGCCCAAGCACCCCCCTCAAAAATTTCAGGTACCATTTTCGTACTGCTGTGGATCTACGCCCGCCCGCGATCGAGACTCGACGTCGACAAGATCGACGCCACACGACGCTGCGCTGCACGACGGGGCCCGGCCAACTGTATTACTAGTAGCGCATGCAGGTTGCACTTGAGACTGCATGCATGGTTGCACATGCAGTCATGTTCTCGCCGGTGACAGGCGCAGTAGTGCTAAATTATTAATTTTTAGTACAATGTAGTACTACCGGTACTGTAATTTGAACTAGTACTACCGTGGTAGTATAGTTGTGTGTAGATCTTTGCCTTTGAATGTGAGTTTGGTCGTTTTCGGATGCACTGCGCATTGTACAACTACCGGTATATAGACTCGCACTTTGTGTAGCTAGACTTGGTAGAAGTGAAAGAGAAGTGTCAACGTCGTTTTGTGATCCGCAAGTCGAATGGATTCTTATGAAAATGTCGATCTTGAAGTATTTCAGTCGAGGGAAGTCGAAGAGACCAGATACCAGTAGCAGCAGTGCCAGTGCCATTTCCGAATCTGACGAATCTAATTGCGAAATTGTCGAAGTCGAAGACTCGGAAGAGCCGCAGTTGTCGCCCTTGGCTGTACCAGTAGCAGTCGTCCGAAATGACATCGGTACCTTCATGGAGGACATTGCGAAGGGTGCACCGCTCGACGACGACGTGATGTTTGCCCTGCTAAAGGACCATGTCCAACCGGATAGTTCGTTTGTTTTCCCGAAGAATGGTGGCCGGTCTTTTCAGCCCCGCTGGCTCGATGTATACAAGCCATGGCTGGTGTTTAGCCCTTCGCTTTCCGGCGGAGTCTGCGTTCCATGCTGTCTATTTGCAAATGCATTCCGAGGATCGTCGCTCGGTGTTTTGGCAAGACGTCCCTTGACGAACTTTCGGAAAGCACTGGCGCTCCTGGATGAGCATATGGGGAAAGCCTACCACCAGGACGCTGTGGTAAGAGCTGACGGCTTCCTCGGTGTCATGGAGGGGAAAACGAAGGACATAGCACAGCTGACCAATGATGGACTCGCGGCTAGGGTAGCTGCGAATCGCGCCAAGTTGGAGGCGATAATCAAAATCCTGATCTTGTGCGGCAGACAAAATATTCCTCTGCGAGGTCACAGAGACGCCAGCACAAACAAGGAGGCCGCGGATTCCGCAAACTGTGGAAATTTCTGGGCTTTGATGGACTTCAGAGTGGAGGCTGGTGACAAGATCCTAGCTGGTCATATTGTTTCTGCCCCAGCCAATGCAACGTACACGTCAGGAGATATCCAGAACCAACTGATCGACATCATTGGTGACCAGATTGCCCAGAGGATTGTTGATCGGGTCAAGGATGCTGGATGGTTCACGGTCATCGCTGATGAGGTGACAGATGTGGCAAACAAGGAGCAACTCAGCTTGGTGTTACGGTACGTGGACCTATCGACAAAGGTGGTTCGAGAGGATTTTGTCGTGTTCGTTGAGTGTGCAGCAGGAGTTACCGGAGAGGCCCTCGCTAAGCTGATCACGGATACCATCACCAGTCTTGGCCTTGACCTTGGCAAGCTCCGTGGACAGAGCTATGACGGAGCAGGCAACATGGCAGGAGCCAGGAAAGGTGCCGCTGCCCGTATCACAGAGAAGTACCCCCGAGCTTTGTACCTGCACTGTGCCTCGCACTGCCTGAACTTGGTGGTCGTCTCGTCTCTGCAAGATCGTTTGGTGCAGAATATGATGGGCGTCGTCACCCGAGTAGCAGTTTTCTTCGACTCCCATCCGAAACGCCAGAAAGCGCTCGAGGCCGCTTTGAATGATGCAGACGAGGAACCTGATACATCCAAGGTAAAGGATCTCTGCAGGACACGGTGGGTGCAGCGACTTGATGCACTGGAATCCTTCCTGGCCCTTCACCCCATGCTTGTGGTCTGCTTCAATGCAATCCTGGATGAAGGTCCCCAGGCGTGGTCAAGAGATTCCATTACGGATGCGAATGGTTTGCTGACGGCTATCACCAACACCGACTTTATCGCAGCCTTAGTTATTGTCAACAAGTGCCTTCATTACGTGCGTGGCATCACCTCCAGTCTCCAAGCAGAAGCCAAGGACTTGATTGCAGCAATGCACGATGTGAGTTCCGTCACAACCACACTGGCAGAAGTCCGAAGAAATGTGGACAAGTACCATGGTGAGTGGTTTGAAGTGGTGAAGTCCGTATGTGAGGCAGTGCACGTTACGCCATCACTTCCTAGGCTGTGTGGTCGCCAGACCCAACGGAACAACGTTCAGGCCGATGCGCCCGTCCAGTACTACCGACGTGCCCTGACAGTGCCCATTCTGGACCACATGGTGTCGGAGATAGAGGCCAGGTTCACGCCGCACCACTCGACCGCACTCCAGGGCTTCTGTGCCATCCCAGCACTGCTGCTAAAGATGTCCATGGACGCTGCGAAGTCCCAAGTACAGGAGCTGGTGAAGCTGTATGACGACGACTTTGTGTCTGGCCGTAGTATGGAGGCTGAGCTCCACTGCTGGCGCGTGAAGTGGGTGAAGGCAAAGGCAGAGCACGGTGAAGCTAGCTTGCCGACCTCGGTATCAGCAGCGCTACCCCACGCTTCCCAGATGTTCCCGAACATCCGCTGCCTTCTGCAACTTCTTGCAACCTTGCCAGTGACGTCTTGCTCGTCCGAACGGTCCTTCAGCGCCCTGAAACTGGTCAAGGACCGGCAGAGATCAGTGATGAAGAACTCCCGGCTGACTGGCCTCACCTTGCTGCAGGTTCATCATGACATTCCAGTTGACGTGGGTGCGGTCATCGATGAGTTTGCTCGCCGCCATCCACGACGAATGCAGCTGGTGAATGTATTGCACAGTGAATGATGCAGCGTACTGTGGTACATCTCACTCTGGCACATCTGGACTGTAAATACAAATCTCATGAGGCGGATTGAACATGAGCACTCGTCGGCAGACATACGTAACCTCTAATACCTGTATAATAAGATTTCCCCTGTATTATAAAATTTTCCTATCCTGGCTGGTATAATGTGCAGCAGTGTCCTGGTGATTACATGTATTCAATCGTGGATTGAACGAACTTCAACAATTGTCTGTATTATATTCTGGGTCTAACCACACCCTGTCAATCTCTTACCATCCAACTTCTGTAGCAAAGTACTGTGCGTTTCATACGATTATCTGACTTTTTATTGAATCATTGGTGGAATGGAAAATAATGAAATAGATGCAAAAATGAAGGATTTGGCACTCAATATCGAAAAAAATTCCGCGGGAGGGCCGCCGGACCCCCCCCCCCCATTTTTCGCGCCCTTTGGGCGCAGGCCCACACTTCCAGTGAGCACCCCCCTCAGCCACAATCCTGGCTACGCCCCTGGATTCTACGACTACTTGACGTTTTCATGCACTGCGCGTGCGCTGAAACACGCAACGCGCGCTAGAGTTGGTTGACGTGACGTAGCTATTTACTACAATGGACCCCATGTAACCGCCCCCCCCCCCCCCCAACCGACCCTGCATACGCGCCTGATGTGGGTTGCAAGGCTTTCCATGCCACCCAGTCAGTAGTGCCACAGGGCCGGTACATGTATGCTGCTATTATGCATACATTACAATGAAGGGCAGCTTTGAAGCTCCAGACCTCAGCCTTTAGAATCTTCCCTAAATATTCTGTGCTATCTTTAGTCGAAGTAGAGGTAAACAATCTCCAAAAGGCTTACCAAAATCAGTTTTTGTCAGAATGCACTGCACAGCATGATCCTTGGTATGATTTCCAGACGCTAGGCCACCATCGTAACACGTGGCACATAAGTCGTAATCGTAGCAGATCAAACACTTGTAGCGCTTTCCTGCGAAATTGTGTACATTGCACACGTCGCATGTGACCCCTGCGAAAGATCAGAACAAAGAGTTCAACTGCGGGAATGCATGACTGGATCACTTCAGCAGGCGGAAAACAAGCCCCAACTCACCTTCATGCCGCGCTCGAGACATTTTCTATCAAAATTTCCAGGACGTTCGCGTCGTGCTGCTGATATGAATGACCTGATCAGCAGCAAATATTTCAACTCCCAGGAAAAATAAAGGGCGAGGGATAATTATTATTGTTGTAGACCCAGTACAGACGACAAAGAGCACTGCAACTGAACGGTTTGATGCTACTCTTATCTGGGGACTGGCAGCGCACCACCCTAGATCTTTCAGGACTGTCTGAATTAACACGAAGAGAGTAGAACTGCTCACACAATTATCAGATTTACGATCTACAACAGTAGGATATCACTCAGCTCATCGATCATCTGCTCAGTGCTAGTGACTCATGTTTTTTTTTAGCAAATAAAATAATAATTTTAAAAGTTTAATTTAAAATAATTATAATACGGAGCATCAGCAAATCGAATATTCGAGTGAAATTCGAGAATCGTCACGAAAAGCACTCACAGTCCATCATCAAGCGTGCAAAAAACAGATCTCTCCCACTAATCGAGACTTAGGGTGCGTTCTTATATTCTCTGGCTTCTAGAAGAAGAAGAAAAGAGAAGTCGAAGAAACTGGGATTACTCAAGAACGGGTCTCGAAGAATTCCGAGATATTTTCCACATGTCAAGCAAAATGAAGCGTCAAAGGGGCCGCGATCTTGGGTGATGAATGTATGTGCGTATGCGAAAAGGGAAATGCGTCCACTCATGCCACTCATGCTGAACACGTGGCTTTTAGTCGTAGTTCGCATGCGCTGATCCCTAACCGCGGGAATTAGTTTCAACCACCTCTGAAGCTTGGAGAGCTTGGAGAGCTTTGGAGAGCCTCCTAAAAGTCGGAGAGGATATAAGAACAGTTCTCGAACTTTTCGGAGAGTCTCCAACTTTTCCGAGAGGATTTAAGAACGCACCCTTAGGGCCTGGTCAGACTGCGGCAACTTTTGGTTGCCTGACGAAAAAAGAACAGCGTCCAGAATTTGAATCGCGATCACACTACACATGTGGGGAGAATGAAAATTCAAACTTCATTTCGAGCGTCAAGTGGTAATCTCCACGAACGACGTCAAATTCCTTCACCTTGGGATCGCCAACACCTTCAGTGCAATCCTTGAAACCATCCTTATGAGTTTTGTTGTTGTCCGTGGCCAATTAGCTCCTCGATATCGAGATGAAAAAATCAGTGATTATCAGCGTCAATGGCGTATCAGCGTCAAATCCTGTTTGGAGCGGAAAAGCGTGGCCCGTTCTTGCTTTTTTTTTGGAGCGTCAACTCTCGCTTTTGCCGCTCTGGCGGCAAGTTACTATGGAGATTCGGATTATAATCCTAGGATTATTTCGATTTTGGGCCTGGTCAGACTGCGGCAAAATCGAAATAATCCTAGGATTATAATCCGAATCTCCATAGTAACTTGCCGCCAGAGCGGCAAAAGCGAGAGTTGACGCTCCAAAAAAAAAGCAAGAACGGACCACGCTTTTCCGCTCCAAACAGGATTTGACGCTGATACGCCATTGACGCTGATAATCACTGATTTTTTCATCTCGATATCGAGGAGCTAATTGGCCACGGACAACAACAAAACTCATAAGGATGGTTGCAAGGATTGCACTGAAGGTGTTGGCGATCCCCAAGGTGAAGGAATTTGACGTCGTTCGTGGAGATTACCACTTGACGCTCGAAATGAAGTTTGAATTTTCACTCTCCCGACATGTGTAGTGTGACCGCGATTCAAATTCTGGACGCTGTTCTGTTTTCGTCAGGCAACCAAAATTTGCCGCAGTCTGACCAGGCCCTTTGCCGCAGTCTGACCAGGCCCTAAGGGCCGATTCCCACTACGGTACCGTGAGTGCCGTGCCGACGATTTGGGTAGGTCACGTGTACTCCACGGTACGAGCTTGAAGCTGAGAGTGATTTACACCTGCGCCCAATCATTCCGTGCATTCCGTCGGCAGGCCGGATCACCATTTTTATCAATTTCTGACTTTGGTCCTGAGGGAAAATAGCGGGGGAGATGACTGGAGAAAGCTCAAGAATCAACCAATCGAAAAGCCAAAAGCCAAGAAAAAACTTCGTACCACAAATACAAAAGAAAGAAAAAACTTCCTTTCAGGGAGTAGTAAAATACCTACTACTCACTGCATTCGACCTCACGGAATACCACGGCATGCCATTTCCACCCCCCAGAGACCCTCGGCACCGGAATGTCCACGGCGCGGTACGGCAGGAGCCACGGAATGAACTCGCGCCAAAACTGCCCCTCACGTGAGCAAATCACCATGGGTACTCACGGCACGGCACTCACGGTACCGTAGTGGGAATCGGCCCTAAGGGCCTGGTCAGACTGCGGCAAAATCGAAATAATCCTAGGATTATAATCCGAATCTCCATAGTAACTTGCCGCCAGAGCGGCAAAAGCGAGAGTTGACGCTCCAAAAAAAAAGCAAGAACGGACCACGCTTTTCCGCTCCAAACAGGATTTGACGCTGATACGCCATTGCCGCTGATAATCACTGATTTTTTCATCTCGATATCGAAGAGCTAATTGGCCACGGACAACAACAAAACTCATAAGGATAGTTGCAAGGATTGCACTGAAGGTGTTGGCGATCCCCAAGGTGAAGGAATTTGACGTCGTTCGTGGAGATTACCACTTGACGCTCGAAATGAAGTTTGAATTTTCACTCTCCCCACATGTGTAGTGTGATCGCGATTCAAATTCTGGACGCTGTTCTGTTTTCGTCAGGCAACCAAAATTTGCCGCAGTCTGACCAGGCCCTAACACTGATTTTTGCACTTTTGGGCCCAAATAAGTCTTGATGACGGCAAAAATAATTGTCAACTGAATACGGAAGTGAATGAATTTGGTCGAAAGTGTCGAACCACCTTCATGACGAGCAACCGTTTGTGGCCACTGTTTGTGAAATTGGAGCTTGTTATGGTGTGTCTCGGCAGGGAATTTTTTCATGGCGATCAGGAAACGTTTTCCACATCGAAATCAGTGGATATGAAATTTAGATGTTCAAACAACGAGTTTTCTACGTCGAAAGGAAGTTGGAGCACCATCGAGTTTGATTATTCCGATTTCTTTGGTGGGCTAAGGTAAGGGTAATTAACTACTGGACATAAAAATCTCACCTGTTCACGCCCTGTATAATCCAACTTCGACCTTCAAAGTGGAGGTACTCAAACAACATAAACCATACATGCCGTATACATAAACCGGCCATTTCAAGTGGGCATGAAAACACGCAAATGCACAGCTGTGTATAACTTACAGTACATGCACATGTATGTACGTACACTGTAGACCCTAGTTTGTGTTCCTCTGTGTCTCTCGGTGTGTTCGACGACTGTAAGCGTAAGGAGAACGTTGCCGTTGTACGCGCTCTTGTGTGTAGTATGTGTGCTGCGTCCCCTGAGTCGCTGTCTAGTATGAGATATCGGTACATGTACATGTAGCTGGCCTGGTGGTGCGTATTGCCTTGATGTGGATCACCTAACTCGTGGCCTTCTAAAGCAAGTCAAACGCATGCCGTTTCAGATTTATGGTCTCGTGGTGTGTGTGTGTGTGTGTGTGTGTGTGTGTGTGTGTGTGTGTGTGTGTGTGTGTGTGTGTGTGTGTGTGTGTGTGTGTGTGGTGTATGTGTATGAGAGAGAGAGAGAGAGAGAGAGAGAGAGAGTCTGTCTGTCGTGCTCACAATATCTCGTTTTCTGCTTATGATGCTATGTGTTATTAATTAAATGACACATACAAATTTTGTAGAAGATTAGAGGTGATTGTCCTCTTCGCGTTCCTCTCTGCTTCGCCTGCGTTATCAGCACTGGTTTCTGCTCTTCACACGTACATGTCACCCCCGCACACACACACGCGCGCACGCATGCTCATGTATACGGGTTTTTTGAAAGATATAAAGTGCCGTGTACGTGTTGTGTGCGTCTAATGCATTCACACGAACTTCAACGGTCTATGCATATACCATGCACGTGTCACTTCTCCTTTGAGGAAAGAAACCCAAAGCATATCAATGCAATCACATACAGCCAACTACTTTGCGTATAACGACCCCCGGCGGGGCATCAGAAAAGTATCCATTTTGGCGAAGTGTCCTTATACCCTAAGTCTCATTATAATTATGTACATGTACATGTATACAGGTAGAATGGACTTTGCTCAGGGAATGGAAATTCTGTCATTATCCGCGAATTGTCGTTATATCCGCAATCGTTATTAGCGAAGTTGACTGTACATGCATACATCCTTTAAGTTTGTGAATGTACAACGTACGTTTGTCTTGTTTATGCTGTGTGTCACTTGCTCTGCCACCCGTGTTGCGTTCTCTGTTTCGGCTATTGCTACTGCACTGTTCTAGTCAGAGATTAGTGTTGATAGGGAAACCGAGTGCGAACCTGGCTAGCCTTTGTTGGTGCGTACCCGTGCTTGTTTGTATTCCTCCGACGGTGTGGCACGCGCATGTGATGTATGCGAACTTGCGAAGTGTCCGGCATGTACGAACTGTGTGTGCGTGCATCTGCAGCACGGAGGTTTGGCATGTTTGTGCTCCACTTGTGCATGTAGGATTCAAACGTGTGCTACGCACGCGTGTGGGGCACACCCATTACGTCTGCGGCACCGTGACATGGCCAGTATGTGATGTGCGACACGGGTGTGCAGGAGTGGCGCATGGGCGTGTTCGCACTGCGGCACGTCTATACTCAAGCGTATTGTCCACTTTCCTGATCCCAGGAGTGTTTGGATGTGTGGAAAACACCTGAACTGAATAGGGCTTGAAAGTGCTACGTCACAGCATAGCAACAATTTCAAAAATTCAAAAATTGGATCCACTTGGATCCTGTTTTTGTATGGATCCAAGAACATTTCAAGCCGTCTTACTCTCAGCAAGGTGATGTAACCAGTGAAACTGACTGATTTGGCTACTGGGGGCAGGGTTACAACTGGCGGCGAAGTAAAAGTCACCCCTGCATACGACATGAGTGGGTTGCTATGCACCCACATACTGAGGCAATAGCAAAGTCACACCTTAGTGGATCCAAAATAGAAATCTGATGTCAACTTAGTACTCCCTGGCCGTTTTCGACGTCATCACTTTCAAGCCCTATACAGTGGAGTTAGTTTGAACTCTTGTGTGCTTTCTGTGTACAGGTGTATCTGCGGAATTGAGTATGGTGAAGAAATGCGTCTGAAAACCTGGAGCACCATCGATTTGCCATAACCACTACTCGAATGTCCGAGAGCAGGGTCGAGGGCAACCACACTACCGAAAATTACACCTGTTCACGCCCTCCTTTCAGGTTACTGGCTCGTTTTCGCCAACTGCTCCGAATCGTACGAAAAATTCAAATGTTCACGGCCGAATGGCACCATCCCAAAGTCTTTCGGATAATTTTCGATATGCACCTCGCGAACATACCACCTTCCTGCACCCATACACCACAAACAATGCATGCTCCATTCGACGAGGTGGGTGTCATGAGTGTTCTTTCACGTCAGTCGCCTGAAAGTCATTTCAGGGTGAGAATCGTTCTCAAGAAAAAGATCGCAAAAATCAGTGTAAGTCTCGATGGAACGCTTGATCTTTGAGGATGGACCATTTTTCAGGCACTTTTCAGGCAAGTTGCCATGGCGATCACTTTGAGAAACGCGCGAAAGTGAAAAGTGCTTGTTGTCTACAAAGCAACACCAGCACCGGCTGCACCCTCTTTCAAGGCAACTTTTTACCTTTTCAGAACACTTTTCTGACTTTTCTTCAGCCTTTCGATTTTTTCCGAATGTGTTCCCTGTCGTATCTTTCAGTTGTGGTGAGTTGTGAGCTGTCAACAATGCCTAGGGTCATGTTTAGCCAGGAGCTTGAGGGCAAGCTGATCGAGCTTTGGAGCGGACATTTGAGGCGACCTCCGGGCGGTACAGTTCGCAGGAGCTACGCCGGAGGAAATCGCCATCAAGCTGAATTTGTTTGCTGAACAGCTCCGGGAGGAGGCAATCTATACTGCGTCGATCGTCCATTCCAAAATCGACAACATTAAAACGAAGGCGAAAGGACTGTACGAGACACACACAACGAAAACTGCCACCGGAATGCCTGTTGGCGAGGTTGACAAATATTCGACCTATGATCTGGAATCCGCCTACACAGCGCGCGCTAGCGTGGTCAAATTAATTTCAAGATTGGGCACGCGAAAATGGGTGATATTCGAGGATTTGGCCCAACAAAGAGCCTCTCCACTGTACTACCGCCGTTGCTAGATCAAGCACAGGAAAGCCTCACAGTCTAACCTTCAAAGTAAAGTCCCGTGATCGACACTTGTAGGTGTGAATGCAGCTTCACTTTATAAGCCACTTTATGCCTTCAAGGCAAAGCCACTTTCGGCGTAGTGTGGAATCGGCCTTACGGCCTGAATGCTATTTCATTTTTGGCAGCAGACAGATGGAGCATGCTTCCACCTGGATGTCGTCAAGCTAAGCCCCTTTCTGCATTTGTCACAAGCACCAAGTCATTCCTAGGGTTCCCAGTAAAAAGGCAACGCCTGTTGGGAGTTCCCTAGTAAAATAATAAATTCTACTACTACTACTACCAAGAGTACATAACCCCCTCTTGCTACTACTACTAGACCCGCAGCCCGCGCCAGAGTTGTATTATTATGGTATCGACACTGCGTTCATACTACAAAATAGGTACTTTTACCTCTTGAGGGAAGTTATGAAGAGGATTCCCGATATTGTCTTGAAAATCTTGGAAGCTTTTTGTACAGCAACAAGAAGGACGTGCAATGAGCACTGTTTATTTGTCGACATGCATGATTTACATTAAAATGGAAGGGGAACTACTTGCAAAATACTTTGATATGGACAGCTAAAAATGTGAAAAACAGGAAAAAGAAACGAGGTGATACAACACACCAAACATGTGCCACAGCGCGAAAAGAAATCAGCAGAAGATATACATTGTGTAAGAAAAAAAGTTTTTATGTTTATAACCTGAGTATGGCTTGCAGTCCTGCGTCTCAGCCCGGGGCAGCGCATTACAGTAGTAGTAGGTAGTGTGTTTGCTGCATACTCACAACGGGCTGGCGTGTGCTCAGCGCATATAAACTCACTGCGGGCTGGCGACCAGCCCGGCCTTGCACATGTAAACACCCTTGGCGGGCTGGCCCGCTCGCTCCAGCCCGGGCTGGAGTTGCATAAAAGGCCCCTTAGATGGACAATAAGCAGCGGTAACAAGCAGCATCGTATCATCGAACATGAGTTATGTGCCTATCGCCTGCTGTCTTACATTTATTTTTTACTTTTATTTATTTTTGTTTTCCTCCGTGCCCACTCTGCCTGTCTTCTGGCACATGCGAATATGTGGACTTACTGTTGACGTAAACGCGGACGTGCGTATAATAATAATAATAATAATAATAATAATAATAATAATAATAATAATAATAACAACAACAAGCAGCAGTTTCACATGACGATCGTTTCGCCGTATAGATAAAGACGGCTCATCAGGTGTGCAGGAATGGACTAAGATAGAGAGCCAAGGTTTAATTTATACAAAAGAGAAAGACCAAGGAACTACAAGTTACGCTATACTGTCCACTAACACCACCAGTTACTAAACAATCAGCTCACGCGATAACATTGCACGACACTGACCGACGGTACTGACGTTCTACAACTAACTGGCTAACAGCTCTAGCACATCTTGGATGCTCCTTATGTTATTTCTATAACTTGGAACCTTCCAAGTTGGAAGGCTGTTGGAGTGCGCATCCAAGATGTGCTAGAGCTGTTAGCCAGTTAGTTGTAGAACGTCAGTACCGTCGGTCAGTGTCGTGCAATGTTATCGCATGAGCTGATTGTTTAGTAACTGGTGGTGTTAGTGGATAGTATAGCGTAACTTGTAGTTCCTTGGTCTTTCTCTTTTGTATAAAATAATAATAATAATAATAATAGCACAAAGAAGCGCGTTCAGAATCGGCAACTGAATTACATGCCAAAAAAATCGGCTTCCACTCAGAGCGGCACACAAATAGTTATACCAAGGAAATCGCTAACAGGGTATGCTCGCCCGTCTGTGGTAAGGGACGTTGTGGCCGTAGGGTAGGATCCAATCCAGGCTACTGGCCGATGAAGTGACAGCTCCAGACGTTCGACGCACGTGAACAAGTCGTTACTATACTCGCAACCAAGTCCACTGGCCAGGTACTTAACCAACCGTAACATGCACTGCTTATAACGTATACCTGGCACCTCAGTCGCCCTCTTCTCGCATTCCTCCTGGACCTGAGCTCTATTGCGACCTATTTTCCCTATTTGCCCTGGATCATTATACAAGTAGTGGATGGTCTGGTCTTCAGAGCATTGGAAATCTGCACAGTGACAACAAATCAAGATTTAGAACAGCAGTCCACCATTCATGAAAGTTCGTCTCTGGCTCTGGCGAGCTTCCGTATTAAGTCATTTTGGTGATTCTATCCTACAAGGTGCAGTGCTGCGGCAATTGAAAATTCAAAGAAGTTACCTCAACTTGGGTTCGAAGCGGACAGTCCCACAATGAACTGTTGCAAGTGGAGTAAAACGGGCTAGATTTACTGTATCAAGGTTTTTTCCGAATTCAGTGCTTTTTGGGCAAACCCTGGGCGAAATTATATTCTTGTTACGGCTTCCTTGGAGAAATAGACTTCAGAAACATAATTGGGAGAACACTCCATAGGGATTGCAAAACATCCAAACTCACTAAAAGTTTAACCCACCTATAGTCAAAAGCAAGATGAGCATCTTTTTATGAATGAAATGTAGTTTTAGTAGGAAAGTTGGTTGTTCCCCACACTGGAGCTCGTGCTTTCTGCCGATCTGGCTGGTCACTTGACTGACTCACGACTGGCATCCAGAGCACACGAGAACTTCGAGAAGTCCATCTAACTTTCGACTCGGCAAACCTGCAGAAGGCACCACTCCCTGCTCAATGCCCACTGTTTGAGGGAATTCACCCCTCATCAGTTGAGCTTGAGTAGGCTGAGGAAGATTGTCCCTGAAGAGCACCACTTATATAGTGCACTCCAGGTCCAACCATCACCAGGGATACACACTTACAGAGACGCTCCGTTTCCAGCGCGACAAACACCTCGTAAACACCAGATAGCAGCGTAAGTCAGTGCCGCGAGTCCTGGGCAGTGGGAACAGACCTTGGGGATCCTGGGTCATTCGCAATGCTGTCACCTCTAAGCCAGCTAGTCCCAAGACTGTGCTGTGCGACAGTATGCAAAATAGAATAGTCCACAGTTCCATGGACTTTTCATGACCCAAGGTCCACGACGCCCAAACTGCCCACGTGCATCGAGTGGCTCATCCTCACATCCAGGTACAAGTGCTCCTGGTAGTACTGAACCACGTTCATCTGTCACATCGGTATAAGTATGTGAATGAGGTGACTGTAACAGCAGCACCAGGGGTTCTAAGTGGAGTAGAACGCAAGCGCCTTGCAGTGCTGCATGTAGGAAATGTTTAAGTTGGCTGCGAGGCGCAATCTATTGTCAGGTACTGTGCAGATCGTAACATTGACATCATCCGCTGTTCAATTGCCACAAATCGTTATTTCGGCACAACATACGCAAAAGTTACCATTCCGGCCGATGTCGTCAACGCTGTACTCACGCCTGCGTTTTGGCCTGCCACCATCGGCCACACAGTCAGAAAGTGGCGCTTCCATGACGAGGCGTCCATGCCGCCGAAGGAACAAAGTACTGAGGATTAACCATGGCTAGTACTCGTAGTAGTAAAATGAACCCAGGTGCAACCCCGTTCTACCCTGGATGTATACGGACACTGTCCCTGAATATTTGCAGTCTACGTAATAAACTTACTGACTTGTCCCAATTGATATCGGACACAAAAACTGACATTGCTGCTGTATGTGAAACGTGGCTCAACAACTCCGTTCCGTCGTTGGAGATGTCAATCGCAAACTATACTTTATTTCGGCTTGACAGGCACGACAAACCCGGAGGTGGTGTATGTTTGTATGCTTTAATAACTCACTGTTTAGTCACTTAACAGCCGATGGCGTTGAATGCATTTGGGTAGAGATCAAAGCTCACCCACAACCTATTCTTGTCGGGTGTATCTACCGCACACCGAGTCAGTCACTAGCTTACTGGCAGACTTTCGAGGCTATGTTACACAAGGCATCGGGAGAAGCCAAGAATATTCTGCTTTGTGGTGACTTTAATGTTGATCTGGCCAGTCAATCTCCCTCATCCCAGCATGCCTCTTTGCATGATATCACAACCAGCTTAGGCCTGCATCAACTTGTAAATTCCCCAACACGAATAACGCTGCAAGGGAGCTGCACTCTATCAGATCTTGTCTATAGTACAGCTCAAGTCATATCCCCGCCTGAAATGTGTCCAGTTCCGTTCAGCGACCACTGTGCTATTGCAACCAAGATTTGTGTTAAACCAGTGCCGGCAGCATTGCCTTCTCAGCGACTTTATCGAAACTTCAAGAGAATGGACTTGGCATCACTTCGTATGGATATTTCTTGCGCCAACCTCTGTGACCTGCGTGGGTCCTGCGACGACATGTGGCAACAGTGGCTGACTAAGGTCGTGCCCATTCTTGATGCTCATTCTCCATTGCGCCACGCGTCCTCCCGACCAAGAAAGCATTCACCATGGGTCAATGAAAATTTGCTCCTGTTGATACGAAGGCGGAACCACGCTCATCGGAAATGGCTGCAATCTAAGTGCCAGACTGATTATGATGTGTTTAAAGAAGCCAGGCGTATAGTGACTCGTATGAACCGTGAATTGAAGACGAATTTTTCCAGTCGAAGTTCACCATTGTTCAAGGTAATTCCAGGAAACTTGTGACGTGGAAGGATTTGAACAAGTTATCTGGAAGACAACGTGTTCAATCTGTTCCACAATGCTCTGCAAGCAACATCGGGTGTGTATTTGCTGATGTCGTCAGTGATCAACGACGAGCACCTGAACTGTGTCTTCCACAGGGCCCAGTGGGACCTAGGGTTTTACATCCTTCAGTTCGGTGTCAATAGGTTGTGTGTAGAAACTGTTGGGCTCCTTGGACACCAGCAAAGCGACAGGCAGTGATGGAATACCCGCATTTCAGGCTTCTGAAGTCCTGCGCTGATTTGCTAGCTCCTCCTTAACATTGATATTTAATGCATCTCTTACTGTTGGTTCTGTGCCAAACGGCATGAAGTTGGCACATGTCATGCCGGTATTCAAGGCTGGTAATCCTCAAGATCCGGGAAATTATCGCCCTGTGTCTCTCCTGCCAATTGTGTCGAAGCTGTTAGAACGAATTGTCCATAGACAACTATCCTCATTTCTGGACAAGGAGAATTTGTACCCTCCTTGTCAGTTTGGCTTTAGACATCAACATTCAACGGAAGACGCTCTAGTTTTCGTCACGGACACGTTTGTTCGCGCTCGCGATGCCGGACAAATTACTGCTGCTGTGCTCGTGGATATGTCCAAAGCATTTGACAAGGTCAGGCACCAAGTGCTCATTAATGATATGTTTGAGCTTGGCATATCTGGTTCAGCATTAGTTTGGTTTGCCGACTATTTGTTCAATCGTTGCCAAATAGTGCACATTGCTGAGAACTATAGCTCTCCTTTCCCCTGCATGCGTGGCGTTCCCCAGGGCTCTGTTCTTGGTCCGCTGCTTTTTGTACTCTATGTTCGTTCGATCCAGTCCATTGTCTCCGAGTTTTGTGTGAAAGTTATTCAATTTGCTGACGATATTCTATTGTATGTTTGCGGTACGCAGAAGAATATGCTTAGCAACTCCCTGTCTGCAGCTGTCTCAGCCATTAGTACCTGGCTGTCAAACCGCAATTTAATTCTAAATGCCCGGAAGACATAAGTGCTCTTCCTGTCTACGCCACATATTACTGACCACCAATTTGCAGTCTACTGTCATGGAGTGCAGCTCAAGAAAGTGACATCTGCAAAGTACCTTGGAAAACATTTGGACCAGGATCTTTCTTGGAGGACCCAAGTTGAGTCTATGGTCACCAAACTTGCCAGTGAAATTGGCATTATGTTCTGAAATCGACACAATATTCCGCTGACTTGCCAAGAAACCTTTGTAAAGTGCCTAGTGTTGCCAGATTTTCTATATGCATCAAATTGTTTTTCTGCTGGCCTTTCCTTAACCCAGTTAGGGAGGCTTGAACGAATGCTAAAGCGAGCTTTGCGTTCCGTGTACGATACTGGTTTTTGTAGTCCATCAAGTCCTTTATTTGCGAGACTTGGTCTAGATCGTTTGGCATCCATGTATTGCAAGAAATTACTGTATTTGACGTGGCGCTGTTTGGAAGGCCACTGTAGTGTCACATTAAGTCAAATGTTCGAGCGCTGAAATAATGGTCTTGCAACGCACAGCCTTATATCACGCACTCTTAAGTTGCCCATGCTCAGAACTGCCTTTGCCCGTCATGGCGCTTCCTTCCAATGTGCTAAGCTGTGGAATGATTTACACCCTCTAGCTCGCTGTGTGGATAACTCCGCCCGTTTTAAGAAACTGTCACCCCAATGCCTTGCTTTTTCACGCTAGTACTTATGACTTTCAGCTATGCAAAATTTATGCAAAAGTTGGGCGCCCATCTTCTGTTGCCTCAACCATTCGTTCTATCGCGGACATGATCACCTATCCAATAGTCTATTATATTAATTATTCTTATCTTTTTACATCTTTCCCTCGAGTGGGTCTATTGTTATTAGGCAATTGTCTGTTATAGTCACCACTATAAATAAAATCCAATCAAAATCAAAAATGTCAAGTGTCTAACTAAAGAAGCCTCGGGTATTCGCTTGTCCCTAGAATTGAAAGTCAGATTGTCACGTGTTGTGATTATTGTGACGTTTGAGTAAAATTTGAATTTGCAGCCCTCACATGACTTCTTACTTTTTAGACAGGCCGTTCAGAAGTTTAAAAAAGGCAACAAAAACTACAGCGGCTTTGTAGAAAAATGGCCCAGGACTATAGACCAGAGTACGTTTCTTTAGGTTAATTCATGCTACTGCACCATCAGTCCATCAGACCTACACAGTACATCACGTCCAATATATCAAACTGTGAGCAGGTGATTGGTACTTGCCACCATTATCCAGAGCATGCCCCTCGGATGGCTCGTAGCAGCCCACTCTTACCGTATGTTCTGGGGCATTAGCCGTTGCACTTTAACACATAAAATTCAAAAATTGCCCCTGCGGCTCTGCAAAACCGGTCGCTAAAGCCGGGTGGTCTTTAGAGCCAGGTCCCATACATTCGTGGCATATCAAATTGTGTACATACATGTGCATGATTGCACTTCCATGTACTCATATTGACAGGTGTGGAGCATAGAATACTTTCGTGCAGGCAAAGCACGCCTCACTCGACTTCTCAAGTACATGCAGTGCATCCTTAACCTGCTCTGTCACTTCTGTTGACTGCATGCACTTGCTTCAGAGCGAACGTCAACCCTGCAGTGTTGCAGTCAGCCCTGCCAGCCAAGATGGCACTTTTGGCTAGTTTTAGTCGCTATGTGCAGGTCCAATACGGCAAGTGGTACATTAAACGTCGGACGCTGGTCGCGCAAGGCAGGTGGCCGCTGTAACCGGTGCAGTTTCTGCGTAGAACTGTCCGTGCTTGTAAAAACGATCGTTAAAAGCAGGCGATGGCTAAAAGCTGAGGTTGTTTATACCCGGTCTTACTGTATACATGTACTGTCACTTCATGCATAGAACGGTATGGTGTCATTCAACCACTTGTCATGTACTGTCACTTCATGCATAGAACGGTATGGTGTCATTCAACCACTTGTCATGTACTGTCACTTCATGCATAGAACGGTATGGTGTCATTCAACCACTTGTCATGTACTGTCACTTCATGCATAGAACGGTATGGTGTCATTCAACCACTTGTCATGTACTGTCACTTCATGCATAGAACGGTATGGTGTCATTCAACCACTTGTCATGTACTGTACTTCATGCATAGAACGGTATGGTGTCATTCAACCACTTGTCATGTACTGTCACTTCATGCATAGAACGGTATGGTGTCATTCAACCACTTGTCATGTACTGTCACTTTATGCATAGAACGGTATGGTGTCATTCAACCACTTGTCATGTACTGTCACTTTATGCATAGAACGGTATGGTGTCATTCAACCACTTGTCATGTACTGTCACTTCGTGCATAGAACGGTATGGTGTCACTCAACCACTTGCCATGTACTGTCACTTTATGCATAGAACGGTATGGTGTCATTCAACCACTTGTCATGTACTGTCACTTCATGCATAGAACGGTATGGTGTCATTCAACAACTTGTCATGTACTGTCACTTTATGCATATGTTGTAGTACGTTATTTTGTGTACGTCGTGTGTACGTCATGTTGGTGCATGCGCGTGTTGCTGTGGTATGAAAAGCGGTCTTCGTCTTGAGTTCATGATGTCTTCGTCTTCAGTTCGTCATGTCTAGTTGTGTTTTCAGTCGTCTTGTCACAAATATAGTCTTCTAAATGTAGTTATCGTCGTCCCTTTGTATAAGTGTGGAGATGGCACGGGACTGGGGGCAGGTAGAGAAAGGCAGTTACAACATTGGTGGCAGCGGTAATGGAAATTGTTGTAAACTTCAACTTCTGGATTCGTCCTGCGTGGCCTTCGCTCCCAGTTTCCGATGTCATCTCCAGTCGTCCTATCGTCACAGTTTCGTCCGTTTTCAAGAAGTTCGTCCGTCGTCATCGTCCTTCATCATTCGTCTCTCCCGTCTCTTGTCAGTTGTCGTCACTGGTGGTCCCGGACACGACGTAAAACTGTGCCCAGAAGAAAAAGCAAAAAAAAAGAAGAAGAAGAAGGACGGATGGTCCCGGACACAAACGTAAAACTGTGCCCAGAAGAAAAACTGAAACAGGAAAGAAGGATGGAAGGTGAAGGCTGCAGTGTGAGGATGTAGACGCTGAGCAGCGCTCCTTGAGATGGCGGACGACATGGCAGACGGCGTGAGGAGTTTCGTTGGTGAGAGGGTACGTGTGTTGTTGTGAACGTGAGGAGTATGTGAGTTTTGTATTTTCTGTTCTCCCAACATTTTGTTCTTTATTATTTGCTCTCCTCGAGGGTAAAGAGGCACCCGCACAGCGCGTGTGTTCTGTTCGCTTTTTGATTTGCTCTTCTATGAGGATAACTAGAGGCCCCCACAGAGCCAGTGGATTTTGTTCTTTTTGTTATTCCTATGATTTGTGCTCTCACATTTTAGAATTTTTGCGTGATCGTGAGGTGGTGTGTTGAGTGAAGTAGTTTAGAGTTTTTGAGGTTATCAGTTCCTACACGTGTGACAGCGATCGTGGCTGGTGTTCTGGGTGGGCGGACAGAGTTTTTAATAATCTGCAGTGCAGGCAGAGGTGTTTTATTTATGGGTGTGACTGGTGTGGTATAATTGAGTGATTTGTGTGATCTTTTCCTCTTTTTTACTCTGTTTTAGGGAGTTATGTTGTAGTACGTTATTTTGTGTACGTCGTGTGTACGTCATGTTGGTGCATGCGCGTGTTGCTGTGGTATGAAAAGCGGTCTTCGTCTTGAGTTCATGATGTCTTCGTCTTGAGTTCATGATGTCTTCGTCTTCAGTTCGTCATGTCTAGTTGTGTTTTCAGTCGTCTTGTCACAAATATAGTCTTCTAAATGTAGTTATCATCGTCCCTTTGTATAAGTGTGGAGATGGCACGGGACTGGGGGCAGGTAGAGAAAGGCAGTTACAACACATAGAACGGTATGGTGTCATTCAACAACTTGTCATGTACTGTCACTTCATGCATAGAACGGTATGGTGTCATTCAACCACTTGTCATGTACTGTCACTTCATGCATAGAACCGTATGGTGTCACTCAACCACTTGTCATGTACTGTCACTTCATGCATAGAACGGTATGGTGTCATTCAACCACTTGTCATGTACTGTACTTCATGCATAGAACGGTATGGTGTCATTCAACAACTTGTCATGTACTGTCACTTCATGCATAGAACGGTATGGTGTCATTCAACCACTTGTCATGTACTGTCACTTCATGCATAGAACGGTGTGGTGTCATTCAACCACTTGTCATGTACTGTCACTTCGTGCATAGAACGGTATGGTGTCATTCAACCACTTGTCATGTACTGTCACTTCATGCATAGAACGGTATGGTTCAACCACTTGTCATGTACTGTCACTTCATGCATAGAACGGTATGGTGTCATTCAACCACTTGTCATGTACTGTCACTTCATGCATAGAACGGTATGGTGTCATTCAACCACTTGTCATGTACTGTCACTTCATGCATAGAACGGTATGGTGTCATTCAACCACTTGTCATGTACTGTCACTTCATGCATAGAACGGTATGGTGTCATTCAACCACTTGTCATGTACTGTCACTTCGTGCACAGAACGGTATGGTGTCATTCAACCACTTGTCATGTACTGTCACTTCATGCATAGAACGGTATGGTGTCATTCAACCACTTGTCATGTACTGTCACTTTGTTCATAGAACGGTGTCACCGGGTGTCATTCAACCACTTGTCATGTACTGCAATCCATTATTGTACTAGTGTGAAGCTTCTCAGTGACATGTTGTCAGTTCTGAGTGAAGGACAAACTAGGCAACTGTTGTAGAACTTCAGCGGTTCAACAAAAATACGAATTTTGGACCCGGAAAGGGGGTACGGCTTAGACTCCCGTGTGGCTAACACACAGGAAAATTACTATACCCCAAGAGTACAGGTGTACTCGCTGCGCTAACACTTAAAATGCAACTGGATATTGCCGAACCACATAGCAGGTGCAAGACTGGTCTCTGATGGATACTGATGTACCGTAAAGTACCGCCAGAGCGCCCCATCATCTCGTTCTTTCGTGGTCGTAATTTGGAGGTGGTGTCCTGTCTGTAGGTCATACGACATGAATACCCCCAATAGTGTGCAACTTCAATCTATGAGGTCGGTCATGGCAGAACTTCACGTCACGCGAGAAAACTGTACAGCGGCGTGCACATAATATTTGCACCCTGTGCACGATAGATAAAGATACACAACCCCAGCAGTTTGGTTTCAACTCTCTGATAGTTACTTTCCACTGTTTTCCAGCATGGCCGGCAGCACAGCACATGGCCATGGAGTTCTGCTGTTGCAGCACTGCAGACTAGATGTTGTACAGGCAGTTGCTGCACACCCTTGGCAGTTATGTTCTCTTGCTTGCATGTATAGCCGGTTGTGGTGTGATCACGCACAGGCTCAATTTGCACCCAGGATTTCCTCCCTCAATCAAACCCACTTACAATAACCACCACAAAGGTCAAATAGAGTGCAGTATTGACCAGATGTTTCTTGGCAGCCGCATGATCAGGTATTTTGAAGTACTACTACATGTATTTTCACTTACCGACGTCAAACGTAAGGTCGAGATCCTGGTGATTGATTTTGTTTTCTGTATGACAGAAAGACATGTACACACAGGTGTGAGTCAGAAAAGGATATTCAAGCTGTTTGAGCGTGGATTCGTGCTACGAGTCATCTCATGCATTTGGTGGGGGACATGGTCTTTAATTTAAAAAAAAAGTTCACATTCAATGGGGCTCGATGCAATGCAATGAAAGAAGTAACGGAAATCATCGGAACATGCGCGGTGGTGTTGAATTTGAACACCATGAACGGGAGCGGGAACGGAGACGTACTACCGAACAAATCGGGAAGCGATGGAGAAGTTGGATCTCTTCGACCTTTTACACCACGCAAGCGGGGACGCAGTCATACATGTACGAAACCGCTGCATTTCACGTTTGAACAGGCGATGGCATCGCGCACTGTATGCAATGGCGATGGCATCGCGCACTGTATGCAATGGCGATGGCATCGCGCACTGTATGCAATGGCGATGGCATCGCGCACTGTATGCAATGGCGGTAGCATCGCGCACTGTATGCAATGGCAATTATGTTGACAACTCGAGCATTTCGAAGATTATTCTTCTCCAATAACAACTCAATAGCTTGCACAACGAGTAGGATTTTTAGCCAGCCAGTATTGCGATGTACATGTATATTATGTATAGGATTTACCCTGAGCTGAAGTGTATACCAAATACAAACCGAGGCCGAAGGCCCAGGTTTGTTTGATGGTGTATATTTTCCATACACACTTCAGCGAAGGGTATATCCGACTTATACCAAGAGTACATAACCCCCCAGAGTGTGCAACGCCTGATCCAGCTCTGCATAGGGTCTTGGTCGAGCGGAATCGGACCTTTGCGTCATAATACCGTACACATCTGAAGGGAACCCGGGGAGTCGCGGGTACTCTTGGATCAAAAACAATGGTGCCCTGCCTCGAGACCGGCCTTGCGCTGGTGTGAAGTGTACGCATGACATCAGAAGATCCGATTCCGCTCGACCAAGACCCTACACAGAGCTGGATCGGCGTTGCACACTCTGGGGGGTTATGTACTCTTGCTTATACCTACCTCAGTCTGAATCCTAAAAAGGAGCATATTATGCTCCTTTATTAGTGCAATAAAGAGTATAATAGATGCAGACATGGCCGGACAACAACGAGTTCTGCATCTATTATACTCTTTATTGCACTAATAAAATTGCTTTCTCCACGCCGACTCTTTTAAATATGCTCCTTAATTATGCTCCTTAATTTTGTCAAATATCGTACTGGTCTCGTCATCGTCCAGTAACAATCGACATTCTTTGTTCCGTTGGGACTGTGGCTTTTGCTCGTTTTCGTTGCGCTTGCCTTCCCCTCTTTGGTCTTTCCATAACCTTGAACCTTCCAAGTTGGAAGGCTGTCGGTTAGCGCTACGGAGATGTGTTGAAGTTAGGTGTCAGGACGTCGAATTTCTCAGTACCCTGTCAGTTTTGTGCCTAGTTATTGCACTTTCTGACTGTATATATAGTATCATGTTACAGTGATGGAGAGTTACTCTTAACTTGTATCCATATGTCCTTTTCTCTTTTACATTTATTTATGGCTCAACATCCGAGTTTCAAATTGCACACCTGATGAGCCGTCACGAACCATACGGCGAAACGTACGTCGTGTGAAACAACTTGTTTTGTAGTCAACTAGTCCATCACAATGTCATGCATGAGGAGTACTGTAGGAGTTTGGCTTTCGGCTTGTACAATTCGTTTTCGCAAAGCTTCCCTTTCTTTACTTATCGTTGATATTTATGACCCACCCAAGTTGGGTGGTGTGCTGCTTTGCTGCTTCGAATTGTAGTTAGACCGCTTTGTCAAATATCGTACTGGTCTCGTCATCGTCCAGTAACAATCGACATTCTTTGTTCCGTTGGGACTGTGGCTTTTGCTCGTTTTCGTTGCGCTTGCCTTCCCCTCTTTGGTCTTTCCATAACCTTGAACCTTCCAAGTTGGAAGGCTGTCGGTTAGCGCTACGGAGATGTGTTGAAGTTAGGTGTCAGGACGTCGAATGTCTCAGTACCCTGTCAGTTTTGTGCCTAGTTATTGCACTTTCTGACTGTATATATAGTATCATGTTACAGTGATGGAGAGTTACTCTTAACTCGTATCCATATGTCCTTTTCTCTTTTACATTTATTTATGGCTCAACATCCGAGTTTCAAATTGCACACCTGATGAGCCGTCACGAACCATACGGCGAAACGTACGTCGTGTGAAACAACTTGTTTTGTAGTCAACTAGTCCATCACAATGTCATGCATGAGGAGTACTGTAGGAGTTTGGCTTTCAGCTTGTACAATTCGTTTTCGCAAAGCTTCCCTTTCTTTACTTATCGTTGATATTTATGACCCACCCAAGTTGGGTGGTGTGCTGCTTTGCTGCTTCGAATTGTAGTTAGACCGCTTTGTCAAATATCGTACTGGTCTCGTCATCGTCCAGTAACAATCGACATTCTTTGTTCCGTTGGGACTGTGGCTTTTGCTCGTTTTCGTTGCGCTTGCCTTCCCCTCTTTGGTCTTTCCATAACCTTGAACCTTCCAAGTTGGAAGGCTGTCGGTTAGCGCTACGGAGATGTGTTGAAGTTAGGTGTCAGGACGTCGAATGTCTCAGTACCCTGTCAGTTTTGTGCCTAGTTATTGCACTTTCTGACTGTATATATAGTATCATGTTACAGTGATGGAGAGTTACTCTTAACTCGTATCCATATGTCCTTTTCTCTTTTACATTTATTTATGGCTCAACATCCGAGTTTCAAATTGCACACCTGATGAGCCGTCACGAACCATACGGCGAAACGTACGTCGTGTGAAACAACTTGTTTTGTAGTCAACTAGTCCATCACAATGTCATGCATGAGGAGTACTGTAGGAGTTTGGCTTTCAGCTTGTACAATTCGTTTTCGCAAAGCTTCCCTTTCTTTACTTATCGTTGATATTTATGACCCACCCAAGTTGGGTGGTGTGCTGCTTTGCTGCTTCGAATTGTAGTTAGACCGCTTTGTCAAATATCGTACTGGTCTCGTCATCGTCCAGTAACAATCGACATTCTTTGTTCCGTTGGGACTGTGGCTTTTGCTCGTTTTCGTTGCGCTTGCCTTCCCCTCTTTGGTCTTTCCATAACCTTGAACCTTCCAAGTTGGAAGGCTGTCGGTTAGCGCTACGGAGATGTGTTGAAGTTAGGTGTCAGGACGTCGAATGTCTCAGTACCCTGTCAGTTTTGTGCCTAGTTATTGCACTTTCTGACTGTATATATAGTATCATGTTACAGTGATGGAGAGTTACTCTTAACTCGTATCCATATGTCCTTTTCTCTTTTACATTTATTTATGGCTCAACATCCGAGTTTCAAATTGCACACCTGATGAGCCGTCACGAACCATACGGCGAAACGTACGTCGTGTGAAACAACTTGTTTTGTAGTCAACTAGTCCATCACAATGTCATGCATGAGGAGTACTGTAGGAGTTTGGCTTTCGGCTTGTACAATTCGTTTTCGCAAAGCTTCCCTTTCTTTACTTATCGTTGATATTTATGACCCACCCAAGTTGGGTGGTGTGCTGCTTTGCTGCTTCGAATTGTAGTTAGACCGCTTTGTCAAATATCGTACTGGTCTCGTCATCGTCCAGTAACAATCGACATTCTTTGTTCCGTTGGGACTGTGGCTTTTGCTCGTTTTCGTTGCGCTTGCCTTCCCCTCTTTGGTCTTTCCATAACCTTGAACCTTCCAAGTTGGAAGGCTGTCGGTTAGCGCTACGGAGATGTGTTGAAGTTAGGTGTCAGGACGTCGAATGTCTCAGTACCCTGTCAGTTTTGTGCCTAGTTATTGCACTTTCTGACTGTATATATAGTATCATGTTACAGTGATGGAGAGTTACTCTTAACTCGTATCCATATGTCCTTTTCTCTTTTACATTTATTTATGGCTCAACATCCGAGTTTCTTAATTATATTAACAGTATTTATTTCTCTCCTATGGTGTATATTAACAGTATTTAATTCCCGTAGCTATGCAGAAGAGATTACTTCAGTAACGTCTGGCGCTAGCCAGGGTCCACACAGCTTTAATTTGGTGTTTGTTTGTTTGTTTGTGTGTTTGTGTGTTTGTGTCACGCCTGGCGCTATCCTGTATCTGTCCCGTACCGTACCGTACCATCAAACACAGCTGGCTACATACAGCTGGCCGCAATATTCAAATAGGGCTTTCAAACGCAAGATCATAACGTGAAGCAACTTGGAAGAATGAGTATGAATGCGAAGTGTATGAGGGAATGCATGTAGGGCGATAGTGCGGGTTCGAATTCAAGGTAATGGCTGAAAAATAGGAGAATTGAAAAATGTATAACATCCCTTTTCTTTTTTTTGTCGTCATCAAGGTGGTAGACGGTGTCGTATTACCCTCGACCTTACCTGTCCCGTACCGTACCGTACAATCAAAGGCGGCTGGCCACAATGCATATTCAAATAGGGCTTTCAAATACAAGATCATAACGTGAAGCAACTTGGAAGAATTAGTATGTATGCGAAGTGTATCGGGGGATGCATGCAGGGCGATAGTGCGGGTTCGAATCCCAGGTTATGTCTAAAAAACAAAAAGTAGAAACTTATATGAATTTATAACATCCCTATGCTTTTTTGTCTAGGTCATCAAGGCAAAAAAGCATAGCGTAGGGCCCTGAGCTTCCAAGCTCTCTCGTTTCTCTACAGTGATAAATATTACCAGTGTTTATTGTTTCTAGAAAATACAGTGAATATACACTGGCCAAGGCTCTGTGTGATGAATGGAGGTGTATTGAGGTAGGCATAATTAAAAATATTATATTCTTTTATTCCACGATGGCGTGACGCCAATAAGGACGATTGATAAGTGTGATAGAACTGATACTAGCCAGAAACAGCTAGATGGAAATTACCCGGGGAGGCAAGAAGCAATTGATCATGAAAAACAAGTGGGGACAAAAACGTTAGCAGGGGTGATCGAGGTAGTTAATTACAAGTTCGAGATATCAGAAACCAGGGGGGGGGGGGTGCGCGGAGCAGGAACAGGTACTGCTCAAAAGAAGACTGGATGCATTGTTTCGGAAATAATTTCTACGATGTTGGGTTGTGATGTCGATAGGGAGTGAGTTGTAGAGGGTGAGGGCACTGTTGATGGGGGAATCTCGGTGCCTGCTTGTGTGTGCGTGTCCGATGGAGTAGGTCCTTGTCTGTCGAAGGGTGTATGGTTGGTGTTGACGTTGTGGTGCAAGATGTGGTTGTTGCAGGTGTGGTGGGGAGGTTTGATGGTGGATGTCCCATGCTAGTAGGACTTGTTTAGCAAGAATTCTCTCCAGTGTGCCCCGCTGTTGCTGTGTGGTGTTGGAGAGGGCAAGGCTGCAATATTCGAGAACGGGTCGGATGTAGGTCGTGTATATGAATAATAGGCTGGAAGCGTTCATTGTGCCACGTGTCTTGTGGAGTTGGTGTAGTAGTTTTTTGGCTTTGTTGGTAGTTTCTATGATGTGTTGGGTCCATCGCATATCCTCTTGGAGTGTAACACCAAGGTGCCTATGTTGGTGGACCTGCAGCAGCAGAGTCGAGTGGAGCGTGATGTGGATGGTGTGTTGGGGTTGGAGGGAAAGGACGACGGTTTTCGTGGTGTTGACAAGGAGATACCAATCCTTCAACCATCGTCCTGCGGCGTCCACAGCACGTTGGAGGAATGCAGCTGATAAATCCCTCGTGTAATGTGTCGCGATGAGTGCCGTGTCATCGGCGAACTGGCTGCATTTGGTGTGCGAGTTTGTACATGCTGGGGGGAGGTCGATCGTGTACACCAGGAAAAGAATTAAGAGGCCCCAGGACAGAACCCTGGGGTACTCCAGCTGATATATACATGTACATGTACAGTGCACGCAACGAATGGTGTTTTCTTCGAACGAATATTCTCTCGAATATTGCTTTGACGAACGAACGAATATTCTATTATTCTTTTGAAGTGCGTCGATCACTTCACTCCATCAGACCCAACATTCATGTTGCATACAGATCACATTCCCACTGGTTACAGAGCAGATTTTACCCAAGAACAAGCTTCACAGTTCTCAGAAAATAATTTCGATACTATCATCCTCAATACTGCTCAGGTGATCAAGGTTGGAGCTAAATAACACCACCAAAAAGTGGGGATTTTTCGAATTTTCGAATATCGAATAATCGCCTGCCTGCATCCAAAATTTAATATTCTTTCTGGTGTTGGTATTCTAGAATATTCGAATAATTCGAATATTCCTTACATCACTACAGTTTTAAAGAAGGAATTATGTTCCCTGAGAAGCAAGCACATAAATTATACTTACGATAGTCGACAGGAATACAAAGAAATCCATTTTCGCTGTCGGGGCGAGTACCCATGATTTCTGTTTCCTCAGACATAAACGTTATCACAGCAGTTTCGCTAATCCATGTTGAACTGACGAATTGTTGGAGGCACTCGATTACATGCAACTTAAACTTTATCTTTGAGAAGGCTTGGTTGGCCAGCCGCAAGCCAGCTTGTGTGCATTTTTTATCAGCATCAGCGTAACTGAAATCTCCTGGTTCGGAGAACACACCAAGTCCTGCACATTCAGTGGTTTCTGAAATAAGAAACAAAGGAGAAACATCTGGAGTTGTTGGGTGTTCTCGAACTTCAACGACTCGAACCTTCCATTAATATTTTTTGAAAAGAAGAAGGACAAAATGTTACGAGTTATGACTAACTGTCCACCAACGTAACCAGATCTTATACAGTCAGCGATTTCGTCGCACTCGCTGACTGTATACGATCTGGTTACGTTGGTGGACAGTTAGTCATAACTCGTAACATTTTGTCCTTCTTCTTTTCCCAAAAAATGTAATTGACTCACCGTCCGAGTTACATCTCCCACTAAGGCCATCATTTTTTATATCTATGTTTCTAGTCGTCCGCACGCATACGTTTTGATTTTTTTCGGAAAAAAATAAAAAAATCGAACATGCACAGTGAGTGTACGATCGTGCGAGTCATCAGTGTGGACTGGTTGCATACGGCGAAGCTGGGATTCAGAATTGGCCTCAAGGCCAGCGTTGATAGATCGTTTGTTCTGCATCTGCGAGCAGAATTCTTTGAGCTTACACTAGACCGCATCGATCGCCTCAAGCTGAGAGGATGCGTCGTTTCGGAGCTCTTTGCACCGCTGCTGAAGGCTGAGTACAATAATCCAGCGAAGCATGGGCACCAACGGTTGCCTCCTCTGTCCAAAGTGAATATTTCCTCTTGCTGATAACCCAGATTTGTGCTTCGATGTACGATTTTTCTTTCGAATGTACACCATGGTACACCATGGTACAGCATGGTACACCATGCAAGAGCTAGTGACAATAGTATGTACAGTGCTATACAACTCTGATGATGAGCCTTTTTTTATTTTGCAACTTTTTATTCCTTTCCACCTCTCGCATATGATTCTGGAAGTTGAACTGACGCGAAACGTAGATATAAAAAATGATGGCCTAATAATAATAATAATGATTTATATTTATATGTAGAAGAGAAAAGGACATATGGATACGAGTTAAGAGTAACTCTCCATCACTGTAACATGATACTTTATACAGTCAGAAAGTGCAATAACTAGGCACAAAACTGACAGAGTACTGAAACATTCGACGTCCTGACACCTAGCTTCAACACATCTCCGTAGCGCTAACGCTAACGCTAGCGCTAGCGCTACGGAGATGTGTTGAAGCTAGGTGTCAGGACGTCGAATGTTTCAGTACTCTGTCAGTTTTGTGCCTAGTTATTGCACTTTCTGACTGTATAAAGTATCATGTTACAGTGATGGAGAGTTACTCTTAACTCGTATCCATATGTCCTTTTCTCTTCTACATTTATTTATGGCTCAACATCCGAGTTTCATATTTATATTTATATTTATATTTATTACAACATCTCAAGACTCGGTGGAAGCACCGGCCAATGTTAAGAGAGTGGGTGATTCCCAACCGATTTGAAACTAGGACGGAGGCAGAACATAATTATTACAAAAAATGTAGTCTACGCATGCATCTACGCAAGAATCACCACCAGCCAATTAGAGGTCATGTGTCAAAAGTATTGAACGTTTTCGTTCCCTTCTTCTCAAAATACTACAGGGAATGATGGAAATAAGCTAAGAGACTACAAGTCAACTGAAGGTGCGAAATAGATCCCTTGATCTCTTGATATTTTCTCTTTTTCTTGTCTGACTACGTTTTTGTCACTTATTGGATTTGCATGCTGTTTTCTTGACTCTTCACATCTATTTTTTTCGTGTCACTTCTACACATAATTGGAGTGATGTATCTCTGAACTTCTTTTCCTTATAGCTGTAGTCTCTTAGCTTATTTCCATCATTTCCTGTAGTATTTTGAGAAGAAGGGAACGAAAACGTTCAATACTTTTGACACATGACCTCTAATTGGCTGGTGGTGATTCTTGCGTAGATGCATGCGTAGACTACATATTTTGTAATAATAATAATAATAATTTGAAACTCGGATGTTGAGCCATAAATAAATGTAGAAAGGAAAAGACATTATGGAAACGAGTTAAAAGAGTAACTCTCCATCACTGTAACATGATACTTTATACAGTCAGAAAGTGCAATAACTAGGCACAAAACTGACAGAGTACTGAGACATTCGACGTCCTGACACCCAGCTTCAACACATCTCCGTAGCGCTAACCGACAGCCTTCCAACTTGGAAGGTTCAAGGTGTCAGGACGTCAAATGTCTCAGTACTCTGTCAGTTTTGTGCCTAGTTATTGCACTTTCTGACTGTATAAAGTATAATGTTACAGTGATGGAGAGTTACTCTTAAAACTCGTTTCCATAATGTCTTTTCCTTTCTACAATAATAAAAGCAGATTGAGTATTTCGCTCCTGCTCTTGTAGCAGTTGAGCACTCTTGCGTGGGGTAGTGCCTTTGCTGTTTGCGTTATGCAGAGCTCACTGACTTGTCAGTTTGAGCACTCTGGCAAGGTACGTTCGGGCCTGATTGGAAATTTTTTTATTTCCATTGCTATCAGGTTCGGCCTCATTTTCTCTGTGCTGCGCTGATGAGTTCAAAAAGAACGAAACAGCATGCTGTCCGCAGATTGAGTAATAATAATAATAATAATTTTTACAAGAGGTCGGAGGCGGATAATACTTTAATAACGAAGGTACGTGTTGGGTCGTAAGTATCCACGCAAACACACATCCAGTCAAAATAAGGCACTTGTCAAATTATCCGAACGTTTTCGGTCCCTTCTCATCAAGGATTTTACAGGGAATGGCTCAAGTTGGAAAGACTAAACCTTATATAGCGTAAAGATATGAGATAACAACACTCGTGACAAGGTGGAAAATTATCAAGTTCAGCACGACACAAAACTCGAAGGAAATAATAATAGTGACAAGAACATAGTGAGCAAATTAAGTTACATTGTTAACACCTCGACGAGGAGTAACACCAAACAATTGTAGCGACAACACATTTTCTTTCTGTACGCGAAGTTCAGGATCTAACTTACGGATATACAAAGCTTCTAACACAGCCAGATGCAACGCACATCTACCACGTGACAATATTGAGAACCATCTTGTTCAGAATAGTGATTGTCGTTCTAGTTATACTGATGATTGCTTTTCTGTTTGGTCTCGTTCACGTAGTCAAAGGTATCTGCGTGTATTGGAGTCTATCTACATTTTTACCACCAAGCCGATTTTGTGTAGGCAGAAAAAGAATTTGTTTACGTTGAAATTGTTTGTGAATTTAGATCAGTAGTTCTCGTTTGTGGTTGCATGGTTACTTTCTAGTGGTGAATTTATCGCATCTGTTGTCACCTGATATCGTTGATTGATGTAATGTTTCTTTCAGCTCTCATTTTCTCGCGCTAGTTAGGGTCTAAGTTATTACTTGCATTGTGCGTATATATTGAGTTTAGAGCTGTTGATTTGCCAGTAATCCTCTGATGAGATGGCGACGAAAACGTTTAGGAACAAGCTTCGTTATTTACATGAAAACAAGTTTTGCTAATGGTGTTTGTACTGAGTGCGCAGCTTACTCTATTTATTGCGTTGATTACATTTTTATCTCCACGTAAGCTTTTCAATAATAATAATAATAGTAATAATAATTGTAGAAAGGAAAAGGAAATATAGATACGAGTTGAGAGTAACTCTCCATCACTGTAACCAGATCCTATATACAGTCAGAAAGTGCAACAACTGTGCAACAACTAGGCACAAAACTGACAGAGTACTTGTGCTCATTTTCGTTGCGCTTGCCTTCCCCTCGTTGGTCTTTCCATAACCTTGAACCTTCCAAGTTGGAAGGCTGTCGGTTAGCGCTACGGTGATGTGAAGCTAGGTGTCAGGACGTCGAATGTCTCAGTACTCTGTCAGTTGTGTGCCTAGTTGTTGCACTTTCTGACTGTATATATTATCTGGTTACAGTGATGGAGAGTTACTCTGAACTCGTATCTATATTTACTTTTCCTTTCTACATTTATTATTGGCTCAACATCCGAGTTTCAAATAACGAGAGAGCTTGGAAGCTCAGGGCCCTACGCTAAGCTTTTTTGCCTTGATGACCTAGACAAAAAAAGCATAGGGATTGTTATAAATTCTTTTAAAAAATCCTTTTTTTTAAGACATAACCTGGGATTCGAACCCGCACTATCGCGCGCCCTGCATGCATCCCCCAATACACTTCTCTTGATATTTGTACTTTGTACTGTTGAGGCAACGAACTGAAATAATAAAAAACAAACAAACAAACAAACAAACTTCGCATACATACTAATTCTTCCAAGTTGTTTCACATTGTGATCTTGCATTTGAAACCCCTATTTGAATATGCATTGAGGCCAGCCGTCTTTGATGGTACGGTAGGGGATAGTTACGGGACATGTACGATCGAGGGTAATACGACACCGTCTCCCGTACCGTACCGTACCATCAAACACAGCAGGCCACATACAGCTGCCCGCAATATTCAAATAGGGCTTTCAAACGCAAGATAATAACGTGAAGCAACTTGGAAGAATGGGTATGAATGCGAAGTGTATGGGGGAATGCATGTAGGGCGATAGAGCGGGTTCGAATCCCAGGATATGACTTAAAAAAAAGAGAATTGAAAAATTTATAACATCCTATGCTTTTTTGCCGTCAGATACGGATAGCGCCAGGCGTGACACAAACAAACACACAAACACACAAATACCAAATTAAAGCTGTGTGGACCCTGGCTAGCGCCAGACGTTACTGAAGTAACGTCTTCTGCATAGCTACGGGAATAATAATAGTTACAGTTCACATGTCACTCATGGAAGGATCCATGGGCTTAAAATTAACGCATCTGTCAATGAAATCCAGGCAGAAGAGTCAACTCACTTGGCCGACCCATCTCAGATGGATTGACAATATTAAATATGATCAAGAGTACATGAAAACCAGAGTGTGCAGCTCGGATGGGTTGCTGTCACGGCGGAATTCCGTGATTACATCATTTTAGTGATGTAGTGCGTACAAGCAGGATTCAAGCAGGTCTCTTTCTGCACAACTGCAGCTCAGTTGTACGCACTACGCCATTTCCCGCCTCTGATCTGCGCCAAATATGAAGTAATCACGGAATTTCGCCGTGACAGACACCCATAGCAGAAAAGGCCCCAAGCTGCACACTCTGGTTTTCATGTACTCTTGGTATGATCTAAAGCATGCCAATAATGATATTTCTGACTGTTTTGAACTGGCTCTAGACAAGAACCTTCCATTGAAGCACATCATATGAAGCTGTCACTCAACAGCATCATCATGAGACGTGTGAACATTGTGGGCTTCAAACACCTCAATGCAACTACATGTATGATAAGTGAGGCTAATCAGTGCAGGAGATCAGCCAAGCTGTGAATCTTACGTAGCTCAGGTCCGCATACTGGCAAGTTATGGAAGGTCGCAACCGTCCCATTATATTTAAAAAGTGAAGGGCTAGTAGGTAGTTTGCCAGGTGACAAAGCAAAAGGGGCTGGTGCACCCCTCAAAGCATTGCATTGTTCGCCTGGTTGGCAGTGTAAAATACGTCCAATGGGGCAACGGATTAGGTACAGTGTGTAAGAAAGTGTAGCGGAACCAACAAGTTTTGAATCGAATCTCCGAAGTCCATATGGCTCAAGTATCATGGGTGGTTGTGGATAATTGCTGAAATACTCTGAAATCACAAAGACAGCAGTGCAGGTATGCAGATTGCAGTTGTGCACACATGTATGCAGCGACTAGAGCGGCCTGATTCAGACTTCTCATCGCACCATGAGCCAAACAAGTTGAGCCCAAAAGTTGTCAGCCGTTACACACAAACTGTAGTCCAGAATCGTTTGCGCCCGTTTTAGTTGGCGAATTGCGATGACAGGCCATTTTGCACCTGCAAATGTTTGCGATTGAAGTCAATTTGACAATCGACTTGAGTCTACTGTTTCGCATTTCGCACCCACTTACTTTTTGCGATTCTAAGCCCATCGTGAAAATCACGAACGTTTCAGGATCGCAAAGGTTTCTGGGTTTACAGAACATGATAAATTTTTTCACTGCTATCAGGTTCGGCCTCATTCTCTCTGTGCTGCGCTGAGGATGAAACAGTTCTGCTGTCTGGAGATTGAGTACCGTACATGTGCATACACACAAGACACTGTCACATAGAACACCATGCATCTTCAATGTAAAGCCTAGTTCACATTCGACGCAACGCCGACGGTACGGGACGTAAGGGCTTGTCGGGAGGGCTGGGGTGAGCTGTAAAATCCTGTACGATTCGTACGACACGACATGCAGCAGTCGTTGCCACGTTCAACGTCGAACGGCGCGAGTCATAAGGCACGGTCCGTGACGGGGTGACTTTCGGACCTAATTTCTCGTTTTTCGGGACTCCTTTTCAATTATTTCTCCTTAAAAGAAGTGGAATCAAGTTCACAATACCAGTTTTTCATGAAGACCAAAAAATTAGCCCTGAAAGTTGTGGCATTCAAATAATAGCCCCAGGAAATGATAGAATAGTTCGTCTGTCACGCTTCTGAACTATCCCTAAATACAGACATAAGACAACATAAGATGAGATCTTATGTTGCTAAAATTCAACTCAAGTTGTGCTAGCCATTCTGTGAGTTATCATGGGAAGCGCAGTGTTCGAAATGCTAAAAATTTCCAAGTACGAATCGGGAGTAGTCGGCGCACGACGCCGTCTCCTGTTCACACTCGAATTGCAGCCGTTTTGTACGCTTGCGTCCCCGTCTACGCCCGTCTACGGTATGAAAAGTTGGATCGATCCAACCCCTCCCGGATCCCATCGCTTCCCGATCTGTACGGTAGTACGGTTGCGTTCCCGTTCCTGGTGTTCACATTGGACGCCGTCCGACCGTCCCGTCGCTTCCCGTCGATCCTTACGCCGCGTCCCGTCGCGCCCCGTCGAATGTGAACTAGGCTTAACTAGTAGATGGGTACGTCGTACAGAAGGAGAATGCGAAAGAGGCAGAGACCCACGTGCAGCTACACAGCCAAATCAAAATAAAAAGCATGCTAGCAGCTGAGCTTTCACCTTTTTGACTTCTTCCGCGAGGATCTGTTTTATTTTGTGAGCACGAAAGTACGTCGTTCTTTTGAACTTTTCGTGTGAGGGACAACACGATGATGAGTGCATGTGCAGAAAACAGTACCCCTCCGGCGGGCGATAGCACCACCAACCCGAGCCCCAAAGGAACGCAATTTAGCTACGTGAAGGCGATTCATTTGACGATGTTGCAGAAGACGCAGATGACAAACTCCGACGTCTTTCATTTCAGAGCTGCGTGGGCACCACCACCACCTTCTATACAACAAAATGATTTACAAGAATGAGATGTGTGTGTCACACTAACAGCAAACAAACATCCTTCCACCCCTTCGTAATCACAAACAAAACAAAACAAACAGCTTTTCGCGGAGGAAGTGCCAGTGCGACAAACTGCTGTCGACTTTTGAGTTTTGTTTACTTTCTCCCTTTTTGGCGTTCTCCTTGCATACAACGTACACATCAGTGTCCGAGTTCAGAAGGCAAACGTGCACCATACATCGAGCAGTTGGCCGGCTCGATCGACCAGCGCGCGGGCTGGACTTCGTTTTTGACGACGAATGTACGCGTGGAGGTCAAGTCCGGCGTGACGTCACTCGGTACTTCGGGACAATTTTGGGCACCTTCTGTTCAAGTTTTCACCCAATTCCAGTCGTCACAGAGAAAAACGAATAACACCATCGTGATCAGGAGCCAAAGAACTACAAGATAAGACAAAGAAAAATGTGTGGTGACAGTTCCCCTTTTAAAAGCAATGACCAGACAACTGATAACGCTTGAACAGTCAAGATCGGATTATACAATAATTATCACAGAAGCAGTGCTGTATGTGCTGAGTTGGACTGTCTCCACCAGTGACCTGCGCCCAGCCTCGTGCCATCTCCACACTTAGACTATGAAAAAAGAGTTACATCTGGAAGACGATTTATTACAAGATGAAACATAACTGGACATGATGAACTTAAGACGAAGACTGCTTTTCACACCACAGCAGCAACTTGTCCATGCACCAACACCACTTACACATGATGTACACCAAATAGCGTACCACAACGTATGTATGCAAGAGTGAGGAATAGAATGCATGGGTTCGGGAGGAGGGCATGAAACTGCTATAGTCACAACAAATGTAATTATGTGGTGCTCTGTGTCTTGTGTGCAAGATAGCTATGTTCGCGTGAACGTTGAGCACTCTACCGAGCCGGCACCCGGCGGACTCTTATTTACATGAGCATACATACATGTACAGTACATAGTCTATGTCACTTACCTTTCGTCGGCAATGAGCAGAAATAACCCCCAGGGTTTCCTAACCAAGCACATCTTAAGTCAAACGGATAATGCGTTCTTGCTGTGGTACAGGCGTCCAGCTCCAGTTCGCACTTATTGATACCTAATCAGAAAGACAGCAGTTGCAGTTTGCAAATGCACATACATGAGTGTAGAAAGCCATTTTGAAGTGGTCTGGTTTCGCCCGAATGCCTTGTATAGGCGGTTGAGGGGGACCAACCGGCCAAATTAAAAATTAAAAATAAAAAGCAAGCCAAACGGTAGCGGTATGCCTTTTCAGAGCACTTGCCACCCAAGGATGATCAAGGTGGAACGCTCCCCGGCACAGAAATTTCTATTGATTCTTTCAGTCTGTTTTTTTGCATTGGAAAGATAATGGCCTGGTGGTTTTTGGATCAATACAAATTTATGGAGGTTGTAAGTGTCGAGATTTTTGTATAAAAATGGTCAAAAATTGTGGATTCAGATGTTACGGTCCACACCAATGAATGGGCTGGTGAGTTCAGATCAACCACAAATAAGTGGCCTTCACAGCGTTTTTACAATGCATGCTATACCCATGCAAGTTAAATTGAGTTATTTTTGGCCATTGCACCTTGTATAAGGCATGTTACGGAAGAAAATATTTTGCGAATTTTTGGATTAAAAATGTAGATGGGGTACAAATTGAAAAATCTCTATTGGATTTGCTGCCAGATTCTTTCATCCTTTCAGGGATGGTATAAAGTTGGGGAAAAGCAAAAGAAATCTAGGTGTTGTACACCTTCATCAACTGAGTACATAACCCCGGGGGTTATGTACTCTTGACTTCATGTATTCCTAAGGGCCCGGTCACACATGCACTGGGGTTCGCTTTGGCGTCGAGTTTCTGCGACAGCGAGCCTGGTGTCGCTCCAGCGAAACCACGTGTGTATGGTCACACATACAAACAGGGCAAACTCCTACTTTGGCGGAAAATGAGAGTAAAGTGGACTGTGGTCCATACGGTACGGAGAATAGATGAGGTCAAATGACTATCTTGCACGCATTTTTGTTTCATGGACATCATACGCATACAAATTTCTCATAGCAAGTCCACATACAGCAGACCGTGATGTTTTCCGCTGAAGCAAAACCACAGAAGCGACACCCTCGCTTCGAAAATTTTGGAGGAAGCGGATTGGAGTTTCCGCTGAAGCGGAAGTTCCGCTTTTCGCCGTTGGCATGGTATTTTTCGCTCCTGCGACGTCGCTTCAGCGTATCTGCTACTTTCGAGTGCATGTGTGACCGGACCCTAACGTGCCTTGAAAGTGTGACTGCGGCAGTATCTAACGCACATGTCCTGACCCGAGTTTGAAGGTGGACCACACGGTGGCAAGTGACAGGTAGCAGATACGTCCTTGCCATCTTGATGCGCGATTCTTCTGCCTTGCTTGGCTCGACATGATTATTTGAGTTGACCTAAGAGTACATGGGTTCATGTACTCATCGTAGGTTAGTTGACCTTGTAGACGATGTTTCACCGATACCACTGAGGAGTACAGGTTTTCATGTACTCTTGCCGATACTTAATAAGTTTTAGTGCTCTCTCTCGAAATGTACTTCCTATCTGTAATTGAAGACTTGTGTTCTGCTCGTTGGTGTGCCGGGGTAGAGGATGGACTGAGGCGTAGCCAGTAATCCCCTTACATACCGTATGGTATAGCTAGGTGCACTCATGTCACAACTATTTCTCCCACAAGAGGGTACGCTTGTTACTCACGGTTTGCCAATGCGACAGATCTCTCAATCACATCAGGACCGTCGACGATGCGAAAACATCAGTGTAGAGTCTATTTTGTATTACTAGTACTTGAAGTACTTGGATCACAGGCAAGTTGCATAAATTCGCTGCCTGGCTGCTACGAGCTCAGCAGTCTAGTTCTGCAAACTACAAAACAATCACTGGACACGGTTGGGCTACATTTCTCTCAGGTCCTGACAACTATGTAGTCACTTGAGGACTCGTGCCTCCGTGGATGAAGAGGCTACTTGACAACTCGAATACTTTTCCCAACACCAGTATTTTCAACGAGCGACATTTTTCCAACCATAGCTAGCTTGTCATTGGTGCCCAACGTCTTGACGAAGTGCAGGGGGTAACTGAAGCCATCCTCCTCGAGCACACACCTCCAGCGCAAATGTCCGAAAGGGAGAAGGATGACTGCAAAACCTAATCTGAAAAGAATAAGGTTAATTGAAGCGAAAAAGTGACACAGCATTCTCAAACCGGATACCTCGGCCCCGATGACCGCGGACTCTGTGTGTAAAGAGTACGGAACCAAAAAGCTTGTCGATCGATCGTGCCGGATGCGCAATAAACTGTGCAGTGGGCCGATTTTTCGGAGGGGGGGGCGTATTCGTTTCACCCCTAAATGCATTGCTGCTCCATCTATTTGTTTTTCACATCTCTATTTCAAATTTAGAAAGGAAAAAGGACATATGGAAACGAGTTATTAAGAGTAACTCTCCACCTCTGCAACTAGATACTATATTATACAGTCAGAAAGTGCAACAACTAGGCACAAAACTCAGTTTTGTCAGTTTTGTGCCTGGTTGTTGCACTTTCTGACTGTATAATAGTATCTAGTTACAGTGGTGGAGAGTTACTCTTAACTCGTTTCCATATGTCCTTTTTCCTCTCTACATCTATTATTGGCTCAATACCCGAGTTTCAAATATTTCAAATTTCGAAATAAATATTGTGTCAAGTTGTGTGTGTGTGTGTGTGTGTGTGTGTGTGTGTGTGTGTGTGTGTGTGTGTGTGTGTGTGTGTGTGTGTGTGTCTACGGTCTAACATAGCTGTTCGCTATCATCGCTACCGCGATGGGCATGTCTGAGGTCTGGGGTGTGTGTGTGTGTGCATTCGGATGCCTGCTGTGCGTATGTTACCAATGTATTGTGCGCCTGCTCCTCAACTTTACTTCGGAAGTTCCCATCTTAAACATTGTGTGACTGTGCTGCCACCTTTATTTCTCATTTTGCTCTGTAGTGCTCCTGTTCATTTTTTTCATGTTTCTGTTTAGGCTGTTTAGGCACGCATGAGCAGTAATGATACCGTAACCGAGGCCCTTGGTCGGTTTAGCTGCTCTTGCCCCGCCTCCACTGCTTCGGCCGCCATCGCTATGTGCATCCCTGTGCGTTTGCACCATGATGGTTTGTGGCTATCTCGTAAAGGAAAGGCTCTTGTTAGTAGCGTATTCGGGTGAGCTGCATGTGCCGTGGCTCGCTCGCAGGCCCACAAGTAAGCTAGTTTCGGGTCATTTATGAAAGTATGCCAGTTTCAAAATATCTTTCAGATTCTTGTTCCAGGGTATGGCACAGTCAGTGTACACCCAAAGGAAACTACCTTTAACATTAGAGAGAGATCGCCACCCAAAACTACGAGTCAAAACCCTTTCCCACAGAGTCAATGAAAAAGCAAGAACCCTTATAAACATCCTCAGGACAATGCTCTTTACCTGTACATACGAGGCTACCTTCCTTGTTATAAGATTTAATATCCCCCTCTGGACACGTATCTGAAAGAAATGGACCTGCAAAGATCAGAGGAAATAGAGGTGCAGGAAAAAATGGTAGTATAGGCGATTCACACGACAGGCAAGACTGGCAAGTCCACGTTTACAGGAAAATCACCATGGAGATATTCCTGCGGGCGACCAAAACTTGTCCGCGGGAATCAAGTGTCCATGGGCTTTTTGCCCCCGGATGCACTCATCTGCGGGCACTTTTACTAAGGGTTGATTCACATATTATAAGCAAAATCGGCGCCGCAAGACATCGGCGGTGAACCAGCTCCCGATATGTTGTGGTGTTTTCAGAGCTGCTACCTTCGCAACAAGATGTGTCACACAATCATCTTACACACTTTTTTCATAAAAATGTTGGCATGCTCTGTGTCCATACTCCATAAATTCATGCTCTATGTCTCGTGATTCAATCATTTTTATCCGCTTTCATAATTATAACCTTTAGCATGATTTTAATCATTTTACGCATACATTTTCATTCACTCTTCATCATTTTGTCGGAACTAGTCGGACCTGGTGAGAAGGCAGAAATGCCTGTTCACTTGGTGAAGTAAAATAAAATAAACACACAAACACAAAGCGTTTTTTAGGAATCTGAGAACACTTTGTTCTTGCCATTGTCAACTTCAGCATTTCGAATTCAGGGGAGATAC